CCTTTTGCCCTTCTGGAAGGACCATTCTAAACAAATGTATTTTTGTAAATCTGTTTCACACATATAAGAAAAAGATAGTATAGTATAGAGTATAGGACATCATATATATGCTGTATATATGATTATATGATAATAGCATCATGTTAGACTGAGCTATTATTTTTGTATAATTATTTTGAAAATATAAAAAACTTACAGTACAGGCCATAATAACAATTAAATAATAATAATATATTGAATTTATCATGCGCTTTATCAATTGCTCATAGATGCTTTACAGAGGTAAAAAACAAGATACAAAGTCAACTTTAAAATCCAGCAATGGAACAACATCTATCACAAGGACACAGAATCAATCACACATTAAAAGCCGCTCTGAAAAGGTGAGTTTGGGTCAGTGTTTTGAGGGTTGGGAGATCAGTGCAGTCTCTGATTTGATGTGGGAGTTCCATTTTAAGATGTTAAAGTGGAAGAAAAGAAACACCTAAACATGGTCCAGTTACAGTGATGCCAACCTGCTGTGTAACCTTTGTGTGTGTGTGTGTGTGTCAGGTTCACTGAGCTGTATGTGGAGGAGCTGGAGAATGAGGGCGACCTGCGGATTCTGGTTTCAGACTACCTGAAGGGCTTGAATCCACACCGGAACATCATCAGCGGCATCATAAGGTCAGCCTTTAATCACTGTTACAGTCCATTAGCCACTGCTCTTTACACAGTGGCTTCTTCTCATCATCCCTGCTCAGACCCCTCTCCTTCCTCACTCTTCATGCTCACTTTGTTGCACTTTTTAGAACCCTGCTGTAGTCTCAAGCTGATTCCCTCCTTGATTGTGTTTGTATGCAGTTTTTACCTGGCAGTGCGAAAGGAGGCCCACTCCCACCTGGTGGACGGGACGGGCCACAGACCCCACTACAGCCTGCGGACCCTGTGCAGGGCGCTGAAGTACGTGGCAGCAAACCCCTGCTGCAGCGTGCAGCGCTCACTCTATGAGGTACACACACAATCTCCTTTAACACTACAACCGTTGACCCCCCTGCATTTTTTGAAATACGTGTAATTCTGTTGTAATTAAACCCACACATCTGTCACTGCATGGCTTTTCCTAGAATGTGTAAATGATGGGCTGTCATGAGAGGGAGAGACAGAGAGCGCTCCGTTTATTACTCCCATATTATTTTCCAAATGAATTTAAACTTTTGAATAATGTTGTTAATCTACTATTAGTAAATCAAAAACGAACCACAATAACTGAGTTTAAAGCTTGCTTAGTATATAAGGAAATTATGAAAATGAACAAATTCAATGTTTCAGAAATGATTTCTCTGCGAGTGCTGACGCTGTTGCAAAATGTTAATGGATGTTGGTGATTCTACTGTTAAGGGTCACTATATTGACAACATTTTTTTATGTAAAACTGGTGACATAAAGACTTTCCTTTAGTTTAGTGAGTGATTTTGTTGCTCAGGAGCTGGTATATGTGAGTTCTGAGGAATTAAAGATCATTTCAGTGTGTTGGAGCCTCCATCAGCTGCATGTATTCCCTGCTGACAGTCTGATTCTCTGCAGGGTTTCTGCCTGAGCTTCCTGACGCAGCTGGACAGAAGCTCCCACCCTGTGGTCCAGAAACTGGTGTGTCAGCACATCCTGATGGGGAACACCAAGTGTCTCAAACAAGTAAGAGCTATTTCCATTTTACATGTTTTAATGTTCATTTGGTCTGAATGGATACATCATTGAAATGTGGATTTTAATATTTGAGCTTTAAAAGTATCTTCTTATAATAACTGACACAGGAGGTTAATAGAGTGTGCTGAGGGTTTTTAAAGTCCTCAGCAGCTGCAGAAACCTTTCGATAATATACATTTTAGATGTATCAATTCATCTACACAAGAGGATATATTTGAAAAAAGCTATTTGTCCCGTTTTCTGCAGTCCATCCCGGCGCCCTCAGACCGGCCCTGCGTGGATGTGGAGGGGTACTGGGTGTCTCAGGGGGAGATGGAGCCGGCTCTGGACCCAAGCTACATCCTGACCGCATCAGTCAAGCTGAACCTCCGCGACCTCTCCAGAGTGGTGTCTGCAGGGTAGGAAAACCGCTGCCCAGCATTCCCCCAAATCAATGTGTTCCTCATTTTGTCAGAGCTAATTCTGGCCCTTTAGGATAGAAACACCAGGACAGAAATGTGGCTGTTCTGGATTCCCCGCTGTCCGTGATCTGCCTGGCAGGAAGCCATGAGCTTTTTATATCTCTGTGTGTGTTTTAGTTTCTCTTACGTATAGCCCTATTATTTACACGAGGCCGTAACAAACGGACCCCACAAACGATAACGGGTCCCAAGGTGGATAGATTTGCAAACGAAACTCTCTGGGGGGGTCAAACGAGTCCGTGTAATCGCCTCTATACGAATATTTCCTGAAAAAATAACGATAGCCCCGCCTCTCCCCACCTCTGCTGCTCACTGCTGTAGCATGGCCAGTAGCTACTGTCAGTAGCTACTGCTAGTGCTACTGCTACTGACCATGCGACAGATGTTAGTACAACATCTACAGCTCGACCATGCTACAGATGTTAGTGCAAAATCTACAGCTCCTCTAGCACAACCATCAGCAACAAGTGGACATGGAGAATTACATGAACTACTACATGTTGCTAAATCCACCGCGGGGCATAAACAGAAGGGTAGCCATGGCAACATTGCTCCGGGCTGCTCCGGAGTCTTCTTCGCTGCTTTTGGTGTATTTTGTGGCGGAAGTTACAGCGCCACTTACAGTCCCGGCATATGTACTACAGCGTGTCCAGCGCTTTCGAGCGGTCTCGTGTGGAAGTACAGCGCCACTTATAGTCCCGGCATATGTACTACAGCGTGTCCAGCGCTTTCGAGCGGTCTCGTGTGGAAGTACAGCGCCACTTATAGTCCCGGCATATGTACTACAGCGTTTCCAGCGGTCTCGTTTGAACAGACACGTTAAATGAAACGAATGCATGTGAACGGAAGACATTTTTGAAAACACATACTGTGCATAAACGCAAACGTTCCCGTGTAAAAGCAGCCTTAAGGACAGCTGACCTCCTGACCTCACTTAATACCGTTTTAATATTAGGTATAACTGAAGTCCCACACTAATGTTTAGAGATCAGGTCTGGATCTCTGTCAGTGTCCCTGTTCATCCCAAATGCAGTAAACAGTTGTTGCAGCCCTGTCAAGTTCTTAAGTTCTAGTACATGGGATAATAACTAGTAATGTTTGTTTTGTTGCATTAATTGGACATAGTTTTTTGGCCAACATTTTTTTATTTCAAATGTGTTGCTCAGCAAAGGGGCATGAATGACCTGAATAAAGCAAGTCATATTCTCCTCAGTTAAAGCTGCAATATTTTATTGTGTTGTAAAAGTCCTGCATTCAAAATGTTACTCAAGTAAAAGTAGAAAAGTATTAGCATCAGAATATAGTTAAAGTACCAGATTGGCCCATTTCAGAATAATATATATGATATGTTTTATAATGATTGATCATGAAAGTGTTCTCAAAGCTGGTAAAGGTGCAGCTAGTTTGAATGACTTTGTATACTGCAGGGTAGCTTGTGAATTTACTCCAGGTGGAACTAAAGTCTGATTTAACACTTTTCATATTTCATCATTCATCCACATCTGTAAAGTAACTAAAGGTATTCAATACATGTAGTCGAGTAAAAGTACACCATTTACTTCTGAATTGTAGTGGACTACATAGTAATACAAAATTTAAAATTGAAATACTCAAAATTGTACTTAAGTATAGTAAAGTAAATCTACTTAGTTACTTTGCAACACTGCTCCACAGTGCTCTAAGGCTCTTTAGATGTATTGAGTACACTCGGGTTACAACATCAGTGGACATTGATTTGAAGAGTGTGTCCTCAAACCCTCCCTCTAACTGTTCCCCTCACAGCACTCACCCGGTGCTGATCCAGGGGGAGACGTCTGTGGGGAAGACCAGCCTGATCCACTGGCTGGCTGCAGCCACGGGGAACCAGTGTGTGAGGATCAACAACCACGAGCACACCGACATCCAGGAGTACATCGGCTGCTACTCCTCCGACAGCAGGGGCAAGCTGGTGTTCAAAGAGGGTACGAACACTCATCAGCCAGCGGGCACCACAGTAGCTGATGCATCCATATCAAATATTTTGCTGCATGTCACCCCCTCTCTTTCCCCTCTCTGTTCAGAGGGTTAAAGGCAAAAAGCCAAAACTAAAAATATATATATATAACTGATAAAAGAAAGCATTATAATCACAAAGCAATTTCAATTCTGTTCATAAAACATTAAGACATAGTGCAGAAGAAACGCATCATAACATGTTTGAATACTAGAAATTTGAATGAAATTAGGAAAAATAGTAGAATTGCAGTTTTCTCCGGTGTTTGTTCCAGATATATGGAGCATAATAACTGAAAGCTGCTTCAGTTTGACTCTGGGGACAGAAAGGAGACCTGGATGGTTCATGATGTAGCGGGAGATGGGAAATGTATGGCCCTAAACCATTTGGTGCTTAATAAAGCAGAAGTAGTATTTTAATGTCAATTCTCTGAAAGACAGGAAGCCAGCGTTCTGAATCAGCTCTAGCTGTCTGATAGATTCTTTAGTGCGAGCTGCAAAGACCCCGTTATGTAGAGGAACTGTCTCCCAGTGGCCCCCCCTGGCCTCCTCCAGTCTGATGTTTCTGTGCCCCCTCCCCTCCAGGCGTTCTGATAGACGCCATGAGGAAAGGCTACTGGATCATCCTGGACGAGCTGAACCTGGCCCCCACGGACGTGCTGGAAGCCCTCAACAGGCTGCTGGACGACAACAGGGAGCTGTTTGTGGCCGAGACACAGGAAGTCATCAAGGCTCACCCCAGGTTCCTGCTGTTCGCTACCCAGAATCCCCCTGGACTCTACGGCGGTAGAAAGGTAACTATGCCTCTATTTTAGCCTGATATCTAAAGGTGTCATGGTAACTGTGACCTTCAGATTTCAAATGTTGACATTTCAGAGCAAAATCAATTTATATGAATGGATTTGAGGGAGTCAAATATGCCCATGTTGTTCTAATAAAGCTTAACAATACATTTCAACATCACCAGAAACCATACTGAGCTTGAGAACAAGAAAACATAACATGATAAACTTTATAAACATTATGTTGTTTAAGATTGCAAGCATGTATCTACTAGTAAACAGTGCGAGTTTGATTTGACCAATCAAAACACTAACTACTGCTACTAGTGAAAGGTTTTATATTGTCCTCACCTTCGCTGCCAGGAGAAATATATCACTACAATGCACTAAAGATGAGGTCCCATCTCTCAAAGGCTGGCAACAATTATATTTGGGTTGGTTCCCCTGGAAGTGTTCTACACGCCATATCTGACCAGTTCTATCATAAGTTTCCTTGGCCCTGATTTATCGGCTATTATTGTAAAAGGAACCTCCCGATTTAAAAAAGTGATTCTCCTGTAAACTCCAATGTATGTCTGGAAACTCTTATTTTCAGTTTTCTCTTTGGTTGTTGGCTTTGCTTTGTAATTATGCATTTGAAATGTATGTTTGCTATGTCAGTGGTTCCCAACTGGGGGTTCGGGGACCCCTAAGGGCACTTGAGGGGATTGCAGCGGGTACGGAGAAAGATTAGGGATTGCCATATATTTCCACACAACATTTCATTTGAAATCAATTGACATAAGCCTGGTGTCCCGCCCCCAGAACTATCAAAGCTTTTGAAAGGGTCTCATTAACAGCTCTAGTGACTTAATCAAAGATGCTGAAACTGCTCGAAGTGATTTTTAGTATTATTATTTTTCACTGACTAAGTGTAAATATCAAGTTTAAAAGCATTTATGTTAAGGGATAGTTATACACGTGATTTTCATCCACGGAGCAGTTTGGGGCGTACAAGAAGAAGTGCAGGCGAATCTTCACAGATGAGTGAAGGGGTTCTTATAGAATACTAATATTATAGAATGGCGACCAGCTCGAGTGGTACACAAGACATACATGGTAGGGAACCTCTGTGCTATGTCATAAGTGAGTTAAAAAAAAAAGAAAGAATAATCAATACAAATATTGTTAAGAAAGAAAACGGTGAGTAAGGTTGTCTGCCTGCCCTCCAGGTGCTCTCCAGGGCCTTCAGGAACCGCTTCGTGGAGCTGCACTTTGACGAGCTGCCCAGTGCAGAGCTGGAGACCATCCTCCACCAGAGGTGCAGCCTGCCTCCGTCCTACTGCAGCAAGCTGGTGAAGGTCATGCAGGACCTGCAGGTAACTGACACTCATGTTGCACTACTGCGCACCCAGGGGCAGATTATGGGATGACGGATCCCTGGGCACAGACCTGCTAAAGGCCGTACCTCCTGCATAGGAGCCAGAAACAGGCTTAAAGTTATTGAGTTATTGCGGTATTCTTTTGTGTTTTTTTTCGGTCTCACACATCTATTTCTGACTTACATTTTGTACTTGCTCTTAAATTCTGGAGATAACTCACTTCTTAAACTCAATGGATAAACTGAGAATATTTCATTTTCTGTAAATATTTTGTTCTAGTACTGCTTAATTAGTTAAACAATTAATCAAAATAGCAATATGGACCCAATATGGTTATGGAGAATCAAAATATTTGTTAAAGGCTAAATATGAGTTAAAATACAGTTTTGAATTAAGTATTGTGGAACTGCAGAGATATCCCAGTCTATAAATCATAATCCAACACATTGTTGGTATCGATCCTCAAAAAAAAAAAAATGACATAAAATAATTTAAATAAAAATGTTCATGATAATGAGAACTAGCTTTCAAAATGATCAGTTCCACTAATATGGTGAACCATATCACAATTGCCATATCAGTCAAAAATAATCACAATAAGTAATTTGTTCACAATCATGCAGCTCTATTTTGTAGTAATGCACCAATGTTATGGTTTATTGAGGAGAACGTACTTGCATGTTTCTTACTGTTCTGAGTTTCTATCTTCATGGTTTAAACTTTATTGCACTTAATGCACGTTTCTCTGGATGAAAGTTTCAGCTAAATGTGATGACAATGATGACAGCACTTTGTTTTCCTAGGCCTGTGCCTCTTTGTATCGCCTGCCTGTGTTGGGTGTTCTGACCTGTGTGTAATGTGTTCCCCTCCCCAGTCCTTACGCAGGGGCTCTACAGTGTTTGCGGGGAAACACGGCTTCATCACGCTCAGAGACCTGTTCCGCTGGGCCGACCGGTACCGGCTGCAGGAGCAGACCGACGCCTCGCAGGACTGGCTGCAGTACCTGGCCGACGATGGTGAGGCCGGGAGGATGATCTGTTGGATAGATAGATAGATATATAGATAGTTAGATAGATAGTTAGATGGATAGATGGATAGATAGATGTATAGATAGATAGATAGTTTGATGGATAGATGGATATTATTTAGTTACAGCAGTGGTGTGTTAAGGCATTACCATATATAAAAGGTGGAATAAAGTATAAACATAATGAAATAAAAACAATAAACAGCAAATATAAACATATCTACTGTAGAAAAGATATAATTCACAAATAATTCACACATGTTATTTTACTCTATTCTAATCTGTTTCTTCTTGCACTATTTTTTATTTGATTGTTTAAATAAGTGTTAATGTTTTATGTCTTATATATGTCATGTATCATTGTTGGAGGGCCCTGGAAGCTAAGATGATCATTGCCATACCTTCACTGTAGCTGCTGCCCATGTGACATAACGTCCTCAGTGTAGCTGCTGTGCTCCTCCTCAGGGTTCATGCTGCTGGCAGGGCGGGTGAGGAAGCCGGAGGAGGAGGCCATCATCCTGTCCACCCTGCAGAAGCACTTCAAGAGGACGGTGAACCCTGAGAGCCTGTTCTCCCAGAAACAGGTCACCGCACAGTTCAGTGAGTCAAACATCAACTACCACATACTGATCCTGGACCAGCTCATTCTGTCTCAGTATATCAACAGCCTGAGTATACCTCCTGCAACACAAACAATCTGTTCAATTAAGTTGCAGTTAAAGAACAAAATGCAGCGCTTACAGAGTTTCTATGGTTTTTCAGGTAGAGGTTTAGATAATCTTACAGTCAACCTACTGTTCTTACATTTGACCACATGGCACTGACAGAATGTACATTGTATAATCAGCATTTTCTTTATTTAGAACAGCATACTGATGTTTCTATTCGCTCTACAAGATTTAGAACAAGTATTTTACTGTATATTTAGATGTACAACTGTAACGTACGAAAACAAATAAAAAATAAAATACTATAGAACAACCCGTTAAATTCCCCAGAAATAAAAGGCTCCCTTGCTTTGTGCATTTGGGGTTCTGCTAATGCATAATGATCAGATTTTGTGTGACCAGACCACTTCTGAATGTTACTGTGCGATAGATTGTTTTGTGTAACTGTGATTCGACATTCATGGGTCAGTTCTCTGATTTGGTAACCCTCTATTTGTGCTACTGTAGCACTAAGTGGTTGTATCACAAAAGTGAAATAAGAAATCAATTGAATGTTATTCTGTCATTGACACATGTTGCCTTTGTGGCTGCAAAGTTGCATAGTCTTGCTTCAAGTCCTTTCTCCCCCCACTAAAGTTTTAATTTATTAAGCTTGCTAGTATCCATCACATTTCTGTGGACTATTAAACTCTGTGTTTCTATAGGTTGCCTCATTAAACGTCCATTTAAAGGTGGAAGAGGAATTGGACACTATAGACTTACATTAAACTGTTCAGAGAGACATGTAGCTAGTCCAGTGGTTCTCAAACTTTTTCTATCAGGCCCCCCCTTTGAAAAAAAAAAAAAAAGTCGGGCCCCCCCAACACAAATAGTCACAAATAGTCACGTAATGGGCCAAGTTAACATTTATTAAAATACATCAATATGAACGTGAGCATTCCTTTCAAAAAAAGAAAAAAATCACTTTGCTAGAACAGTGATAATAAAACAATGCTCCATAAGTCTGTGTGCTCAAAAAAATAAATTACACAATTATGCAATCCCTTTGCTAGAACAATAAGTTATAATACTTTGCAATCTGTACAAAAAAATGAAAAGAAAGAAAATGCTGATATTTGGCAAAAAAGTGTGTCTTATCATTAGTGGCTGCAATGAGCCTGTTTGGCACTGCACATTTCTTCAAAACGGGGTCGCAGGCTCAGTGGCGGCGCCAGAGATTTCTTTTGGGGGTGCTGTGGGGTAGCTTGACGTTTCATAGAGGGTGCTCAAACATTTAGGGTTTCCCATTAATGTCCCGGTCGCTACAGAGGAATTTTCTACTGCAACAATCCCCACGCATATACACAATGTGACAGTTACAATGAAGGCTTGATAATCAGCTCGCGGCATATAGGTGTAAGCAGGGGTAAAGTGCTATTTTTTACAAGTGGGGAGTGAACCTCACATAGGGGGGTCCGGGGGCATGCTCCCCCGGGAAGATTATTTTTAAATATTGAAGTTAAAAGCATCAATCTGGTGCACTTTGAGAGCAAAATTAAGAGATCTATGGATACCTCTCTCAACACCCATATGAAACGGAACTGTAAACAGATTTACTTTTTCTTTATGGATATTTTACTAATCACCCTTTTAAACTTTATTATTTTTTTACTAGTATTTCAAACCTGTTTTTCATTTATTCTCTTATTTTTTTATAACTATAATGATCATATAAACGTGTGCCTCGGAAATAATTGTTTACATTAATCGTGACCAAAACGTATGAGACCCACTGAGATAACTTAGACTAAAGTTAACTATCTAAACACTCAGAGAGTCCTTTATCAAGAAACTTCTAAAGGACTAAAGACTAGTAAAACATTTGAGGAGAAATATGAATCAAACTATAAATAGTAACTCCACATTTCTAATAAATGATTTAATTATGAAAAATAAGAAGTGTACATTTAAAATAGAAAAAGTGACAATTACAGATGTTGAATGTCTACTAGGTAAATGTAATGATAAACCACCAGGAGTGGATAATTTAGTTGGTACATTTCTTAGATATGTTGCTAATTTGGTTGCAGAGCCTATCTGTCATATTATAAATTTGAGTATTGATAAATGTATTTGCCCACAGGCATGGAAAATAGCAAAAATTATTCCACTTGCAAAAAATCCAGCTGGACCATTTTCTGGTACTAATAGCCGCCCAATAAGTTTATTACCAGCGTTAGCAAAGATAATGGAGAGAATAATTTTCAATCAAATACAAAAATACTTTGAAGGTAACAAACTTAATACTGTGTATCAACATGCTTACAGACCTGGCCATTCGACATGCACCGCTTTAACACAAATGACAGATGACTGGAAGGGCGAACTAGATAATAGGAAGTTAGTGGGTGCAGTACTACTTGATTTTAGTTCTGCTTTTGATGTCATTGACCATTCTTTGTTGTTAAACAAGCTGGAACAATATGGTTTTAATTTTGAAACGCTGAGGTGGTTAGAAAGTTGCCTGACAAATCGAAGTCAAACTGTTTTTTTAATGGAAGTCTCTCAAAGATGAAAACAGTCACTTGTGGAGTACCTCAGGGTAGTTGTTTGGGACCACTTTTATTTTCTATTTTTACAAATGACCTACCATTAGTGTTAGAAAAAGCTAAAATTGTAATGTATGCAGATGACTCAACAATATATTATGCAGCATCAACTACAAGAGAGTTGACAAATGTTATGAATAAAGATCTACTACTGATATCAGAGTGGGTCATAAATAATAAGTTGGTACTTAATGCGGGAAAAACTAAATCGTTATTAATAGGATCAAATCATCAGTTAAAAGGTGAACCAAAATTGCAACTACATTTAAACCATATTGAAATTGAACAGGTCAAGGAGACAAAATTGCTAGGTATAACCCTGGATCATAAATTATCTTGGTCTAAACAAATTGATAATGTTGTATGTAAAATGGGAAGGGGTGTGTCACTTGTAAAAAGAATTGTAAAATATTTGCCAATGGATGTCAGTAGACAAGTTTTGGATGCTTTGGTTCTGTCGCAGCTTGATTATTGTTTGGTTATATGGTCTAGTCAACTTATATTTTGTTAAATTTTGTCAGAAATATTACAGTGACTCACTCACCAGATATATTATCACAAAGGTTTATAGCGCAATATGCTCAACATAACTATCAAACACGACATACAATAGAAGGAAGGTTTGTATTACCCAAATCTAAATCAAATATGGGACAGAAAACAGTAATGTACAGAGCCATGGTCAGCTGGAACTCTTTACCGGTCCACATCATTCAGGAAAATTCTCAAGTACATTTCAAAAGGTTGCTAAAAAATTATTTAAGTATTATAAAGTCAATTTGAACTGTGTCTGTGGCTATGTATGCATATATTATTATGTACACTTATTTGTATTTACTTTTGTTTGGCCTTAGGATGGCGATAATTGGATGACCATTTTAGTTTTCACTTCATACAGCACTGTAAATTTCATGAAATTATGAGCTGTTTTGTTTTAATTTTGTTGTATGTTTATGTATGTTTTGTGTGTGTGAGGACCCCAGGAAGAATAGCCAATGCTCATGCTAGTGCTAATGGGGATCCTAATAAAGACATAAAGACATAAAGACATAGTTCACTAAGCCTCTCAGTCTGACAGGAGAGGACTCTCCTCCACCTTGTTGTTGAAAAAGCTCCTTATATCCGTTAGCGTAGCTCGCTAGCACCAGAAGCTAACAACAACGATCTCCGGTACCGGCGCGCTCTCTCTCGGCTCGTTCCACACACACACAGCCGAGCTTGAATGAAACACAGAGACCCAGACGTAATTGTACTGTACTGTATCATATTATTTTTCGAATCAATCATTTAAAAATCTTTTTGTTTTAATAACCATTTTTCCTCCTGGTCTCTCGCGCCCCCCCTGTCATGCCTCTGCGCCCCCCAGGGGGCCCCCCACTTTGAGAAACACTGAGCTAGTCTGATGAACACAGCATGATGTCTTGTTGCTCTGATCGACAGGTCCCTTCATCGACAGCATCGCCGGGGTCCCAGAGGAGTTTCGCCATGTGGTGTGGACCCTCGGCATGAGGAGACTAGCTGTGCTGGTGGGACGGGCGCTGAGATTCGGAGAGTCTGTCCTGCTGGTGGGAGACACCGGGTGAGATTCTAATCATTGCGACCTTCAGAAGATCAGGGTAAAAGGGTTCTGGAGAGCTTTATCCCTGGCTCTATGGAGGGATAGGGGGACCAGACTATGGACATGTTTTTTACTTTGCTATTAACTGACCGATGCCCTAGCTCCAAGTCGTGATGACACTGATGCAGGGATGGGCAAATGGCGGCCCAGGGGCTGCATGCGGCCCCAACCTCCTCTTTTTGCGGCCCTCAGATTAATTTATAAACAACGTAATTTAATAATAAAAAATAAAAAAACGTCCACTAGACTCCTAGTTACGTCGCGAGCTGCGTACATGATTTTGTTCGGCAGCCAAATACCGCAAAGATAATCTGTGACGCGTTTGGGTGTATTGTGTTTGTTTCCCGGGGAAAGACTCACAAGAAACACCGGCTGTTGTTATGCCTGCTGTGACGTTAAGTTACCACTTGTAATTATGCCTTTACAAGCTTAAAAGTTGTATTTATCATCTGAATTTGGCGAAACAAGTTTAATATTCTAAAAACCAAGACTTTGTTTATTTGAAATCAGATGAAAACAAACTGTCTCGGACCCTGCCGTGTTATCTATGATTACTATACGCTTTTCATTCATAATTTCAGCGGGAGGGAGGGGGAGCGGCGCTGAGGAACAGCAGAGTGCGGGTTGACAGGTGTCTGTGTTGACATTCCCCTTATTGTGGAATAAGGGGAATGCAGAGACAGGCTACAAGTGTTTTAGGTTCAAGTTAGACAACTAATGTCTGGGTTAGTGTTCATGACTTCATGTGTATGTCATCTTAATGGTTAATCTCAATGCACACACATTTTCCGTGCTTTCCAATAGTTTAAAATAGTTTTATTCCACTGTTAAATAACCTGTTCAATACAAACATGCCACTTGTAAAAATTAAATAACATTTCTGTGAACTGATATTTGTTTAGTGACCTTAATAGAGGATGTTCCTTGAAAGATTGTAAAATGTCAATGAAGATGTCAGACTTAGTATATTTGTTAATAATTACATACAATACATGGAATTTGTGTGTGTGTGTTCCAAGTTAATCTGCGGCCCCCTGGTGGCCAGTACATAAATGATGTGGCCCCCACCACCATCCAAGTTGCCCATCCCTGCACTAATGACTAAACATTCCCATCAGCCTCAGCTCTACTTTGTATTTGTGTTAATTAGTAAACATTATGACATGTTAGCATGCCGATGTTAGCATTTAGCGTTAAGCACTGCTTTCTCAGTAGAACCTCTCGGAGCAGCTGACCTGACCTGTCAGTGAATGTTGCTGCACTTGCTGTTATTATTATAATGCTAAGATTTGTTCCTGTCCCGTCACCAGATGTGGAAAGACAACTATCTGCCAGCTGTTTGCTGCTCTGTCTGCACAGAAGTTCTTCTCTGTCAACTGTCACCTCCACATGGAGACATCGGACTTCCTGGGAGGCCTGCGACCCGTCAGACATCAGGTACTGACCTTTATATACACAGTCTATGGTACTTTCACACATGACAGTATTGATACATTAAGAAATCATGAATGATATCATTATAATGAAAAAATGTAACCTATTGTGAAAAAATTGTATTTGATTCGTATATTAATAAAAACACGATTTATTGTTAACCTAATTAACATTCCACTTTAATTTGAAAAAAATGGTCTCACCAGATACTTAGAATTAATTTTTGCAAGATATGCGTTACTCTATCTGGTTTAGGTTGTAGCAAGGACCAAACAAGCATCACATGTTGCACTACTGTATTTTAACCATATGATTTTAATATAATATGGTGTGATATTTTGAGTTGTTAGTGCAGGACACCCAAATATACCAAAGGTTTAGTGTGTGTTTGAGAATGAACATTAGATTAGTTGACTGGCAGTTGGTATTACAGCCAGTGCATGAATGTGTTTGTGGAAAGATCTTTTGTCATGATTTATCATCCTCCCTGTGTGTGTGTCTGTGTGTAGACTGATGGGGAGGACTGCAGGCTGTTCCAGTGGCTTGATGGGCCCCTGGTGCTGGCCATGAAGGAGGGGGGGGTGTTCCTCATGGATGAGATCTCCCTGGCAGACGACTCAGTGCTGGAGAGACTCAACAGGTAGACACCCACACACACACATACACACATATACACACACACACACACACACACACACACTTTTTAACTTTGTAAGTACTAATCCCTCCTGTAGAGGGCGGGGCACAGGTAATCTACATCACATAGTTTGAAGGTGGAGTTAGCAGCAGAAAAAAAGTGTATCTGCACAGTTCGGATGTGATGGTCAAACTGTCATTATAGGAGTAATCTGCTTTAGTCTAATGAAAGATAACAATTGTATCTTTGTTCTAAACATGCTGTTCTACATGATGTCGGGAATCTGTCAGACCAGATTCACACATATCAACCGCTTCAATTTCAGTATGTGTATGTGTGGCACGAAGTTGCATAGTAAAATGAATTTTGACTAATGAGCATTACAAGAAGATCTCTCAGATATCGGATATCTAAAAAAATGTTTTAGGCAGACTGTAATCTAGACATGTTTGACTTTGAGTAAAACAAGGAAGGAAGCAGCGCTGTAGTCTGGGGGTAGTCTCTATCGTCAGATCACAGTAGGACGAATAAGCTGATGGCCTGTGTTCTATTAGACATTGATGGTAACATTTTGCACAAAAAAAAAAATAGAAGTGCAAGAACTGTGTTCTAAAACACACCTTCTCTTTCCCTTTCAATCAATAAGGACACCTTGTGATGACAGTTAGTAAAACATATGTGCAACAAGTGGTACTGTTACGAGACTTTTAAGAGTATACTGCCACAAATTATACTTTTGCTACACTTGGAATGACATTTTGAGACACAACCACATGCAGGTGAATAACAGACGTGGCTGGCCCTTGACAGTGTGTGTTTCCTCTCAGTGTCTTAGAGACAGAGAAGTCCCTGGTGCTGGCGGAGAAGGGCAGCGGAGACAATGACGACGTGGAGCTGATCAAAGCAGCTGCAGCTTTCCGTCTGGTGGCCACCATGAATCCTGGAGGAGACTTTGGCAAGAAGGAGGTAGATACAAAAAAAAAAAGAATAATGTTGCTGTGTTGCATTTGCCTGTTATTGATTCTACTAAAAATGTAAATACGATGTTTGTCCCAAAATGCTCTTTCTATCAGATGTGCAACTTTGTCCTGGTTTGAGTGTGTATAAAGCATGTCGTATAAATCATAACCCAAATCTTGGTTACACCTTTTCAGCCAACTTCATATAATAGTAAATAAACCCTAATTTACAGATACAATTAAACGTTATTTTTGAGTTAAAAAAAAAGTTTTGACTTTAGTTAATATCAGAAGTATCACTGGTATATGTCAACGTTCAGTAAGGAGTTTATTTTGATAAAATATAAATGTAATTCATTGCAAATAGTGATCATACATTTTTCACGCAAAGAACATTCAACTATTAGATTAAATAATTTGTCTGACATAAAAACATTTATAAACGGATGAAATTTGACCCAAAGCCAATAGGAGGGTTAAAATGTCTAAATGTGCTTTTACCTGTATGAAGGCAGAGTATAACTCTTGTGCTTGTTTGTTTTGGCCAGCTCTCTCCTGCCCTAAGGAACCGTTTCACAGAGATCTGGTGTCCTCAGAGCAACAGCCGCAGTGACCTGGTTCAGATCATCCAGCACAACCTGCGCTCAGGCCTCTCCATCGACGGTAAACTAGCTTAGAGACGAAGTTGCTGAAACAAGTCTTGGTTACATCCAGTCAGTCCTAGTTACAGCATAGCAAACGATTGATGTGTGAAAACATAGAAAACAGCCAATTGAAAGTGTTCCTAATGTTGTTCCTTTGTCTGGCGCAGGCGGCGATATCGCGGAGCTGATGCTGGACTTCATCGAGTGGCTGACTCAGCAGGACTTCGGCCGGCGCTGCATCCTGAGTGTCAGAGACATCCTGTCCTGGGTGTACTTCCTGAACGTTGTGTGTGAGCGGGACGAGGACGGCTTCATGACCATGGGAGCCCTGGAAGAGGAAGAGGAGGCAGAGTGGGACCTCAGACTGGACACCGTGACCGCCTTCATCCACGCAGCATGTCTGGTGTACATCGACGGCATTGGCTCTGGTGAGCTGATGGATTATTATTATTTTCACAGAGAAAGATTCTCTCCAAGGAGGTGTTGATTGTTATCTGAGGGTCCCTCTTCTTGCAGGAACCACGGTGTCCTCTGCAGACAACGCCTTCCTGGCTCGCCGACTGTGCCTGGGCTTCCTGCAGCAGCGGCTGAGCAGCATGACCAAACTGGACCAGGAGGTGCTGGACGCCCTGAGGGTGTACGACAGCGGCCTGCCGCGGCAACCCCAGTGGGGGGAAGACTTCTTTGGCATCGACCCCTTCTACATTGCTTTAGGTTTGAACGCTCCAGATTTATAACATTCTATATCATGGCTCCTTTTGTTTTTGTTTAAATGCTTTATAATATGCTTTATAGTAGGCTGTAGTCTTATGTGACCTAGAAAAACGCATAGTTTATATATATATATATATATATATATATATATATATATATATATATATATATATGATACAGGATTGTATCTGAAATGTATAAAAAGCTGACCATACATTTGCAATGGCCAGATTAAGAGACATGGTAAATGAAATGACTTCATCTGCATAGAAGATGCACGTTACAATTTGGGATACAGTTGTTCTAAAAATATGTTGAATAAAGAAAGGAGAAGAAAGTACCCAAGCAGTTCACCTATACTAACTGAGACTTGAGTTGTAACTGTTAGAAACTACGTCTATTTATCTACTCCAATTGTACATTCCAATAAAATCCCATGATGGACCGACTCCACTGCTTTAGATAAGTCTATGATGAGTGCAGCCCAGTGTTGTTTATTATCTAAGGCTTCAATAATATTACTACTCATAATGGATCTTGTGTTGTTGTGCTATGACTTGATCTAAATCCCGACTGCTGCTGTAATCTGATGCAAAATGAACTTCTTTAATAATCAAATACCCTGCCCTAAAATTGTCCATAAATAGTTATATAAATAAATATAACAAAAACATTTTTTGAATGTATTACCCACCCTAGCTTTAAATCATTTGCATAGGTCCAAATTAGTGATGCTCTTGGCCTGCTGGTTATAGTAAGTTAGTGCGCCTTTGGTTCCAAGCTGCATTGGGTGAGACCCGGTATAGATGCTTTAGGTCTAGGTCGATAAATAAATTGTTTAAAATTTGAGAGTGATTTCAAAGAGTGTAACTTAATAAACTGGTTCAGTTGAGTTTCTCTTCAGGTTCTTGAATCAAAGAGCTCTTTACGCTTCCTGTCCCTCCAGGCCCTCAGACGGAGAGCCGGGACCTGCCGGACTACGCCATGGCAGCTGGCACCACGGCGGTGAACGCTCAGAGGCTCCTGCGGGCTCTGAAGCTGCAGAGGCCCGTGCTGCTGGAGGGCTCCCCCGGCGTGGGGAAGACCAGCCTGGTGGCAGCGCTGGCTAAAGCCTCAGGGAACCATCTGGTCAGAATCAACTTGTCGGAGCAGACGGTGAGACTTCATTAAACAATGCTCTCCATGGAGCTCCGGATCTTTTAATACTTCCTCGCTCTGATGCTATTGACTGATGGTTTGCTCTCTGGCAGGATGTTACGGATTTGTTTGGGACAGATCTCCCTGTGGAGGGAGGAAAGGGGGGAGAGTTTGCGTGGCGCGATGGCCCCCTGCTGGCTGCTCTGAAGGCTGGACACTGGGTGGTCCTGGACGAGGTAAGCACAATGTTTTTCATTTAATTTCGTTAAACGACCACCATTTTGGTGTACTTGCTGAGATCAAAACTCTGTTGAATAATAATGTAGTTTAATGGACAAAACGTGGTGATCAGACATAGATATTGTAATAATAATAATCAAAGCAATCATAAATCTTGCGGTCAACAAAAAGTACAACGGCCCTGTGTCTCCCTCTCTTCCACACACACACCTCACGCAGGTGAACAGGATTATAGTAGCCGCGTTCATACCGGAGTACTTTTCACCGTACTTTTCGCGTTTAGTTCCGTTAGTACCCCTTATGTCGCGTTCACACCAAAAAGAGCACTTAATCGCGGGAACTTTTACCCCCATTTTTAGTGCCTGCTGAGAGATGGTACTTTCCTGGGGGAAAAAAGTGTCCCAGTTCTGATTTGCTGGGCGAATTGCAAACCACGCCCCGTACAACTCTGAAATGTTTTGTAGAGCTGCCATTTTATTATCCTGGCATTAGCATTATTAGCATTAGCATTCGCCCAGTGCACAAACGCAGAGAGACTAACTTATGGCAACACAAAATAAAACATGGGAGCGGTGGAGATGAGGAGGTGTCGGCGTTCTGGCGATTTACTCGGAAGGCTTCAGTAGAAGCTGCTGGGAGTCTTCCGGCTTCCGGCCGGGGACTCCGGGTGGCAGTATACGGCGTGAAGTTGTTTGCGGCCTGCCAGTAAACCCAAAGCAGAAGAAGACGAAGTGACGTCAGCGGCTCATTTGCGTAATCTTCCCTCAGGGAAAAGTACTCCGGTGTGAACGCGATCTATACTAAATGCCCTGGGGTTATAAATGCCGGGGCACTGAGTGCCGGCACTAAATACGGCCAAAGTACTTGGTGTGAACGCGCCTATTAGTGCCGCCCATATCCATGTGACCCAAGCCAACCAATCAATAGTGATCAAACAAATATCTTATATTAAAACAAAACACATTACTATACACGTTTCATGGCTCCTACACTAACCTTAATTAAACAAACTGTAATGTGTTAATATAATCTGGGATTTTAAACTGATTGGACTTGTTGTCATGGTGACAGCTGAACCTGGCCTCCCAGTCGGTGTTGGAGGGTCTGAACGCCTGTTTCGACCACCGAGCAGAGATCTACATCCCTGAGCTGGGCATGAGCTTCCAGGTTCAGCCGGAGAAGACCAAGATCTTCGGCTGCCAGAACCCCTTCACTCAGGGGGGGGGGCGGAAGGGGCTGCCCAAGTCCTTCCTCAACAGATTCACCCAGGTGAGGAGTAGCGGGATAAATACAAATTGTTTAAGATACTTCAAAAATGATTATCGATTGCAGTTTTTAGTCTTAGATCTTATTTTCTTGTCTATTAATATATTTGGGGATTTTGTAAATTGATATCTTGGTAATTTAATAAAAAGTGCATGACTTTTAAATTAAATGTCTTTTTTTATTTAACCTTTTTTCCAATTGCTCATGATAAAATCTTTCTCTTTGGTTAATAAATATTTTACAGTAGAAATCAATAATTTTAGTTATTTTTTAAGCAAATATTCTCTGGTTGCAGATTTATATTTGAACATGCATTTCTATGTATTACACCATTGTTTAATAAAAATATTTTACTTTAGACTGACAAAACTATTTTGTCGCCTTGACATTTCACAGACTAAACTGTTAATTTAGAAACATTTACAATATCACTTAAGATCACTTACATCTGCCTTCCCCCTGTGTCCTAGGTGTTTGTGGACCAACTCACAAGCAAAGACATGGAGTTCATCGGAGACTCCATCTTCACCAGCATCGATAAGGAGATCATAGCTAAGATGGTGGAGTTCAGTAACAGGGTGAGTTCCTCTCTGTCTGCTGTGAGAAGATATGACCTGCGAGGCGAGCATCAGGCCAAGTTTTACAAGTGAGGTTTTCTTTCTGCATTTCAGCTGGTCCAGGAGGTGTGTGTGGAGCGGCGCTGGGGTCAGAAGGGAAGTCCCTGGGAGTTCAACCTGCGCGACTTGTTCCGCTGGTGTGAGCTGATGCAGGCCGACCAGTCTCCAGGGTTCTTCAACCCCGGGCAGCATGTAGCCCTGGTGTTTGCTGACAGGATGAGAGCGGAGGCTGACAAGGCTCAGGTACACTGCTGCTCCAATCTGTAATCAGTACATTAATATAGGCAACTAGAAAATGCATTTCCTGCTGAAAATGCGTGCGAATGCTGTAAACTGTGAACATTTGTTGCTGAATTTAGCTGAAAATGCAGAAAAAGCTGAATATGTTATTAGTTGAATGGTCTCTGTAGCTGCTTTTAGCTACAGAAACCAAGTAAGTGTGTTGCTGAACTTAGCGGAGAAATGCAGAAAAGTGAAATGATTTGAATCAAAATTGTTACAGCTCAAATGCATTGCAATGACTTTGTTGAAAACTTGAAAGTGAAATGTTAAACTGGAAGAGTAGGAAAAATAGTGAAGAAGCTTAATATTTAAAATAAAAGGTTTAAAAAAAGTATAAACAACAAAATGTATAGCCTCAATGTCCTGAAATAGCTGAATAATGTAATAGTTGAATGGTTTCTGTAGCTGAAAGTAGGCTGAAGGAGTTAGATATTAAGTGTAAGTAGTAGTGAATGAATGTGTATTAAGAAGAGAAAAGAAAGTAAAAACGCTTTGAAAAGCAGCAGAATATTTAAACTGCAAACTTTTGAACTAACTTGTTGGCGAGTGATCTGTCGCCATGGCAACGGCATTTGATGAAACCCCATAATACGCTTAGATGTGTTGATGGCTGCATCGTTACCAAACCTGTGATGTTTTGGGCCGTTTGGAGCATTTTCACTGAAGTTATGAGAAAACCGTGTTTCATGGCGAGCATTGTGTTGCCAAGGCAACGGCATTTGAAGAAATCTCAAAACTGTCACGTAGATGTCTTCACGGCTGGACTGTTGGCACACATGTGAAGCCTGAGCACTTTTTGACCATTTTCATAGGAGTTTTAGCAATATCTTGTTTTATGGCGAGGGATGTGTTGCCATGGCAACAGCTTTTGAGGAAAACTCACTATTGGCACATAGACATGTTGAGGGCTGAACCATTATCTGAAGTCTGGTGCTGTTTTGCCCCTTTTCATAGGCGTTTAGACAACATCGTGTTTTTTGGCGACAGATGCGTTTCCATGGAAACGGCTTAGGGTGAGATATCCGATTTGGCGTAAAGCTGTTGAGGCATGGAGAGGTGATATACAGGTGAAGATTGGGGAACGATCGGACCGTGTCCATTGGAGTTACAGCGACATCGTGTTTTATGGCAAGGGATGCGTTGCCATAGTAACACCACATTACGTAACATCAGATTTGATGTAGAGCTGTTCAGGGCCACAGTGTTAACCATCATGTGATGTTTGGTGGCGTTCTGAGCATGTCAGTTGGAGTTATGACATCATCGTGTTCCATGACACAGGTGTTTATGTTTGAGTTAACGATGTTATGAAACACCTGTGCTTGAGCCCAGAGATCAAAGGTTTCCATGGTGATCAGTAATCAGTGAGAGGAGAGCCTTTCCATTGATCTGAATGAGAGATAAACCTCTTACATGTGAACGTTTTGTTGAAGAACCGTAGCAGATATCGGTGACATTTCAACGTGTGAAGCGTCTCAGGACCCCGACGAGCGTCTGAGTCCATAATGTGGCCTTTTTGGCAGATTTACTAAAGGGGTGCAGCTGCTGAATGTCTTTTTTTAAAAGACTTTTAAAGTTGGAATGAAGTCTCTAGCTGAAAGTATGTGGAAGGAGTAGCATTTGGCACACGGTGTAGTTAAAAGAGGATTTGAAGGTTCCTCCCATTGAGTTACATGTTAAAAAAATAGTTTAAAAAGCTGAATATTTCAAAAAGTATAACATATTTTGAAAAAGTTGAAAGTTTCCCATCATGTGCTGAAAAGGTTGAATAGTTTGATATTTGAATGGTTTCTGTAGCTGAAAGTAGGCTGAAGTTATTTGACGGCAAAAATATTGGTTGAAATAAGAAGAAGAGGAAGTATTAACTTTTTGAAAAACTATAGTGGAATGCTGTTGCACAGCATTCGCACTAATTAGAAGTAGTTGAATAGAGTGGTGCAGTGACGCGTCCTAAAACCCGAAAGTAAGCTTCTTCCGGTTCCCTCGACAAAAAAGCAATGCAATTTCTCCATAGGATCGATACATTTATGAATAGAACATTCTAAAAGCTTACTTCCGGTTTTTAGGATGCGTCACTGCACCACTCTATTGGGTTTTCAAACAATCATGTTTAATTAATTAGTGTCTGTTGTACTTGAGATACTTTTGTGTTTTGTTCCAGTTGTTTTTATACTTTTAATGGTGATACTGTTGCACTTGTGAAAACACTATGAAACAAAGATGATCTTTTACAAAAACCTATGATAGTTGTTTGGGACGTGTGTTGTCTTGCCATCTAAGTAAAGAGAGCAGGACATTTCAGACTCAGGCATAACAGAACCAGTCTTTTGGTTATCAAAGTGAAGGGTGCTGGCCAATTGAACTGACCATATCTGGTCCTGGTTTGAAGGTCTGGGAAAAATACATCTACAGGTCCCTCAGAACAAGGTAGTCGGAAATGTATTTGGTTTGAATGTAATGGGTGGTAATCCTCAAAATATGGAGCTGTTTCAGAAAAGAGACTGCCTTCTGTCCTCCTCTTGGGAGTTTGTGTTTGTTAATTTTGCACGCTGAGGTTTAATACCTAAATGCATACTTTTAACTCTAGTTTGAGTAGTTCATTACACCAAGGGGATTTTTCTTCCTATTCGGGCAGCACCATTGCCGGTGCAGAGTAGTTGAACTGCTTATCATGCACAGATTACACCCTCTAACTTCAGTGCATTCAGTCACCAACCTCACTATTCCTTCTCTTGTTACTCACCTCTTTGTAAAGTGTGTTCCACTGTTCATTCTGTGAACCCCTGCCGTCCCACAGGTTCTGTCGGTGTTCAGGAAGGTGTTCGGGGAGGACTCTGAGCCGTACAGCGGCTCCCGGCAGTTCCACATCACTCCTCTCAACCTGCAGGTTCGTCAGGACTACCAAACCTCTGTCTGGTGTTGTAGAAATCTAAATGATGAGGAGAAGTTAATGGTTTGTTCTCCCATGGATTGCTCCTACAGGTGGGCTTCTCCGTCCTGCAGCGCATCGGTGGGGCCCCTGTGGCCCTGGATCCCCCCCTGTCCATCACACACCAGGTGCTGCGGCCCCTGGAGTCCCTGATGAAGTGTGTGGAGATGGGCTGGATGACCATACTGGTGGGCCCCACAGCCAGCGGGAAGACCAGCCTGGCCCGCCTGCTGGCTCTGCTGACGGGACACCGCCTCAGGGTGCTGGCCATGAACAGCGCCATGGACACCACGGAGCTGCTGGGGGGGTTCGAACAGGTAACGGCACCTCAGATCTCTAGTGTAACCAGCCTCTTTCTGTCTGGAAACATCACACTACATCTCTCTGTACTATATTTATGATTTTGGACATTTAACATATTAGATATACTAACATTCTCTCTAACCATAGTACACAATATGCAAATATAGCAAACATATCAGAGTGTATAAATGATATGTAACTTAAAATCAAATAAATGGCAAAACAAATAGTTGACAAGGACTTTAACTTAATTTCCATACATTTAATCATAGGAATGGATCAGCTAACATTCCTCACAATGGATGAACGAACATTTCCTAATTTAAGTGCCTCTTCAATGTCTACATTTTCAGTTTTTATCACTCTGCACCTTTTCTTCGTCCCAGGTTGATATCATGCGGCCATGGCAACAAGTTCTGGAGAGCGTGGACTACATAGTTGCTATGGTGATAAGGCGTGGCCTGATGTCGCTGGATGTGGGAATCCAGGACACGGAGTTCCTGCTGCAGACCTGGGGTCTGTTCTGCCACTGGCTGAAGGAGGAGAGGCAGCAGAGGACGGGGGGGACCATCAACTCAGAGGCTCTGAACAAGCTGGAGGTCATCATCCTGCTGCTGCAGAAACTCAACACAAAGCTCAAAGTGTTCACTGGTAATGGCCCAGCAGTGTCTGACAGCTGAATACTGCCTGATGGGACGATCAGGAGTATGGTCCCACTGCTGTAACACGCCTGTGTTTCTCCTCCAGACATGTCCAAACTGCAGCTGGACTTCACGCTGCTGAAGGAGCGCCTGGCTCAGCTGGAGGACGGCTGGACCAACGGAGGCTTCGAGTGGCTGGACGGGATGCTGGTCCAGGCCCTTCAGGCCGGGGACTGGCTGCTCATGGACAACGTCAACTTCTGCAGGTGAGGGAAAGTGATTTGGGTTCTTGTTGACCTATTTGTAAAAAGTTTGTTTAGTTGCGATTTGGCCTTTACATGGTGTGTATATAAGAAATGGCCTCAACCCTGGGCTGGGTTCAAAGATCCTCATTAAAAACTCAGGGTCTGAGAGCTATGCAGAAGATGTTTTAGAAAATATCATAATTTTGATACCGGCTTCAAGAAAACCAAACTAAAGCTTGTTGCACATATTTACAGAAAGTAATGCAGATGTGGGGAGCAAAGGAATTGAAGTCCCGAACAGTGTGAGATAGTTATTTGAAATGAGCTGTAGATAAAGCGAAGTATATCAACATATTTAGCTCATTGCACTGACCATGTGTTCTTGTTAGTGCCTCCGTCCTGGATCGCCTCAATGCTCTGCTGGAGCCCGGTGGATCTCTCACCATCAACGAACGAGGCGTCATAGACGGGAAGACCCCCAAAATCACACCTCATCCTAACTTCAGGTAGCATGCAATATTGTTCACTTTTTTTATTGAAGTTATTGAAAAGTTTGTCCTTGGTCAGCTGATGTTCGGGCGTTGCAGGTTGTTCCTCACCATGGATCCTGTTCATGGGGAGCTCTCCAGAGCCATGAGGAACAGAGGGGTGGAGATATACATCCCAGGGGAACATGAGGGGGTCTGCTGGGACACACTGGACCTGAAGACCCTGCTTCACACTGCGGGGGTGACCGGGGACTGTGTGTGTGATCTGCTAATAGGAATACATAAAAGTATCAAAACCGCCATTTGGGGTAAGCATTGATAACAACAACACAAAGAAATGCTGCATGTCAGTCAGTCTGCAGAGGACTTTATTGAAAATGTTCACTTATTAATGAGAAAAAAAAGAAAGAGCAAGATAGAAAGCAGATACACATCAGGGCATAATATAAATATATAATAAAATAAAAATTATAAAAAGGTTACTGTGGCGTTCTCCCCTTCGAGAAAGGATCAAAAGCTTTGCCAAATCCTATCAAAGGTAGAATATGTAGCCTTAAGCATAAGGGTGATTTTCTGAAGAGCAAGGGAATTTGATAGTCCACCAAGCCAGACCTGCAAGCTCGGTTAGGTTCAAGGCTTTTATTGGTCATGCGTACATAGCTACAGTGTAGTTATGATGATGAAAATCTTAGGTCACAGGCTCCTCCAACAGTGCAACAGAAAAAAACAGAAAGAATTGTGCAAGTAAATACAAAAAGAAAAATAGTGAAAAAGTGGAATAGTGCAGGGAACTGATCTCCAGGACTTCAGTCTCAGAGATAATTTAAACGATGTGCTTCCATCCTTCAGATTCCCCGGCCTCCTCAGTGGCATCCCTCCTCCATGCGGCCTCCCTGCTGTCTTGCCAGCTGCAGAGAGGCGTGGATCTACCCAGCGCCCTGCAGCATGCCTGTGGAGAGGCCTACTCTCAGTGCCAGCGCACCAACACCAACCAAAAGGTATGGACACTCCCTTTTCAATGCATGATCCCAACTGTCTCAATGTGGTAATGCCCTCATACCCGTGGTGTCCACCAGACATCTAACTTGTTACCCCTTTTTGTTTTCTTTCTCTCTGGGTCACATTCCTGAGATTTGCATTTATATTCCTCCTCTATGCTGGTGGCACATAACAGTGTGACCCAGGGACGTGCACAGACATTTGCTCTAAACTGAAAAAAGGGCCTCCCCTCCCGAAAAAAAACATAAGACCTTTTGAAAATTCTAACTTGTTTTTAATGTAAAAGGTTAATGAAATAAAAACACAACACTTTCATTGCAAGTGACACTCAGTTTACTTTTATGTCTAACTGCTAAATTCGTTATTCAGTCTGTGTTCAGTTCAGCCTCTCAAATGTGCTCTGAACTGGAGGCTTGGGGTTAGCCCCCAACAGAAAATATGAACTTCACTCAGCACAGTTACAGGCTTTGCATTTATCACTGATTTTTTGTATTAGTGTACTCCAATGCATGTAGTTGCTTGACATAATCACAGTGCTTCACCTGCAGCTGCCCTGCTGGCACCTTTTATCCAGCTCTGCAAAGATGCAGTCCTTTTAGCTGCCTCCTTCAGATCTCTCTCTCTCTGCTTCAGTCTCCTCTGTCTTGAAGGCATTCTTAAGCACAGAAATGTAACATAACCCCTAGATTCCACCGGGTCCGTCTGCGGCGCGTTACGGGCGCGTTACGGCTGCGCCGCGGTGCTCACGCCGATCGCGGCCACTCTAGTCAATGGGTGCTATTCCACCACACGCGGCGCGTTACGGCTCAGAAGCGTCCCAGAAGCGGCTCGGCGCAGGGCTCCTCTAAAATTAGGATCGAATCCTATTTTTGTCGCGGCGCAGCCGTAACGTAATGTCGGGCAGGCAGGAAGTGGAACCTTCAGAGCATATATAGCATATATATATAGATATATACACACACACAAACTAATTTTGCAGACCCTATCCCTCCGTAGTCTTTCAAGTAGGAGGAGAAATGCCAGCGTTCTCCTCCGGTTTACAGGCACTGTGTAAATTATATATAGAATAATTATGATGATGAATGCATTTTTTTACCACTAAAATACAGCAACACATCTTTGATTCATGTCGTTTATAACTGGAATATTACAGTTATTATTAACTTTGTCTGTACAAAGTAGCCTGTCCAGGAAATATGCCCAAATCAACAAAAACTGCGAGCCGGCAGGCAAGACGCTCCGCTTCTGAAATGCGCCTGGTAGGGTATGACGCCGGCGGAGGAGGCCGGACCAAAACCGCAACGCGGCGCAGACGGACCCGGTGGAATCTAGGGGTTAGCCTATGCATGAAAAAAACAAACGATTGTTAATAATAATAATAGATTAATTTTGTTAGCGCTTTTACAGGTGCTCAAAGACGCTTTACAGATATAGTGAAAAGAAAACGACAAATAAATATATATAGTTAAAGTTAAAGTCAAATAATACAAAAACAATCACACATTAAACGCCAGATTGAAGAGGTGAGTTTTTGTGGTTCTGGTTCGGGAAGAGGGACACCGACCTGTGTCACCCCGCCGTGGCGCCGTCGATCCGAACATGTCGGGCACAAATAGCAGCCACATAAACTCTGAGTGGAGTGAGAACGTCCACTATCTAGAAGGGACTGCTGTCTGGGCAACAGTGTACATGCTGTCCCATTGTCCCAAGGAACAAGCACACGCTTGCCCCCCAGTTGGGGTAGAAAGTGCGTGAGTGCAAGCTGCACAGCCCGAAGCTCTAGCACGTTGACATGGCGTGCACCCTCCTGGGCAGACCACTGACCCTGAACAGTCCTGCCCTGCTGCACTGCACCCCACCCTGATAGACATGCACCTATGGTGACGGTCTCCTGGCGGGATGGGATGGTGCCCATGGGCACGCCCATCAGGAGATAGGCCCTGCCCCTCCGGCGTAACAGAGAGTGGAGGCAACGCTGCGGCACCCTGACTTTCCTGAGCCTGTGCCACTTGGCATCCAAGTGAAGGCTATTCAGCCACATCTGCATGGGGCGCAACGACAGCGGGCCTAAGGGCCCAACGGCCGAGGCAGCCGTCAGTCTGCCCAAGGGCCGGAGGAACTGAATATAAGGCACCATCTTGCCCGGCCCACGTGGAAGTAGGCCTCCCTCAAGTTCACGGTTGCGAACCACTCCCCCTGTGCATGTGCTGTGGTCAGCATATGGAATGGCAGCACCTTCAGGAATCTGTTGATTCCTCTGAGGTTTAAGATCAGGCGAAATCCGCCGACTTTCTTGCTCACGAGAAAGTACGCCGAGTAGAACACCCTGGGCTAAGCAGAGGGTCTACTGGCTCGATCGCGTCCTTGGCCAGGAGGACGGACAACTCTTGGGCCAGAGCTAGTGCCTCTGCCGGATCGCTGACGACTGTCATTTTGGCCCGGCCGAAGGCTAGGGGCCGGAACCGCGGTTCGTACCCCTGGGTTAAGGTGAAACCCACCCAAGGGCTGGAAGTACAGACAGCCCAGTAACCGAGCTGCTGCTGGGAAAGCAGCCGACGACCGGCCCCGAGAGTCTCGGGGCCTAACCCCCCGAGAGTCTCGGGGCCTAACCCCCCGGCCTCCGGAGCCCCCTGGGGGGCGCCGATAAGGCTCTGAGGCACGAGGCCGCCTAGAAGGCTGGCGGTCGGGGGCACAAAAGCCCCCGGGAGGACGATGAGTGGGCCGCTGGGACCTGCGCAGACCACCACTGTAAACTGGTGGCTGAGTGCGGCTGCTGGAGGGGCCCCTGGGCCTGCTGGGAGTGGGCATAGGCCTATAAAGACCCGAGAGCTGCTGCCTGGACTGCCTAGCTTGGGCAGCACGCTCCAGTGCCTACAGGGCAGCTGCCCCAAACAGCTCCCCTGGCTCGACTGGCACACTACGGAGGGCATGTCTCCGACAGTGGTGACTGAGCAGGCCAAACCTGACGACGAGTCTGCACCAATAAGGGCATAACTCGTCCCAATTCCCTAGACATTAGGGCAAAGGCTTACAGTGATGCAACACCGAGGCCCAGCAAAGAAGTCTCAGCCGGAGCCTGCTGCAGAGAGGTAGAGACGGCCAGCATCAGATCAGAGAGAGGAGCCAGAATCGGGGAGGCGATGGCAGGCTCAATTGATGGCAAGCGACCCAGCCCCACCCTCGCCGGATCCTGCATGGCAGCAGAGTGGGAGAGGGCCCTGGTGTCTCTCCAGCATGCATGGAGCTCCCTCAGGTACTCCTCTGAAGAACAGTGGGAGTGACAGGGGCAGGGTTATGCCTGAAGAAGGCGCTAGCCTGAGCCGAGTCGGTCTGCGGAACCTGAAGCTGTAAGCGTACCAGGGCCGTCCGAATCATGGCCGCCATGGAGGCGTCCTCCATGCCCTGCAGAGAGCTCTGAGCAGAGGAGTGGGAAGCTTCCTCGGGGGTGAGCGGGGCACCGTCCCCCGTCCCCCCCTTCATATAAGAGGTTTAGCCGAAGCCGCTAGCAACATGGCATCCTCAAGCAGAGGTGTGCAACTGAAGGAGGGCCAGGCGGCAAGCTAGCCCCCACACCGGCCCCTGGCTGAAGGGCCAACAGGAGCGACTTCGTCTGCTCCGTGACGGTAGCTAACCGATCCACCTTAGAGGACAGCCATCACTCCATCAAGTCGCCGGGAACGGCCAGACTAAGCTGGAGGAAGTTGTGACGAGGAGAGGTACCACCTCTGCGACTCTAGCCACTCTGAGCTCCCGACCAGGCAGCTGCTGCTAAGAATCAAGCAGCACGCAGAACACGCCAGATGTTAGCCAAGCGGCCGCTGCTAACAATAAGAGCAATACGTTACAGGGCAATACGTTACCGGGAGCGGGAGCGAGAGCACTGCCTTCACCAGCTGAGTTAATAATGAAGCTTAACAGACCATGCAAGGCGTTAGCCAAGCGGCTGCTGCTAACAATCAAGCGAAATCAAGTCAAATAACACAAATGTTTAAGACCAGATAACTAGCTTCCAAAGAAGAGAGCAGCACAGAGCCGTAGTTACAGTAGTAACCATGGCCAGTGCCTACACGGCCTAGAACCGTAGTTACAGTAGTAACCATGGCCAGTGCCTACACGGCCTAGAACCGTAGTAACTATGGCCAGTACTTACACGGCTTAGAACCGTAGTTACAGTAGTAACTATGGCCAGTATCTACATGGCTTAGAACCGTAGCTACAGTAGTAACTATGGCAAAAGTAACCGTGGCCGGTGCTTAAAAGTGTCAGCCAAACGGCTGCACACTAGATAATATAATCTTGGGAGGATAAAATCCTCTTAATGGCCACACATGCAGAGCACATAGCACACACAGTGAAGATTGTTCTCCGAATCTACCCATCCTAGTGCTAGGAGTCGAGTACTAGGAGCGGTAAATACAACAATATAGCGCTACTGCAATCAAAACCATACGTTACCGGGAGCGGGAGTGAGAGTACTGCCCTCACCGGCTGAGTTAAATAATGAAGCTTAACAGTACATGCAAGGTGTTAGCCCAGCGGCTGCTGCTAACAATCCAGCGAGACTAAGTCAAAACACAAATGTTAAGACCAGATAATTAGCTTCTAATGCTGCGTTCACACCGGACGCGATGCGACTATTCGCTTCGCTCTAATCGCTCCTATCGCATCGCTCTAAACGCTGGAGGTTCACCGCGGCTGCCAGCTGTGTTTACTCGCATCATTCAAACAAGACGCGCTGGCTCGGGAGCTACAACTACAACAAATGAACATATTTTACCGTGATTAAATTGTAATACACGTTTCTAAATGATGCCGAAGTAACAACATACTGATACCGGTTAGTAACAACCATGAATTAATGCTTTGACAAGTCTGCAGACAAGACGGCAGGCAAAACACCTTTTAAAATGCTTGTTTTCTGAATGAAGATCGGGTCGACCAGGCTAAGCTAACGTTGTATATGCTCATTCCACACTCATAACAACGGCCTACAGACATAAATAAGCAGCGACTGTATTCACCATGACACAGACAGTCTGTGGTTTGTACTTGTTTAACTTTTGTCCAGTTTCTGAACGGATATGAGGAGCTGTGAGCTCTGTGTGCTAACTGCTAACAGCTAACGGCTGATGTTGTGTGGTTGAACGTCAGTGACGGCGGCTGAGATCCTCACCGCTGATTGGCTTCCGCGAGAACGCGTCACGTGAATTTGACGCTCTTGTTGAAAAAATTGAACTCTCGCGTTTAACGCGGCACCGTTCAATCGCCTCAATCGTGTGATTCGCGCTGCGTCCACCGCTTCATGCGCGCCGTCGGAGCGAATTCGCGTCTGTCCACGTCTCTGCATTGACTTTACATGTAATCGCGCCGCCCCCAAACGTCGCATCGCGTCCGGTGTGAACACAGCATAAGGAATAGAACAGCCCGCATAGAACCATAGGCCATGGTTACAGTAATAACCATGCCGTAGTTACATGGCCTAGGACCGTAGTTACAGTAGTAATTATGGCCAGTACTTACCTTACTCTCTGCACCTAAACAAAAAACGGGCAAAAAAAGGCACCGTGGGCTTTCCATACTAAATTGAACGCAGCTAAGCTGGGAACTCAAATGCTAATGATAGCTCGGGCACAACGCCACAAGCAGAACTTTCAAAAGAGCATAATAAGGGCAACTTTATGGGAGAGGAAGCGGGAACACTGTCGTCACCAGAAAGTAGCCAAACAATAAACAAGACAGCAATCAGGACAACCTAGCTGGGAGAGGGTGCGGGAACACAGCCATCACCACAAGTTGACACGAACCTGTCCGTCGAGGCTCTGCACAGCGCACAGCCGGCCACAGCTCCTTGAGGACGCGTTAACAACCCGCAGCTCCGACTATCAGTCACGAAGCTGCACACGGCCAGCTGTATGCAGAGAAATCCCTCAGATCAAACGTTCAAACCTGAACACTGTAGGCTACAAGAATGTAGCCACGGTACTCTCGCACAGCGAGAAGATGAAAAGGAACAGATCCTCTGACGACACCGGCTGATATAGCCGGTGTCACGTGGGTCACAGGTGACTTTGTTGTTATTGGTACTCGAGCTACGCATGCGCGCGATGGATATATCCAGTGCTAAAGCACCGCCTCTGGCAGTCAGTAGGGACGAAATAGAACCAGGGACATCTTTTGTTTTGCGGTCCATACCTCATTAAAATATCTAATGTTAGTAACTATTAAAGAAAAAATGGGGACAATTCTGTTTTAATGTAGCTTGACCATTGTAACTGCTGTGCAGACATACTGATAAAATAGGGCTTCTAATTACCTTAAATAAACCAGTTCAATATGCATTATTCTTATTCTTATCATTCTTTATGAGCGCAGTAACAGTAAGGTATCTAATTACTTATTTATCTAGTATTCCATCACTTAATAACAGAGATGGTCAAACTGAAGTAGAGACATGGCAGAAATCCTACAATGAACCGGGCAGTGAAGGGTTCTCCGTGAGAGGGCGATCAAGAAAAGAGAGCGAGCGGTGAGGGAGTTTACAGATGAAAAGACACAGAAAGACAGAAGCACAATAACAAGTATATTTAGGTGTTTTTTTTGTAAATAACCGACGGTGTCAAGAGGAAGTAAAGTCCCCTGGTTTGTCCCCTACTCTAACTGCCAACTCAAAATCAGTTTTCCAAAATCCGACACTAGAGGTGGTCTTAAAAGCATATTTAAAAACAGAGACAGATTGACTTGGGGATTGGCCACCAAAGCCAGGCGGGCATTTGGTATGATCACCATAGCCATATGAGGCCGGACTCGGAGGGCTTTCCTTTGCTTCCAGCCGTCAGATTGTAAACAAAGTCACGTGACTGGGGGCAGATGACAGCGCTGACTTGGTGCGTTTCCCGCAGCGAGATGCTATAATACTAATTGTGGGCTTATCATGTTTATTCGGCCACAACAGAAAATAAAAAAAAACCTCTCACTCTCTCCAGAGGGGCAGGTCAGACAAAAATGGCAACATTAGCCCGTACCTGTGCACGTCCCTGGTGTGACCTATCAAATAAAAGACAGTGTCAATACTTGATATATTTGGTGATATTTTCAATGATTAGGCCCAAAGTTAGACTACATTTACATTTGTTATATCCTTAAATTATTAAGCCAAAGTCTTTGCATCTTTTAAATAATTTCCCAAAACTCTCTTTTACGAAATGGACTTTAATTGTACCACTATTCCTAATTCTTAATGTCCATTTCAACCCTGTTTAACCCAGAACAAAGGTACCCAAAATGCTACATTTTTAGACCAATTTCAATTTGATTAATCTTTTTGGTACTTGACATGGTTTCTGGTAATCAGATTCCCCAAACATTTGCTGTGACTATTCATGGTCCACCCAAGCATACATTTAGTTAGAACATATAATATGAGTAAAACATTGATGCATTATTTCCTTCCAGCAAGCCCAGCTGCTGATAGAGCAGCAGCTGGCCATCCTGGACACAGAGGACTGGGGGAGTGGGCTGCTGTGTGCGGGGGTCTGGCCCGACGGCTTCCCCTCCGCCCTCCTCTCCACCGAGGACTCCTGCTTCTCCGCTGTCCTCCGAGACGGACAGGTCCTCTCATTCTGCCTGAACACCCTCAGCCTGCAGGGCAAACGGTGAGGAGAGCTTTGAGAGCCATCACAGAAATATACAACACATTACTACCTGTGTGTATTTATCCAGGTGTTAAAGGAACATCAGATGTACCTTCTATTAAAATACTGCACCCGTAGTGGCAATTTAAATGTAGAATTCAGGAGAAAAATTGTATAGTGTATGTGCTTAGTAAAGTGTTGCTTTATTTTAAGAAGCTGACAATACAGTCAGTATTAGTTAAAATGGAGGATTTGTTGTCAGGGAAACGTATACAATAAGAATATGTTGAAATGTCAGCTGAAGTGTAAGTGCATGACGTCACATGAGATCTGAAATTCTTTGCAGTGAAGGTCTAACTGTAAGCATTAAAAGTACTGTATGTGTTTACTATGGTGTAACTGCTGAACTCTGTCTAACTGCCAGTTAAAATGCAAGGCAGATATGTTGTAGACTTTAAACCCTGGCAAATTGACTCATTGCTGTTGTCCACAGGAGCCGTCCCCTGAGCCTGAGTGACCTGCGCAGGGCCCTGCAGGGCAGCGGGGTCCATGAAGGCCTGAGTTTCTCCGGGGGGGTGGTGGATCTGGCGGAGGGAGACGCTCTGAGGCTGATCCCCACCGCAGTGAGGCTGCTCACTGAGAGGGCCTCTCACGGGGACTGGATCCTCCGCAGCAGCTGGCTCTCACACCTGGGGAAGAGCTACAAGCAGGCCCCCGGTCTGTAACCCACACACACTGACCAGAATATTTGGAAAGATGTCAACATTCATGTTACGTTTAAAATGTCATATATTAGAGACAATGACATCACAGGACATCTCAAGGATGACTTTTCTGTCCATGTGTTTTACAGTTTTATTTTGTAACCACACTACCTTGCAGAAATGAAAATGATAGTTTTCTTTAGTGTTCAGCACTATCCAGTACTGTGGATCCTGAAACCTTATGCTTCTTTATTTCCAGACCCAGTTCTGGTGCAGGTGGAGGCAGGGAACCGGGCCCTGAAGGCGGTGTTCGGGGGCAAACTGGCTGCCAAGGGCAAGTCCCTGACTCAGCTGCTGCAGCCCCACAGCACAGGTACACTCTTTGGTTGGCTTGTTCTTCCATAAAAAAGTCATTTTGTAATCCATGACTAGGATATGCAAAGCACATCCTGCACATGTGAATATATATGCTTTCTGTATATACAAAAAAAGAAGGCATTGCTCAATACCATTTGTTCCTGTCTGATACACATACTGCAAATTAATTAACTGACAATACGATACAAATCAGATTTTCTTTCTCAAAAACAACAACAAAAAACAAAATAGCTTTTAATAATTCAAGTGTTTGGATGCACTTTGCTTAACCTTGCCATCTGTAAATATCATGCTCAAAAGGCATAGCTTGCCACAAACATGACACAGTTACTTCTTTTTATAAACAATTGTTCACAAACAGAACCTTGAGCAGCGTTTTTGATCGGTCAGCAACATTTTGGTTTACATTTGAATATTTAGAATAACAAATTATTTTTAAATCCAGGGTAAAAGACTGGATATAATTCACCCTGTTTTACATCAATGACGGTTATCAGATGGGCCTACGTATAGTATCGGATTTTTTTTGTATCCCGTAACATTCGATCCATTGATTTGTGATTATCTGATCAAGATATCCCAATTAAAGGTAAAAATTAGATTCCCAAGTTATTACTGCCATCGGTTTAACAAATCCGTTTTGGACTTTAACAATCGTTGAGAATATCAAGATTTGTTCTCTCTAGGTGAGTGTTCCTGTTAGCTGTAGCTGTTAGCTATCCTTCAGGGCCTTATCCTTACAGCAAAACCTAAAGATCATGTGACCTGAAATAGAAGTTCATGATTTTCAGTCATTCTTGGTCAAAACTGACGATGATTTCAGTGCATTATATTCTCTGCTCTTTATCAGATATTTGACCCATGTTACTCCATACTGCTGCCATCATCATGGAATCTAACCACTGTCTGTTGCTTTGCAGATGAATACAGGATTCTTGTGGACATGCGATGGAACAAGCAGTACCTGGACATTTTAGCCAACAAGTGCAACTTTGAGGACGAGGAACGATACACAGAGTTCCTTGAGGCCCTGAATGCAGTCGCCAACAGGTACTGTAACATGTGGCCCGTTAACTTTATCCTGCTGCTCATGTATATAAATATATTTGTATTCCTGGGCCACTCCTCCCCGCTGCACTGTATATTAGAATACTACTACTGCTCCTAATACTAACATGGTTTAAATGCAGGAATTACAAGTCACTGTGTGCGGTGCTGCTTACATACATGTGGCGATTAAAGAGGAATTTATATGAATCATCCGTTTCCAAATGTCTAAAATGATTGGAAGAAAACACATTTCTATGACATTGGTTCTCCATGCAAAGTGTATTGTGTATTAAATGCATGAAAGTAAAAGATAAATCAAAAGGATCTTACAGCTGTTGGTCACGTCAAAGGGTTTTAAAAGCGGTTTGTGTTTGCAGGATTGTTCTGATGACGGACAGAGAGGAGAGGTCGGTCATCTGCACCTGTGCCATCAACCTGTCGGCTCAGAGCTCCGCCCTGAGGATCGCCACAGCCTTCAGTAAAGGTGAGCACCGCACCCTCTGCATCATAATGAACTGATAGAAATCATTTCAGATCTACATGAGCTGCAGTGCATGCAGCAGAGTATAGACTTCAGCCTGAGTTAACGCAACATATGTCGTCCCCCCTCTTTACAGGCACTGTGGACATCGGTCACCTGCCCCACCCAGTGCTCATGCACCTGCGCACCTTCTTCGACCTGTGGGACTCCTTCACCCTGCAGGCGGTGCAGAGCGGACAGCCCTACATCTCAGACCACATCATGTTCGAGGTCAGAACCTTCATGGTGTTACTCTGTCTCTCAATAAGTAGAGCAGGTGGAGCAGAATGAACTGGAAGGAAACTTATTGCATAGTTCCACCACCTGGTACTATGAAGGTGGTGGGACTATGGAAATATGAAGGATATCATGAAGGAAATGCAGATCTCAGGGTTTCCGCTAGGATTCTTTCTTGCCGGTCAAATGTCCGGAAATAATTAATTTTACCGGACAAATTTGAAACTTACCGGTCATGTTTCAATAATAATGTGTTGCAGAGTTTCTGTTGGCAGGTAATTACCGGACTATGACCGGATATGATGTTTAAAACTCAGTTAATGGGGCTCATTTTTATATTGCTTCAGTTTATAATCGTAACAGATCGAAAAGTTCAGATTCATTTTTCAATAAATGATGCGCTTCCACAAACAACAAACAACATAATTATTACATTCAAACAAACTACTTGTAGTAGATGAAGTACATTATTCAAAAGTTTACATTAACTTTGAATAATAACACGGGAGAAACAGATCCTCTCTTTTCCTCTCTCCCTCCCTCTCTCCTGATAGCCCGTCTGTTCCTCAGTGGGCGGGGCTTCAGGTGATCAGAGCTGCGTGTCTCCGTCAGACTCAGAATCTGATCTCTGATCTCTCTCTCTCGTCCGGTTATACTTCACTCGCGTTTATGTCCATATCGATCAGATCCAGCTCTCCTGATCGGCCTTTATAGAGAGCACCGATCAAACTATTAACAGTGAATATCGGCCGATAATGATCGGAGGCCAATCGATCGGAGCATCCCTAATTATTACCGGACATTTTGACCGGCAGGTTTTGAATTTACCGTTTTTTAATAAATGTTACCAGCTAAAAAACGGTAATTACCGGCTAACGGAAACCCTGCCTCAGAGGTTAAACCATGATAAACTCATGTCTGTCTCCCTGGTTTCAGATCCTGCAGCTGCTGCAGTGGCTGGACCGTTTCTGGGACGTGTGCAGCACGCTGCCGGCCGACTCTCAGGGCATCTCGGTGCTGTCTCTTCACTGGCAGTGGGTGCAGAAACACCTGATCCTCCGCCTGCCCCACCTGCTGCTGGGAGACGCCGACACCCTGCCAGAGTAAGACTAGATACTAGAAATTAGAGTTAGAGTTTGTTATTATTTGGTATTTCTTACATTCGGTTTAACCTTACAGAGATTGTATGCTGGTAATATTGCGTATGACTGGAAGATGCTTGGTTTTCTAATTATATCTTTCTTGTGTTGAATAAGTATTCAGATGCTTTACTTGAGTAAATGTACAAATACATTATTGTAAAAATACTTGATCACAAGTGAAAGTCCCGCATTCAACATCTTACTTAAATAAAAGTACAAAGTATGATCAGCAAAATGTAGTACTCATTGTGCAGAAAAACTGCCTTTTAGTGTGTATATGATTATATTTATACATGTGAAATTTCGGAGTTGTATCAATGCACCCATGTTGTTGAGGGGGGGGGGGGGGGGGGTTGTCTTTATTTGTTTGTTTGTTTTACAAGCATGTGTGAGGATGAAATGTAATGGTAACCATATTCATTAACATTTTTCCCGTATATCTTTTTTATTTGTATTTTGTATGTATGTTCATTATTTGCTATTATCTCTTTGAATACTTTTTTGGAGCAAGTGAATTTTTGGTTGTTGTTGAAATCTTGAATGCAATGTAATTAATCTCCTACTTATCCAGTAAATCTAAGATTGTGCAGAAACATGTTCCACCCCCTCACATCTGACTGTTGTGTCCTCAGAAGTCAGCAGGAGCTCCAGGCCGTGTCAGCAGCCATCCAGACGGTCCTCTCCACCCCGCTGTCTGTGGCCACGGCTCTGAAGGGCGTGCAGAAAACTTTAGGAAAACCTCTGCCATTCAAGGTCTGACACTCCATCAGTTCTACTGTTAGAACTGACTCCTCATCAGCAGCTGTTTTCATGTTCCTATCGTCTCTGCTATCTTCGCTATGTCCAACTTAAAAGAAGAAAGTGTTTTAAAAGCAGTGGTCTAAAGAAACTAAGTACATTAACTTAAAGGTGGGGTAGGTACATTTGAGAAACCGGCTCGAGATACACTTTTTGTTATATTCCATGGAATGCTCTTAACATCCCGATAGCAATGAATATCTGAAGTGCTTTGACAATAAATCCATAAATAAATATCATCTGTGGAAGCCGTAATACTGTAAAAAGCACGACCAATCATTTTAGCCGGCGCGGCTAAAATAACTGGATGGCCTACCTGCCTGTCAGCCTTCCATCTGTGCACAAACTTATCTCGTGCCCTCATTGGTCATGTGCGCGTTCGTGTGTGTTGGAGGAGGGGCTCTGTAAGGAAGTGGGAGATTTTCTCCGGTTGTGTATTTTCAAATTCTAGCGCACTCGAGCCGGTTTCTCAAACTTACCTACCCTACCTTTAACATACTGTACTCAAGTACAATTTTAAGGGACTTTACTTGAATATTTCCATTTTATGCTACTTTGTACCTCTACTCTGCACTACAATTCAGTTTTAATTTGTGTACTTTTATTCCACTACATGTATTTAATACCTTTAGTCACTTTACAGATTTGGATTAATGATGTGAAATATAATCAAGTCTTAAATCAGACTTTAGTTCCACCTGGAGTACATTCATTAAAAGTCATTCAAACTAGCTGCACCTTTACCAGCTTTGAGAACGCTTTAATGATCAATCATTATAAAACATATCATATTATTCTGAAATGGAGCAATCTGCACAATGACTACTTTACTTTTGCTACTTTAACTATATTTTGATGCTAATACTTTTGAACTTTTACTTGAGTAACATTTTGAATGCAGGACTTTTACTGTAACAGAGTCTTTCTACACTTCTACTAAAGTACAAGATCTGAGTACTTCTCCCACCTCTGATTAAAAGCCATTTCAGTAATGTGTTTGTAACTCACTCAGATTATCTAAGTGACTCCTCTAACCGTGTCCATGTCCTGCTGCAGCTGGAGTCGGTGGCGGAGTGTGCATCCCGGCTCAGGTTCCTGAGTAAAGCCCTGGATGTGAGCGACCTGAGGCTGGACGACAGCATCGCGCCCTGGAGGCAGGAGCTGGTCCGACTGCACGGCGCCGGGCTGGGGCTGGACCTCAAGGAGAGTCTGCTGGAGGCCTGTGGGCTGGTGCTGCTGGCCAACAACCAGCTGGACCCACACAAGTCTGGTGAGCCTGGGCTACAAATACCTTTTCTGGACACCTAGACCTAGGATGAACTAATTAGAACTGGTGGACAAAGTTTAAGGTCACTTATGGCGCTTTTCCACTGCAGGGCCTCGCTCGGCTTAGTACGGTATGGCTAGGCCTCGTTAGGCCTTGTTAGGCCACCTCACTTTACGCTACGTTTCCATTACAGTTTAGTACCTGGGGCAGTAACTACGGTAACGCAGTGTAGGCGGAGCCGTGACGTCATCTTCAATGCGAAACACAAAACCAACATCAGCCGTTAGCTCTCAGCTCTCAAGCTCACAGATCCTCATATCTGTTCAGAAACTAGACAAAAGTTAAACAAGTATAAACCACAGACTGTCTGTGTCATGGCGAATACAGTCGCTGGTTTATTTATGTCTGTATAGGCCGTTGTTGTGAGTGTGGACGGTCGGAGCATATACTGCGTTAGCTTAGCCAATCTCCATTTAGACAACGCGCATTTTAAAAGGTTTTTCGCCTGCCGTCTGTCTGCAGACTTGTCAAAGCATTAATTCATGGTTTTTACTAACCGGTATCAGTATGTTGTTACTTCGGCATCATTTTGAAACGTGTATTACAATTAAATCACGGTCAAATATGTTAATTTTGTTGTAGTTGCCAGCGATTCTCTCACTAGTTTAGCATACTCTGCCCGGTTGTTGGCCCTGAAAAAGAACCTCGATTTTGGAGAGCCAGAAAACTGTGAAAAAGTACCCGCTAGCCGGAACCACGCCTAGTGGAAACACAACCAAAAACGGGCCGGGCACGGCGCGGCACGGCACGCTTAAACCGCGCTGTAGTGGAAATGCGCCATTAGACCTTTAGAAATGACAATTACTAATATGAGCTGATGACATATTAGACATTTTGTGTATGGATGTCAACTGCAAAACTAAAACTATATGGAAAGTTGTATTTACTTTTTGTGTGAGTTGGTAAAAACTGACAATGATAAGCCATTATCTAATGGCTATTAAGTTTGCATGCTCCAATCAGGATAAATAAATGTTGTCGTATTGAACCACCCTCAGAAAAAAACATAACCTCTCTAGCCCCACTGCTGTTCAGGCTCCAATAACTCGTAAATAATGCTAAAGTTGTTTCTCCTTTTCAGCACGGTTATATTTTGGGGGTGTACTAAACATTGCATTGTGAATCGAAAACTTATGGGGCAGAGGACTTGTTGTCTTCTTCCTTTACGTCTAATAGAAACTAGTGTTTGATATTAAAGGGTCAGTGTGTGAGTGCTATACTCTGATATTAAAGGGTCAGTGTGTGAGTGCTATACTCTTATATTAAAGGGTCAGTACATTAGTGCTATACTCTGATATTAAAGGGTCAGTGTGTGAGTGCTATACTCTGATATTAAAGGGTCAGTGTGTGAGTGCTATACTCTGATATTAAAGGGTCAGTGTGTGAGTGCTATACTCTGATATTAAAGGGTCAGTGTGTGAGTGCTATACTCTTATATTAAAGGGTCAGTACATTAGTGCTATACTCTGATATTAAAGGGTCAGTGTGTGAGTGCTATACTCTTATATTAAAGGGTCAGTACATTAGTGCTATACTCTGATATTAAAGGGTCAGTGTGTGAGTGTTATACTCTGATATTAAAGGGTCAGTGTGTGAGTGCTATACTTTATTCTCTCTTCAGGAGTGTTGGAGAGGTTGGTGTCGAGTGTGGAGCAGCAGCAGCGTCACATGACCTCCAAAGGGCTGCTGGAGGTGTGCTCCCTGCCTGAGGGGGAGGAGCCTGAGGAGGGGGTGCACCTGGCCAGGGAAGAGCTGCAGCAGCTGAGCCGCAGGGCCCAGCTGTGGCCCCTGATGGAGGGGCTGGCGATCCTCAACCAGCTGCGCCTCAGCACCGACCTGCTGCACCTGGCTCTGGCTCCTGGGTAACTGCATTCCTCCTCAAAGCAAACTGATATAGAAACCGTTAAGAGGCTGTGATTTGATTATTTTTTATTATTCAACTCTGAGAAAACCGAGGTTATTATACAGGACCCCAAACATATTCGGAATGAAATATCAAATTACATAATTGCTGTCGATGGTATCATCTTGGCCTCCAGCTCCACAGTAATAAATATTGGCAAAGATGAACTAGATCAGGAGTCGGAGCGTTCAGCTGCCAGGCTCCCTTTCTCTGGAACCTACTTCCTGTTTTTATCAGTGAGACAGACAGTCTCCAAAATGTTGAGTGCACTGAAGACATTCATTTTTAATGAAGCCTATATTTAGAGCTGGTTTTTAGATGCCCTATGTTTGTCCTCCTGGGTCCTACATTTTATGATATTTTATTTTATTGTCTTTTTATTGTCTTTTCATTATTTTCCTGTAATTGTCTTTTCCTTTTAGCACTGTTTTGATCTGTAAAGCCCACTGAGACAGACGTGTTTTGTGATATTGTGATATTGGGCTATATAAATGAACTTAGATGTGTGTGCTGACGTGTTCCTGATGCTTGCAGTGACCAGGAGGCGGAGGCCAGCCTACGCAGAGAGCTCTCCAGACATCTGCGCTACTGCCTGCAGTCCACCCCCATGAACGTGAGCCAGCTGCAGCCTCTGTGGTTCCTGCTCAGCAGCGACAGGGTCAGTGCAGTGAGCTTTCACTTCCACCATTCCATTTTCATTTCTAGGGTCACGATTGCATTCAAAATTGATTCTTTTTTCAAAACAATTTCCAATTCAATATTGATTTTGGAGGCTGCTGATTTCAGCGTCTACTTCAATGCTAAAAAAGGCAGTGTGGCAAATGATGGCGTAAAAAAGGCAAACCAGAGACAAAAACCTTTCACTAAATGTATTTTATTATCTCAATTCTCAGTGACTTCAAGAAAAGTGATACAAAACGAAAGTAGGCTTAGGTTAGCAGAAATGCTTGACACAACTCTGACTTCGTTTATACATGAGAGTAACAAATGCGTCACTTCCGGGCAAAAAGTACGGCTCCGCCCACTTTTGTGGGAAAACAACGCTGTCATTTGAATGGCGGTCAATACAAATTCTCGCAAATTTTAGGCCCATCTCCCAGCTACCTTTTTGATCTAAAGCCCTGGAGCGAGTAGTCTATGCCCAGCTGCAGTCTTTCTTAATCACGCATTGCATTCATGAAAAGTTTCAGTCTGGCTTCAAACCCATGCACAGTACTGAAACAGCCCTTTTAAGAGTTTTTAATTATCTGCTCCTAGACGCCGACTCAGGTAGCCCAGCTGTCCTGGTGCTGTTAGACCTGACAGACCATAGACCATAGCATCCTGTTGTCGCGGCTCGAACAGTCCGCTGGCATCACAGGCTCTGCCCTTGCATGGTTCAGGTCCTACCTGACAGACCGTAGCTTCTCAGTGCAGCTAGGTACCTTCTCCTCTGCTAAAGCCCCTCTTACCTGTGGGGTTCCCCAAGGCTCGATTCTGGGCCTCATCCTTTTTCTACTGTACATACTGCCCCTAGGTTCAATTCTCACTTAGCACAACATCCCCCCAGAGATAAAATCCTGGCTGAGCCAACATTTCCTCAACCTCAACGAGAGCAAGACCGAGGTCATCTTTTTTGGACCCCAACCTCTAGCCTCCCAGGTTGATATTCTGGGCTCCCTCAATAAAAACATCCTCCCCTCTGTCATGAACCTTGGAGTGACCTTCAATAGCGCTTTTAAATTTGATAAGCAGGTCAGCACCGTAGTCAAGACCTGCTTTTTTAAAATACGACTATTGGCCAAGACCAAGAAAGGCTTATTAACGCCTTTGTTACCTCGAGACTGGATTACTGCAACGCTCTGTATGTGGGTATGGACCAGGCGTCAATTAGACGCCTGCAGCTAGTGCAGAACGCAGTTGCACGTCTTCTCACTGGCCATAAAAAGCGTGACCACATCACCCCAATTCTGGCCTCACTGCACTGGCTTCCAATTCGGTTCCGAATTGATTTTAAACTTCTTTTATTTGTTTTCAAAGCCCTAAATGGGCTGGGTCCGGCCTATATAGCCGAACTCCTCCAGCGCTACACCCCAGCCAGAGCTTTAAGGTCTGCTGACCAGCTGCTGCTGGTAGTGCCCAAGACCAGGCTTAAAACCAGAGGGCACCGAGCCTTCGCAGCAGCCGGCCCTAGGCTCTGGAACACTCTGCCCCTCCATGTGAGGTCGGCCCAGACCCTAGGGGTTTTTAAATCTACACTAAAAACTCACTTCTTCTCTCTGGCCTTCTAGTCAGAGCAGAGCACGACTCATGACATGTCCCTGTGTGTGATTTTTATTTTTGCTGTTGTAATTTATTGTCTTCTGTTTGCTATCGTAGTAAAGTGTTTTTATTGTATGTACAGCACTTTGGCTCGACCAAAAATAATTTAAAAAATTTGCTATATAAATAAAACTTGATTTGATTTGAATGGCCAGTCAGGCAAACAATTACATTAAGCCATTGGAAATCGACGATCGGGCTCGATATATGGTTAAATATAGCAGTAGGCTATCGATTTTCATAGATGAGAGTAACATCTACGTCACTTTACGGCCCCGCCCACTTTTGGAGGAAACAACGCTGTCATTTGAATGGCGATCAAGCCTGAAGCCACAGAGCTCTTCTTTTACTGTCCTTTGTTCTTAGAGGAAGTACAGAAACACTGAACTCTGGATTTGTTTTAATGTTTGAGGTGCAATAAACAACACAGCAGCTTTTTGGCATGATACAACTATTATTTTCTGCCTCGCTCATGAGAGTAACAGCTGGAGAAATTACAGCCTCGCCTACTGATTTTAATTTAACCATATATCGAGACCAATTGTCGATTTCAAATGATTGAATGTAATTGTTTGCCTGACTGGCCATCGTAATCGGGCTCTTTGAAGATCCAAAAATCCACGGTTTTCCAAAAATTCTGATCGGATTGGCAAAAACTTCAGAATTTGTATTGACCGCCGTTCAAATGACAGCGTTGTTTTCCCCCAAATTGGGCGGTGCGTAATTTTCGCCCGGTAGTGACGTAGGTGTTACTCTCATCTATAGGATAACTTTCCATCATTACAATTATCTAGATTATTTGTCAGTAACAAAAAAAACAATCAGTCATTCATTTTAATATAAATACAATATTCATTATTTTTTTTAAGTTGTGGATCGATTCAGGATGATAATATTCGATAAAAAAAAGAAGTTATCCCATCTTCTTGTTGTCAGTTACGAAATTGAAATTGCCCCTCCAAAATATGTGTGTTGCTTAATGTTACTTTACTGAAAACATCAGTCACTGAAAATTGTTCCATGTCTTAAAGGATGTCTGGAGGAGATCTTTAAGTATCAGGAAAAACAGGAACCAAATAATAAAAAAAAAACACATGTAGAATTGTATTAAGTACTGTCCCAAACTCAATTCCAATTTGGCTTAATCAATAATTGCCACACTAAAATATACAAACATGATCCAAACTTCAGATTAATAACTATTCCGTAGGGTCCTGGAGACCCACCTTGTAATCACAGCTTCCCTGCTGTGGATGCCCCATTCTCCCTCTTGGTTTCCTGTCAGACCTCCCCTATGTACTATCAAATTAAATTACAAAATATACGGAAAACAAGAAAGAATTTCCTTAGGCTCCAAACCCACAGAATGTTGCTCATGATTCCTCCTTCTTCTCTCCAGCCAGCTGAAGAGCTGCAGTTTGTTTGGTGTGAGCTGCTGTCAGAGGCTCTGGGCGCTCTGTGGACCAGCAGTGTGACCTCTGACCCCGACCTCTGGCTGAAATGGGCCCCACTGAGCCCCAAGACCAAGACAGCTCCAAAGCTGCAGCACGGAGCAAAGAACATGGTACTGACCTAACATCTCATGCTGCTGTTACTGTATATACTATGATTATCAAAGGGATTTCTTGAAGAGTAACACATGTTATTTTCAGGGACCAGCCTTGCTGAGTAAAGCCGTGTGGTCCTATTGCATGCTGGGAGTTCTCTGCAGCAGTGAGACTGGAGGTGCATGGGAACCGTCAGGAGCAGCCCTCCTCTCCCTGTCCCATGTCACCCTGGGGGAGTGGAAGGAGAGGATCCAGCAGCTGCAGGACGTGTCTGCTGTGCTGTGGGACAACATGGCCATCCCTGCTCTGGCTGAGTTCAGGTAGGTCAAACATGTTTTAATGTTCTCCAATGCTGCTCAAAAACAAGTAAAAGAAATAATGAAATGTGTTTTTTTCTCTTGTAATAAATAAAGAAATCTGTGAAAATTAGCTTGGTAAGATCTCTTGAAATAAGATGGGATATTTAGATAAACGAGATCTTATAATTGGTCGGGAAAACTTATTTTTAACTATATTTACATGAATCAGGAAATGTTGTATCAAAATAAGCCAGAAATGCTCAACAGTGTTCTGTTTCCTGATCTTAGTTGGTGGTTTTCCAATAAAAATGTGGTTTCTAAAATCAAGTAAGATTCATTTATTGAAACAAGATGATCCATCTTTTACAAATACCACAGCAGCTTAAAAACCTTGTATAACAACTTCTTTCATCTGAGATCCAACTCAAAATAAGAGTCTCTAACTTAACAAGATACTTAAGAAGCATTGTCTAAAAAGTCCCTCTATCTCACTGCATTGTTACTTCGTACATTATTATGTCTCATATCAAGTGTAAAGACATATTCTGACCCGATAATAGACAAATATACTTGGATAGATTTCTGGTTTTTACAGTGTAGCATTTATCATCTTGGGGCTTACTAACCCTCCGTCCTCTCCAGGGGCACAGACTTCCGTCTCCAGGGGGCTGTGCTGCGCCGCCAGCTGCAGAGCATGGCGGACCTGCTGCCCCCCAGCCTGCAGGAGGGCTTCATGGAGAGCTGCGAGAGCCTGGTGGAGGACTTGGACCCTCTGATAGCGGCCCAGGAGATCCAGACCGTCTTCAGGGACTTCCTGCCCCCCAACGTGCTCCCTGACGGCCTGCTGGAGGCCTGCAGCGCCTGCCTTCAGCAGTACGTCCAGAGCAAGGTCCAAGGCTCCAACCAGCCCGCCCAGTCCGGAGTGTTCTGGGTCAACATGGGCCTGCTGCAGATCAAAGCCTGGACCCCACAGACCATCTTTGACCCGGCTGTGAAGAGGGCCTACAAACTCAACTACGCCCAGCAGGAGGTGAGCAACTGATGGTTTTTATTAAATGTTATTTAAAGGGGACCTATCATGCAAAATGCACTTTGTGATGTCTTTTATACATAAATATGTGTCCCCGGTGCGTCGGGGTACTCGCGCAGCGTCAGAAAATAAAACCCTCTCTCTTTTCCTCCGTACCCAAATCTTTTAAAAACGGGGCTACAACGAGCGGATACAGATTTCCATCCGAGCTGACGTCAGCCCGGAATAGTGGGCGGTGACGCTCCGCCTACATGGGCAACGCTCCACCTGCAAACGGACCGCAATCGTTATCAAAAAAGTCTTCCGTCCACACGCAACAGGCACCAGAAACGTGTCCGTTCACACGAGTCCGCTCGAAAGCGCTGGAGACGCTGTAGTACATATGCCAGACCTGTAAGTGGCGCTGTAGTCTGCCATAAAAGCAGCGAAGAAGACTTCCCGCGCATGGTTGCCATGGTTGCCCTTCTGTTTATTCTCCGCTCTGGCTCTTTTTCTCCCTCCCGAGGCAAGCGTTTGCTCCTGCTGTAGATCTCTCCGGTAGTCCACCAGCCGATGACAAACACCCAAGGGACGAGGGGACCGTGCGGCAGAGTTTCAGTTAGATGTTTTTTCGCCGGTCAACATGTCCATTAAAGTTGAAATCTTCCGGACAAAATTTGAAAAGTGCCGGTCAGAGGTCTTCTTTGTTATTTATTGAGCTTTAAAACAAATAAATAACGACTCTATATAATAATATAATAATAAAAAACGGAGCCTCTCTTTTCCTCCCCCTCTTCTGACAGCCCAGCAGCTGATCTCTGAGTACGCCCCCCTCTCCTGCAGGGGGGCGTGGTCAGCTGCAGCTCATTTGCATTAAAGCTACGTCACAGAATCAGCCCTTGCAAAAACAGGGCTGGAAAAGACCAAATAGAGCGAAATGAGGCATGGCTAAAATGCATGATCCGTTTGGTATTTTGAAAAAAAAACTTCACAGACATGTTTTATATAGGTATGGCCCTACAATATATTTTTAAAATATAGCATGATAGGTCCACTTTAATGAAAACAATCTCTTACATTTTTTAAATATTGAAAAATGGTATTCACCCTAACCCTGTACAACCTTTGTCCTGGTTTGAGTGTCTATAAAACAGATAGTCTTATAAGGTGTAACCAAGATTTAGGTAATAATGCTAATTCCAATTCATTACTCAAAAAAAATTATTATTATTTCGACCATGTTTAAGATCAGAGGAAAAACATTTGATGGATTATCACATACTGGTATATGTAAAATTGTAGTCAGGGTTCTATATTGAAAACCATTTCAATGTTTTGGCAGCACATAATTACACCAGATGCTACTAATTTATATAAAACGCATAATTCAATGAAAGTTGTCATAATGTTATTTTTGTGGCAATTATATGAAATCACTAAAACATTCTGACAAAAAACATTTAGAAATGGGTCTAATTTGACAAAGGACAACAGGAAGGTTAATGTCCCTGCCTGTCTTCATAACATGTGAACCCCAGTATAAAGGATTTCTTAAGGATTTCATGTGAGGAAGATTTATGGTTTACATAAAGACACACTTTGGCCTGGTGCTTGGATTAACGTGTTGTGTGTGTGTGTGTGTGTGTGTGTGTGTGTGTGTGTGTGTGTGTTTCAGCTGGCTGTGCTGCAGGAGGAGTGGAGGGGCCGCAGCCTGTCCTCTCAGCTGATGACCGGAGCGGAGCTGGAGGAGAGCAGCACTACTGACGGCTTCCAGCACCCTCGCATCAGGTCAGAGCCAGCCACTAGTTATCCTCTGTAAAATGACAAGTCAACCAAGTCAACCAGAGGCTGAGGTCGGGCCTGGTTGCTGATATTAGATTTCTGGATAGTCCTTCATCCCCTTGTGTTGCTTGTTGTTGCAGGTACCTGTGGATCCGAATGCAGCAGGTGAAGGAGCAGATCGCGGAGCTCTCCAGGAAGCAGGCCTGCCGCCCTCATGACCCGCAGTACGGCCGCCTCTTCCAGGAGCTGCAGCACTACCTGTGCAGCATCGGCCAGACGTCAGCAGTGAAGGAGCTGCTGTCCCGTCTGCTGAAGGCTCTGCAGGGCCCCTCCTCCTCCAAGTCCAGGTCAGCCATCCAGGGCCTGCTGAAGGAGGAGGCTGTGTGGCAGAACTCCCAGCAGCGCTTCTGCCAGAGGCTGCAGGAGGATTACCCCCTGTACCCCGACGTGGTGGGGCCGCTGCGGACCGGCATCCTGCAGCTCCGTCACGGGATGAGGCTGGTGGCCTCCCAGGTGGCCGCCTCGCTCACGCCTGTTCCCGGTCTGCCTAAGCTGGTGTCCTGCCTGCTGGCCTTCCCCTCCCTGTCCCCCAGCCTGCCCTCCTACCTGGCCCGGGCCGACTTCCTCTGCTCCAGATCCTGCATGGACATCTTGCGCTGTGTGGGGAAACTCCTCCCGCAGCAGGACTCTGAGCAGGTGGTGCCCCGGTCCTCCACGCTGCTTCTGAATGCTCTGCTGTACGTGCAGTGCCACACCCTGTCCACCGGGGAGTTCAGCTCCGAGTCCCGCAGCCTCTTCAGACACATCTGTCAGGTCAGAGCTCCAGTTTACACACAGATCCAGAAATGGTTCCAGTTTGAATCTATCCAACAAGAATTGCAATATTTCTCAAATGTTCTAAATGAATGCATGGCTGACTGTAACATGATGCTCCGCAGGCTCTGGTGAACGAGTGGGACGAACAGGAGAGACTAAAGAGGGAGAAGGAGCAGATGGAGGCCAGTCTGTATCGTAACCGCAGCCGACTGCACGGATCAGGACTGACTGAGGACGAGCAGGAGGAGAGAGACTTCAAACAGCAGTTCCCTCAGTTCAACAAGGTATTCACTCTGTCCTGAGGAGAAACATGAGGTCTGTTAGACACTGTGAGATCTTAGTGAGGCTACAACAGACTGTTCCAGTTTCCCTGCCAACATGAATCATAATAAATAACTGAAATGTGATGTCTCAGTAATGACCTACTTCATTTTGAAGAAGAATAAATACAATTCTAAAATGCTCATTTAAACTCACAAAGATGATAATCTGAAAAAACATGCTGATGATTTTACTCTCATGCTTAGAATGTACTGTAGGAAGAAAGTATCAGACTGTTCAACACATTTCACATCAAACATTTTTATAAGATGTACGTTTCTACAGGTCGTAACTTCACCTGGTAATAAGGTGGATGACCATGATCAAATGGAACGGTTATCAATATCAAAGATTTACCCTCTTGAAATATCACTACCCTGTGTTTGTTAGTGCAGCAGAGAAATTAGATTACACCAAAGAGAGACATTATAACTCGAAAAAACAATGTTCAAACGTTTAAAGGTCTCCTTCCACACTTTTTCAGGACTTTGCAGACATCATGGCCCTGCCGAGTCTGGAGGGTCCATCAGACTCAGAGCGTCAGGAGGAGGAGGAGGGAGTCCAGGAGGAGTCCAGTGAGGGCAGCTTCCTGTCTGTGGCTGCCATGAACACAGTGCTGAAGGTCCATCAGCGCCTCTCTCTGGGACACGCCCGATCACTGTGGTACAAGGGCACAACACCAGCCAATCACAGCAGAGAACACATCATAGCCTTGGTCTCCTCCTACCAGATTGCTTCCCCTATGATGTCCCGCTTCTATCATCTGATTGGTCAGTGTTTACTGTCACTCAAATAGCAACAATGCAGACTCTCTTGAGTTTTGTTGTTAAATGTGTTCCTCTGTGTCCCCTGCAGATGCTGAGATCGACCAGCAGCTCACAGGCAGTGAGCTGCTGCTGTCTGCCCTCCTGCAGAACACAGTGCAGGGCTCCGGGGGCCCCGATGGCCTGTCAGTCACCTCAGAGGGAGCCTACGACTTCTACCAGCAGCCCAACATGAGCGAGGCCCGTCTGTGTCTCCCTGTCCTGCTGCAGCTGGGTGTGGCGGTGAAGCAGAGGCTGGAGGACTGGCCCGAGCACCCCGCTCTCGTACAGGTCAGCTCCCTTTCAATCAGTTAGCAGTTGCTAACGCAAGGAAGGAAGCCAGCGCTGCTGTTGATAAGTACAACAATTAGGGCCTGTGTCTTTTCCTAGGCAAGGAAAATATATATAGCAACTTTCCACACTACGCAAAGTGGTTTACAGAAATGAAAGACATTAAGAGCATTAAGAAATGTGCAGTGGAAACACATTATAAAATGGTATTTTTAATAAAATGGTATGGTATAATATACGTAAAACAAGATAATATATCAAATACATGAACACAATTCACAGTGCAGTGTGAGATATGAATAGTTTAATTAAAAGCAGAGGCAAAAAGAAAAGTCTTCAGCCTGGATTTAAAGTAGTAAGAGTATCTGTATCTACAGAGAGCATAACGGAGATAAAAATAAATATCCATCAATCGATATCTTACAAACTGACCATGAACACTTTGGTTCTTGGATATTGATAGATTAGATACAACTCTAGTATCTTGCTTTAAAGGCCAAATTGATTTATTTTGTTGTGTTAGTGATGAGTTGTTTTATGCTCAAATAAAAAATCTGTAACTATAACAACCCACAATGTCCACCTAGGAGTTTTACATTTGATTGTTTGTAGGCAGATAAGACTAGAAGAAAACAGTCCCATGTCATTGAACAGTTATGGAGCCTGGTATGTGTTGCTCTCAGATCACATGGTGTGTATCCCTGTGTGTTGTCCTCAGCTGTCGGTGGTGATAGAGAGGATCCAGACCTTCACTCTGGCCAGCCCATTGGCCAAGTTCCTCAACGGTCTGGAGATCCTGCTCAGTAAAGCTCAGGTGAGTTCATGTGCCATGCATGATTCCATCGGGAGTTCAACCTAGTGTTGACACAGCTAATCAACTACAAAATAAATCTGTGACTTTTTTAATAGATGCCATCAATAGCAGGTCCAAATGTGATAGTTGTACTTTCTGAAATGTAAATGTGTTGCACTGAAGTGAGCTCCGTGTTATGTGCTCTCCTCAGGACTGGGAGAATAACGCCAGCCGCTCAGTCTCTCTGCGTAAGGAACTGGAAGCAGTCACCCAGCTCATCATCCAGTGGCGCAAACTGGAGCTCAGGTGAGACACAGAGGGTTTCAATAAGCCTGCATCTGATTAGGGTGCGAGATACAAAAGGGACAATATTGAAACTGTAAGAAATATTCTTAGTCTCAGAGATGAAACACGGTGTTGCGGGCCTAAAACATGCTCCAAAATTTGATTCAATGTTGCACAAAATTCACACATGGAGAAAATGTATGTAAAATCTGGGTATTACGCATGGCTCAACGGCACCACCTTAAAGGCAGGCCCTACTGTGGGTTTGTGCTTGATGTATGAATGTTGGTAGGTACATTAGCTTAGGATTTGGTCAGCACCTTCTTCAAATCTTGAGGATCAAAAGTTATTAAAATATTTCCAATGAGTCGAAGTCATAGCTACACCTACTTGTTACATACATATTCATGCTTAGTGTGAGAGTAGGCAGCATCCCATTTTCAGCGTATCAAGACATACTGTCAACTCGTTTAAGGTGCTTTTAGGTACTGCTTTAGGAAGATTCAAACTGGACTGGAATCCTCAGCTAGCGGTGTTTTCCTCTACCAGAGTATAGGATCAGAACAAGCTGTTTCCTGTTCCTGTGTGTAGAATGTAAACGTGTCCTCTCCTGTGCTACGTGTAGTTTCTGGTCGAGCAGTCTGGACAACGCTTTGAAGCGGCACACTGAGAGATCCACCAAACACTGGTTCTCCATCTACCAGCTGGTGGAGAGGTACCTGGAGGAGCAGAAGCAGGATGCTGAGAAAGGTAACACATCATGGCTCCCATGACACAAATATTCAGATGACATTTTTTTTTAAACCATCAACACATTTTGTAATCGGCCGAGTTAAAATGTCCTTTCTAATGTGCTTTCATGGGGGGACTTTAGGAAATATATCAAACTAAAACTGTGTTTTTTATGAGAAAAGTAGCTAAGTACTTCTTACCTGCTTAACCAAGTGTTAGGGTTATGTCTCTGTAACTGTGACAAATAGCAATGAAGAATGACATTCATTAACCAGTAGGTGGCTCACAACATAACTCATCAGTATGTATTTAAAGGCAAAACTAAATAAGTAAAAGCTTCATACTTCCTCCCATTGTCAGACAACTGTATAACCAGAACAAAATGTTTGTCTTCCTGGCTCTAGGTGAGGAGGAGGTGGAGCGCCTCTCCCTGTCCTCGGTGTGCTCCACCCTCCAGGCCTTCATGGAGGGCTCCACCCTGGGACAGTTCCACACCCGCCTGGACACGCTGCTCAGCTTCCACTGCCACCTGCTGCTGCTGGACCCCCAGCAGCCGAGACAAGGTCAGCCAGCACTGTTCATTTAGTCTGACCTAACACAGGGCTCTATGTGTAACAGATCCACTCTGTAATGTGATCCTTCCTCTCCTCTGTACCCGTCCTGAACCAATCATTGTTATACTGTGAAAACACTGCAGCAAATCAACAGTCTTCATTTTGTTTGACTCGCATAGATATACTGTAGGTGTTTAGTGTGAAAATATTTTCCCAAAGACTCTAATATACATGATATTTTGATTGCAGTGGAGCGCAAAGACAAATTATGCTAATTGTGCAAATTCCCAACATATGCAAGTTAGCATCCGGCAGTTTCTATGTGCTGGGGACCTGCACTATACATTTCTACCATAACACTTTGGGGTCCTACAACTCATTACATCATCATTAGCGGAGTGGACGTATTGATCCGTAGATCAGACGGGGTCAGCTGCTACACTGGGACTATACATACTGGTTCACACCACTGATTGGATTTGGACTGAATTCAATAGTGCGGAGGAAATTATCATCTCATCTCTTTTAGTTCATGTTTATCCTCAAATACATTTGACCTTTGTAAAGCAAAAGGGCAAAACCAGCTAATATCGAGTGTTGCTTCCTGCATTGATGGAGACTGAACTATTGATCCGGGTGACCTGTTAACTAGTTTATTTTACAGAGCCATTGTCCAGTCTACTGTGGAACCTGCACAAATACTACAGCCAGTTCTCTGACGGCATCCAGACCAAGATCACTTCGCTCAGGCAGCCCATCGAGAAGGAGCTCAAGGTTTCTATGAGTCTCCTTTATCACTGCATACCAATACCCTGAAACCCAGTCCATACATGTCAGAGTCTACAGCGCTGCACATTCTGAAGTTCTCTGTGATGTGTTCCTCTCAGGACTTTGTCAAGATCTCCAAATGGAACGATGTCAGTTTCTGGTCCATCAAGCAGTCAGTGGACAAGACGCATCGGTAACATATCACCCCAATAAGATTGTGCCGTGTATTCATTTTTGAGTATTATTAATAAATATTGAAGTAATAAATGTATATATTTTTGTATTATTTAATTGTATTCTGTATAAACATACTAAATTGTTTTACTTTTTAAATGTATGTATTATTTGTTATTTCTTTAATTTGTATTATTTGATTCTCATTATTTAATACACTTTGTATTATTACAATTCTTTTTGTTATTTGAACTGTGTTCTTCCCCTGTCTTTTAAAATCATTGAACACAAGATGGCTGCCCTCTCACCCCCTCTGTTCTGCCCGTCTTCCCTTCTCCTCTCAGGACTCTCTTCAAGTTTGTGAAGAAGTTCGAGGCGGCTCTGAGTGGGCCGAGTGCCCCCTCTCTGGTGGAGGAGGGGAGCAGTGCCAGCCTGGACAGTGTGGATGCTAACCCAGAGGAGACCCCCCTCCATCGGGTCCACAAGGCTCTGAAGAACACCCTGCCTGGGAAGGGCCGAGATCTGCAGGTTGTTGTTATATTCACCATGATTATTATATCAGTTATTATCACGTCCTTACTTATGGTGATAAGTACTGTTTTGACTGCATCTTTGCAAATAAAAAATAAAGAAAACCTTCTGTACGTAGCACTCACAAAGGATTTGGCTTTCAGTGAAGCTAATGCAGTAGCACTTCATCTTATAGATAGGAAATACACCTGCAGGATTCTTGCTTTTTAGTTTGTTTCTTCATGGTTGAATGAGATAACCTCGGCTGAATGAATAACCTCGGTTCGATTGTATATTTCAGCTCGAGGGCCCAGAAGAAGGTGTGGAGGCCTCCTCTCTGCAGGGCCGCCTGCCGGCTCTGACCCGGAAGATGAAGAAGCTGTGCGTCCAGCTGCAGAAGAAGAACCCGGCGCCGGAGCTGGCTGAAGACCTGGACTGCTTCACTGGTAACCATCCCACCTGGACACAGTGAATATCTGTCTTTTGACAGACAAGCTTCCCATAAAAGGTTTTCTGCACACAGTATAGAATCAGTTACACAAGCCTCTTGATAAAGTGGAGGGTTTAACCTCAGATGTTCACCTGCAGCTGATGATAGACATTAAGGTTGTTGTAAGGAAAATATGTGGTTTGTTTTTGTGTCTTCACCTCACCTCACATAGCTGGTGTATTGCTCCCCAAACCCCCCAGGGTAAATGCAGTTTATTTGTATTCTCCTCCTCAGGTGAGGTGATCAGCAACCTGCAGGACTTGCAGAACCTGACCGTGGACATGACGGCAGAGAAGGAGAAGCAGAAGTCTGAAGTGAAGCACATCCTGCAGCAGAAGCAGAGAGCTCTGTCTGAACTGTTCAAGATGCTCGCAGGAATAGGTGTGTTCACTCATTAATCAGAAGCCATCAGGGACCCTGGTAGACCACCACACATATAACAACAAAGACTAGAACACCCCTGTTGTTCAATATTACTATGTGGAATATACTGTATATATACGCCGCATCATAATTATTATTACTGGCTGCTGTCCCTTAGTTAGAGAATTCATCTTCTGTAATAAATCTGTAAATAACTGCAATATATCTACTATCACCTGGCTGCTATCACACTACCTTATACATGCTACACTTATTTTTCAAATACTGTCACTGGTACTGGATGTGAAATCTTTTAATTGTATTTTGTGTAATTTCTATTTATATCTTGAATATTTTATGCATGCTTTTTAATTTAGATGAAGCTATGTTTGGCTCTTTACTTTTGCTGTACCAATGTACATTTCCCCTCTGTGGGATGGATAAAGGCATTCTGATTCTGATAAGTCTCAGAAGGAAAACAAGTTCTTCAAACCTCACTCTGAAATCTCTCTTGGTCCTATCCAGGTCTGTCGTACCGTAAAGGCCTGCTGTGGAACCGGACCGTCGACCCAGAGAGGAACCTGTGTATGCAGCCGCTGGAGATGACCACCGCTCTGTCTGCTGTCAGGAACCAGGAGCAGGCTGAGAGCATGTAATTACACCTTTCTTACTATAATGAGGCTTATCAAAATACATCCCAGTTTATAGGGATGTATTTTAGGTAGTTGATGTTAACTACTGACAGCACATTTTGAATAGACACTGTTGGACAAAGTGAAACTACTGAGTGAGTTCACCAACTCCATGACTCCTCTCCAGTGTTGGGGTAGTTACTCAAAAAAAGTAATGCATTACACATTACCAAAAGAAAAAACAAGTAATTTACTAAATTATTCACTGCTGAAAGTAATGAGATACACTTCTAGTTACATTACTTTTTGATTACTCTGTAACGCCCCCCTTTACCTGTATCTTGCTCAATATGTTTCTGAAAGACGGCAATTCCACTGTGGAAACAAGCAGCATTTCCTCCATGATGTTTGCTGCGCCTCATAGGCGCCTCAGGTTTGGGAAGGCTAAATAACTTTTTTTACCTGACGCTGCCCGCCTCCAGCGTCTATAGAAAAGAGATCAACTCAATGAAACCGCCTGCTGACCAATCAGAGCTCAGTGTGCGGAGTTTAAATCGATCAAATCCTATTACAGGATAAAGGAAATAGGCTACAGTTTAAACTGCCGTATGCAGAGAAGACGCCGACGTGTCGCACTTATCATTCATATCACATCATCAATCAGATCATCGATCATATAATATCATAATATATCATATATTTCCTTATCTGAGTCAGCTTCTCGAGCCGTATCTGGCCGTGCAACACTTACATTGTCACATACTGTATGCAGAAGTATTATTTTAAGCAACACATTAAGTTGACGAAACACTCAACTCAAATGTAATTAAAGTCAGATCCACTCGTGTCTTAGCCGTCTAAGTGATATCATACAACTGTTGTACACTTTCAAACACTCGGTAGTTTATTTATTTTTTAACCAGTTGTTCTATATTCACCTTGCAGGTGCAACTATGTGTTGTATCCTGGATTATATGTTTAAGTCATGGATGTTTAAAGTTCATATTTGTCTAATATTAGTTTACTTTTCATTATTGAAGTATGACGTTGCACTGTCAGTACACTTGTCCCTGTTTGTGATTGGTCAAATGTAGCTAACCCCGCCCCTTTCACGTGAACGCGCTCTCAGCTGGAGAGAGAAACCCTGGCTTGATTTACCGAGTTGATAACCAGCGTCGTAGGACCGCTTAGCGAGATCTCGTTTGTTAGGGTTAGTTAAGATAACTCAAACATATCCAGGGTCTGTTGAACTGGCTTCATAGTGCACAGGGCACAGGTGGCTGCATAGCAGCGCTAATGTCAAAGACACAAACATTATACATTATATATTTATTTGACCAGGATGCAGTGACACAAATATTTGGGAAGGCTTAGCCTTCCCTAGCCTACAGTACCCGCCGCCCCTGCTGCGACTGCTTATCTCTGCTGAGACTCTGCTCATCGCAGAGATAAGATCATTTTGTGCTCAGTAACTGTAATGTAATTACTGCTGTTCTCAACAGTAACGCGTTACAGACCAATGTCATCTGATGACTGGAACGCGTTGGAGCGCAATATTGCTCCACTCTAGTTGTGCTGTTTAACCACATTTATCATTATCCATGAATTAGATGAAATGGATCACCAGAATTTCTCTTTTTTACCCTGTACAACTTCATTGATTTGTTTCCATTATCATCATTAATGTTACTGATAAACTAGGCTTGGGTAAATCCTCTATAATGACCTCTCTGACTGCTCTCTGTTCTGTGTGCTGCAGGTTGTTCACAGAGCTGCTGGCAGCCTGGGATGGATGTCAGAAGTACTTCTACCGCTCCTGGGCGAGGAGGAGCGCCATGCTGACGGCTCTGCAAAGCGCTGCCAAGGTCAATATAGCAATATAACATCACCACCTGTAGTATTAGTTACTCCTCTCTGTCTACAGGTTATAGTGATGAGCAGAGGTGGAAAAATGACTCTGGTACTTCTACTTAAGTACAAGATCTGAGTGTAGGAATACTCTGTTACAAGTTTTGATTATAATGATTGATCATGAAAGTGTTCTCAAAGCTGGTAAAGGTGCAGCTAGTCTGAATGACTTTGTATACTGCAGGGTAGCTTGTGAATTTACTCCAGGTGGAACTAAAGTCTGATTTAACACTTGATTATATTTCATCATTAATCCAAATCTGTAAAGTAACTAAAGGTATTAAATACATGTAGTGGAGTAAAAGCACCATTTACTTTTGAATTGTAGTGGAGTAGAAGTCCAAAGTAGCATAACATGGAATTACTTAAGTGCAGTTCTTGAGTAAATGTACATAGTTACTTTATACAACGGGTGAGTGTGTGTGTTTGGCCCTGTGATCTGAAGTGTCTTTGGCCCAATTCCAATCCACCCCCTACACCCTACCCTCCGTTTGCGCGTTCGCGCAGAGGGTCCGCCACATTAAGTGCTGTTCCAAACCAACGAGTGTGGAGGGGGGGTGGGCTATCAAGCCCTCAAACAGCGAGTCTGCATCGATCCTGACTTCACCTGCTGCCCTACCTGACGGGTCTCAACGCTGTGCGTGTCCGTCAGGAAACACTCTGTAGTAGTTCCAGCAAACATCCACTGATAAATTGCGATGTTAACAACCTCATGATAACCTCATATGTTTTTAATTTAGGATCATACCTGTGTTTAGTCTAGAAAAAGGTAAATGTGTGCATTTTATTATAAAGTTGTGTATATTTACAGACTGTTGCAAAAACTAAGAAGCTTATAAACATCAGGTTTAAAACTAAAAGAGCTTTACAAAAAAGTAACACAATTAGAGATGTTTGAAGTTTTATTTGAGTTATTAATTTACATTTTTTTGTCCAAGAGATGCTGATTTGAAAGCTGTTACATACAGTTACGGCATTTCCTGTTTCTGCCGGAGAGAGGGGAGTTTGTTCCAAAGCTTGCCGCTGTATTTACTCCCTCCATCTGACAGGAGGGAGCCTCGTTCAGCTGCGAGTGTCACTCCGACACGGAGTTCACTCCGTCACGGAGGGGTAGGGCGTGGTTTGGAATCGGGGGCCTCTGTGTGTGTGTTTGGCCCGGTGGTCTGAAGTGTCTCTGTGTGTGTGTTTGGCCCGGTGGTCTGAAGTGTCTCTGTGTGTGTGTTTGGCCCGGTGGTCTGAAGTGTCTCTGTGTGTGTGTTTGGCCTTGTGGTCTGAAGTGTCTCTCTGTGTGTGTGCAGGAGCTGGGTGTGGGGAACATCGACCGCTGCAGAGGCTTCTCCTCTCACCTCTTCAAGCTGCTCCTCCAGCAGAGGCAGCGCCTGGCCGGGCTGACGGAGCAGTGGCTCCACCTCAGGTCAGTCCGCTGCTCTGCTCTCACAGGCCGTGTATCACTTTCAACCAATTTAACAAATACTTTTATTGGCATTCCTTCCTTTCTAACAAAAGACATTACACAAATGTTTAACCCCCCCAAAAGAGAATACATAAACATAAAAATAATACAACAAAGGAAAGTAATACTCAAATGAATAACATACTAAAATATAAATGTACAGATGTAGACAGTGAATAACAATTCAAAAGAGAAAACTCATACAAAAGACATTAATGATTAAAAAAAATAGTGAAATTGTCAAAAGGTTTAAACGTGTTTCTACCTTTTTATAATAATAATTATGATCATTTGAATTAGGTTTTGGGTTTTATTCAAATGTATACTGTAGCAGCTGTAGTCTTCTGGGTTCAAGTTTGTAAAATCATTCAACATTTGTTTCTTTTATAACTCTGAAATAAGCTTTGGTTTTGTGTAAATGAGGTCTATTCACCATACCTTTCAAAAAGAAGAGTCAATCCTGTGGTAATAAGTAGGAATCAAGTTGCCTTACAGTAAAAGGTGTAACATATGTACTTATACTAAATTCTTTCTAAATAGTCAAACTTGGAGGACAAAAGTTGATAGGATGTAAGAGTTAAAGGTAGGGTAGGTAAGAATGGAGAAACCAGCTCGAGTGCGCTACAATTCTCCTCCAACAAACACGAACGCGCACATGACCAATGAGGGCACGAGATAAGTTTGTGCACAGATGGAAGGCTGACAGGCAGGTAGGCCATCCAGTCATCTGACCCGGGCCGGCTCAGATGATTGGTCGTGCTTTTTACAGAGCCACAGCTTCCACAGATGACATGTTTTTATGTATTTTTTGTCAAAGCATTTCATGTATTCATTGCTATCGGGATGTTAAGAGCATTCCATGGAATATAACAAAAAGTGTTTCTGAAGTGAATTACCTACCCTACCTTTAAGTGTAAATAAAAGCTGAATCTAGATTTTGGAAGTTGGACAACAGGTTGTTGTTTAAAGAGTAAACACACCTGGTGCAAAAAAAAGGATTTTAAAGAGGAAATGTACACAGTAATTTAAAAATAATTATACACATGATGTCATTTTGGCATCCGGTTAAAATAGAAAAGCAATATTATTTTAGTATTATTACATTTTAATTATTGATCCCTTTGCTTTCACACCAAGTACTTCGATTTATTTGGTCTGAACGCAAAATTTCAAGAACTATCGGAACTATACTGGGAGAAGTACTCCGATGTGAAAGCGCCTATTGGGGAAACTTCTTTGTATTCATCACACACTGCACACAGTGAGGTCAGAGGTCAGGGTCAGATTCCTCACAGCAGCCATACACAGTGATGAGCCGCGTTCACACCTGAGTACTTTTCACCGTACTTTTCGCGTTTAGTTCCGTTAGTACCCCTTATGTCGCGTTCACACAAATGGAGGATCCTTTAATGAAGACTAACCCCTATAGAAGTTCTGAAATAAAATAGTTATGTAAAAGTACGGAAAAAATGGTCATCAACAACATCAAAATATCAAGAGTAAAAGTAATCATTATGCATGTTCCAAAGTGTTATATTATTCATGTTTAACTTATATATATAAGTAAGAGCTTTTTTAACGTGCATCCACAGTTTGATAACGTTGTATAATACTAGGTACATTTGTATTATTGCATATAATAGAAGTACAGAGTAACACATGTATCTTTCACAGTATACTTTTGAGTTCTGTTGTTTTTTCTATTTTGAGATGTTTGTTTGTTTATTTTCTATTCTTTTTATTTCAAATGATTTGCAATGCCTTGTTTTGACATGCTGCTCTAACAAAAACATTTACACAATTTGGGATCAATAAAGTATATCTTCTCTTCATCCTATCTTATAAGGAAAATAGTCTCTGAGCCTCAGCTGGACTTTAGTTCTATCCCTCCCATAGAACAATGAAAATGTGTTGCTGAGGTGTTTCTGGCTGTTATGCCTTCTAACCCTTCTTCTCTCATCCCGCTCCCAGGAGGCTGACAGACAGTGTTCAGGGCCTTAAGGCCGACCTGCAGGGCCACAGTGAGGCCCCCGGCTGCACCCTGCCCCCCCAGGCCTCCCTCAGAGAGTGGGTGGGCCGGGGCCAGGCGCTGGCCGCTCAGTGCTCCACCCTCCTGCAGCAGCTGGCCTGGCTGCTGCAGTGCTGCCCCGAGGACCTCCAGCAGAAGGAGGAGGTGGGGGGTGGCAGGCAGCTCACCCTGAGGTGCCCCTCCCCACTGGCCACTCAGCGCCAACCCCCTGGCTGTCTGCTGCGGAGAGGAGACCCCGCCTGGAGCCAGCTGAACCAGAGCATGAACCTGATGCTGAAGCAGACTCAGGACCTGAAGGTGGAGCTGGACGGGGTCGCTCAGCAGACCTCTGAGAGACAGCTGCACTCACGGTAACACACAAGCTGTTTACCTGATAGGGAGAGCAGGGGTCCCACTTTAACAATTCTATCATTTGTCCTGGGTGCCACAAATTGAGACAATGACCTGGTTTGATTGACAGCTGACGTGGCTTTTAACCAATGGCTGTTTTTAGCAAGAGAGGGCGATCAGCATTAGCTGTGTCAGATGTCAATCAAAAGTAAACATACTCATTATGCAGATTTGCCCATTTCAGACTAATAATGAATTTAATTAGTTTTAAATCTTTTGTATACTGCAGGGTAGCTTGTGAATTTACTCCAGGTGGAACTAAAGTCTGATTTAAGTGTTGACCATATTTCACATCATTCATCTAAATCTATAAAGTAACTAAAGGTATTAAACACATGTAGTGGAGTAAAAGTACACCATTTACCTCTGAATTGTAGTGGAGTAGAAGTACAAAGTAGCAAAGAATTGAAATACTCAAGTAAAGTAAAAGTACCTCGAAAGTAAATGTACTTAGTTACTTCCCACCTCTGCTGGTCACCCTAAACTCTGGTGTCTGCTCTCCACAGGGAACACTTTCTCACATGCTGCTCAGCCTTCGATCAGCTGGCAGAGGTGGCGGCTCAGATGCCCAGTGTGGAGCAGCTGTTCACCCCCACCCTGGGTGTGGGGGGTGCAGACAGCCAGCCCGCCATCACCCAGAGCCTGCAGTACGTCAGAGGACAGGTGGAGGCCAACATCAGCGAGTTCACCACCTGGAAGACCCAGCTGCTGTCTCTGGGACCCCAGCCCTCAGGTGAGTGAGCCTATAGTGTCACACCTTCAGATATCACCAACAGACACCTCACTGACGGATATAAACACAAATCGAGGAGGATAACAAAGTAACTTCAGCTACAAATCACATTTCGTACCATGGTTCTACAGCTCCTCTGCTTCTTTCTCCAACAGATCACCAGACGGCTTTCTGTACGGAGTTCTCTGCTGAGCTGGAGACTCACATCAACACAGTGCTGTGTGCTGTCCAGGCGCTGGTGAAGAGGAGGGAGAGAGAGCAGCCTGGAGAAGTGAAGACAGGTGAGAATGATGAAGTGCAGGGTGCCTGCCACACATTTCCACCTAATTCTGATACTTTAATAAGCATGCAAACAAAAACTGGGCTTTTTCAGACTACCCAACAGTCCAGTTTTGTTACTTCTCTGTGACTGGAGACACCAGCTTCAGACAGGGGGTGTTTCTCAATGTCGAGTAAAGCTGCTCCAGATTCAGATTCAGATTCAACTTTATTGTCATTACGTAGTACATGTACTAGTGACGAAATGTGAGTTTAGGCATCTGACCAGAAGTGCAAAATAGCAGTGCAGGAGTCTACATAGTAAGAATAATTGTACATGGAATTATTATAAATAGAATAGAGCCACTATTTCAAGCATACTACGTCATCGAGTGCCACCGAAGGACTGTTCCAATGTCCAGCATACTTGGAAATCTACCGAGCCCGGCGTACTTCGTAGCGAGAAATTTCGAGGCTGCACATGTGTAGACTCCGCGGTCTTAAAATCCCCACAATGCTTTGCGCACGGACCAATTTCCCAAAATCTGTGACGGAAAATGTAAGGCGGGGCCTCTCATATGACGCACACCTGCACACTTGCTCGCCTGTTCCACTCTTCGTTTTCCGAATGCGAGGAAGGATTCTTGCCTCGCTTCTGAAGGAAGTGACTCGGAAGACATGTGCTACCAAGCAAGCGTCCTCGACATTGAGAAACACCCATGGTCTTTGTCAGTTGTATCTTACATTTGAATAAGTGTTGTATTTTGCATTCTACATACAGTGTAGCTAGTGATGGCCTGTGTGTTTGTTTCTCCCCTTTTAAAAGTACAGGGAAAAACTAAAGTCCTGAGCAAGGCTTGATAATGGCTTGTATTGGCGACTTTCAAAGTCTTGTGCATGAGACAGAAAAGGGACCCCGTCGTATAAAAGCCTCTGCCGATATATTAGAATATCCTGATTTTCCTGACAGCATTAATACAAAGGATATAATGTTGTGTACATGTGATGTTTCAGAGGGTGCTGAGGAGGAGGAGAAAGGGGATGAACAGCCTGTGGAGGACCTGCTGAAGCCGGGTCACCTGACTCTGCTGCTGGAGGGGGAGCTGGAGGCCGAGGTGGGGGCTCTGAGTCTGGGAGAGGTCAGCGCAGGGCTGGAGAGGCTGCTGGACCTCCTGAAGACCCACAGAGACTCCTGCCAGCCCCTGCAGCTCCAGGTACCAACAACCACTCCCTTATCAATTCAAATCAATTTAAAAATACTTGTATCGGTTTTTAAAGCTCTTAATGGTCTTGGGCCTAGCTATTTATCGGATTTGCTCTTAACCGACAGTATGAGCCCTCTAGAACACTCAGGTCTTCTGGTACTGGCCTTTTAATCAAACCCAAAGTCAGAACACAGACCCTCTGTGAGACCTCTTTTTGTTATTACTGGCCAAGACCTGAGGGCAGACCCACCTTTTTAAATGTAGCTTCTAACTGAATTGTATTTTTATTATTTTTTTTATTATATATGTATCTATATACAATATATGTGTTGCTATTAAGTGTTATTTTTTATTAATGTTACTCTGGTTATTACATAAAGGGGAGATAGTTTCTTTATAGATTGTCTATGCGTTTGAATTGTGAAGCACTTAGAGTTACCTTTGTGTCTGAAAAGTGCTTCATAAATCAAGTTTGATTTGATAATGGTGTGTGAGAAGCTTGTTTCATGTCAGAATGAGGCCTCTAGCTCAGTTGCATCTGTCCCTGTGTGTGTGTGCAGGAGGTGGACAGAGCGGTCAGGATGCTGGTGCAGCTGGAGCCGCTGCTGGGGGTGTACTCGGACACGGTGCGCTCCTACATGGCTGTGTGTCTGGGGGCTCACAGGAGCACCGGCAAGCTGCTGTCAGTGCTGGCCAACATCTTCAGCGAGCTCGCTCAGAAGGTAGGGGGCAACACAGTCTCTCATCAAGGGGTTCAAATAGGGTTTGCTTTGTGGGTGTGTGCTTTACTCTAAGGTTTTGATTATTCACATACGTGAAATGTTTAATAACACTTTTACAAGAGCTTAATTTCGCCTCTTCATTTGATCTCAAAGTGCAGCAGATCGGTGCAAATGGGCAGTTACAATGTCCTTTTTTCCTAATATGGTGCAGCCTCTTATTTATAGTGTTTAGATACTCCTCTGAATATATGGCTTTTTTACTGAGAATATTTATTTATATTGTTTTTACATTTTTTATGTTTGTCTTTATTTTATTTTGTATTTTATTTTTAAGAAATGTTGCTGCTGTGACAAAACAGTTCATACCACAGCAAGGAAGTGAAAGCAGTTTGTTTTCATTTGAATACAAAAATATATAAACAGTATATTTGTTTCAATTCCCAATGAATAATCATGATAAATAACTGATATGTCAATATTGATGTTGGCCATAGTCTTGCAGGATAGTGTGCATTCAGTCAGTACTCGTGTAGTTTCCCTTCACCTTACTTTAGCAATATTGCAGTGAGTGGTCATCTAAAATGCAGTCATGCAGTGGCATAAGCAGTGACTCAATGTTTGTTGTGCCCCCCCCCCCCCTCAGGGTTTCTGCCTGCCTCAGGAGCTGATGGCTGGTGGAGATGGAGAAGGAGCCACGGAGTTCCACGAGAATGAGGGCGGAGGAATAGGAGAGGGAGAGGGCTCCAAAGACGTCAGCGACAAGATCGAGAATGAGGATCAGGTAACTTAACTTGTACATTTTCACAAAATAATCATGGTCAAATGTGACTTAATGCTTGTAGGAGCTTTCATCTTCTCTTGGTCTTAATTAGCTGAGCTTGTTCAGAACAACATCTCACGTCAAATCTCTAACATGTATAGTAGCAATGACACGCCAATGCTACGGCTGAGTAGAGCAGCCTGGTTTCAGATGACATTATAGGTCCTGTTCAACTGAGACACATACAGACTAGCTCAGGGGTCGGCAACCCCTGGCACCCGTGCCAGCATTGGCACGCGGCACCGTAACCAGTGGCACACTAGGAATAAGTGGAATAAGTGTGCAAAATATTTAAATTGTATTTTCGGATCCTGAACGAGACCGCCGCCAGAGCGCGTCTCCCTGTTACCTGCAGAAGGAAGCCATGCACGCAACGCAGCCCCGCTCTGTTTAACTCCAGCCGACTTTCTGCCGCTTTCCTCCGTGGTGCAGGGCTGATCGTTTCACCACAGAGGAAAGCACTTCACAAATGCCGCAGTTTTTGCATGGCTGTGTCTTTAGTTGAAAGCCCAGTGGCGATCTGCTCATCTCTCATTGAAATAATATGCTACAAAGGGGCGGACTGGCCATCTGTGTGTTGAACTTTCCTGTCGGCTCCCAGACCGTAGTCGAGGAGGGCAGAAGCAACAAGCTTCAGGTTCAATAACCCACTTTAGCTTAAATGACTGGAGAGAGACGAGCTCTTCTTGGGAGGCCGTTGCATTTATTTAGCTGTTCTTCTGTTTCACAAAATACATCACAGACCTCTGTTTTTCTGCTGCCTCGTTTCACTTCCAGAAACATACACACGCTCCCTCACTGTCGCTCTACCATCCACACACACAGTCACACACACACACATGCCACACCCCTCTCTCTCTCTCTTAAAGGGACAGCGATCTCATCTCACTCTGCATGACCCTAATATCATAACATGTGTGTTCTGGAGAATCACAGAACGGACGATCGTCCCTATTATTATGCCGTTTAAACCAATTATTTAAATGTGTTTGTTAAATTCGGTATCATGTAAGTTGTGCTGACAGGTCCACACACTGCTTCTCCGCAGCGAGGCCCCCCCCCCCCCCCCCCCCGTTGATGATTCTCGATCGTTGGCACGCTGATAAAAAACATTCTTTTGAATGGCACTTCATATCGAAAAGGTTGCCGACCCCTGGACTAGCTAAATCAAGAGAGCTGAACACTTTGAGGAAGTTTAGACTATAAGTATTAATGAATGAGTCATTGATTACCATAAACTGCTGAATGTCAGTTTGTGTATATATAAACCCAAATTGTTCTTCCCCAGGTGGAGGACACTCTGCAGGAGGGTCAGGAGAAGGAGGAGGAGCAGGAGAAAGGGAATATCAAGGCGGAGGACAACGCCATCGAGATGTCAGATGACTTTGATGGCCAGATGCATGATGGGGATGAGAATGAAGCAGGTAACCTGAAGCGTCGTCTCTGGGTGAATGCTTTCAAGATGTGTGTCTTGACTTCCGCTTGCTGGCTACGTTAGAGACGGCTCTAGTCTGAATGGATGATCATTTTCTTTATCCTTTGCAGGTGAAGATGAGGACTCGGGGAAAGAGGAGGACCAGGATCTGGATAAGAAGATGGGTGACCTGGGGGAAGGACAGACAGATACTCTGGATGAGAGGATGTGGGGGGATGATGATGATGATGATGAGGAGGAGGAAGGAAGTGACAAGGAGGAAGAGTCGGGCCAGGGCATGGATGAGGTACAGAGTCCCCACCAGGCTTACATGAACTGATCCACCGGTCAAATGTTTGTGGTTTCTCCTTTTTTTCAATGAAACCTTTTGAAACCCATGACTTCTCCTGTCCCTGATCTCAGGGAGAATCTGAGATGGTTGCTAACGACGACAACTTGGATTCTGCAGACCCCAACAAAGACAAGAAGAAGCAGGACAAAGAGGAACAGATGGACGTGGAGGAGAAAGAAAAGATCAATGAACAAGGAGATGAGGTAGTCACAACCACAGACCCCCCCCCCACTAACCATTCACCCTTCATGTCTCTTAGTTCTTTAATTATGTCCATTAGTTCTTTATATGTCACTTAGTTCTTTAAATTGTTGCTCCTAATTTTGAGCCATAGATGTGTACTTATTTGTCTTATTTGTATTATTACTAATGTTTGCTTTTCTCTATTAAATGAATTGGCTTATATTCTGTATCATTGCATGCCTTTTGAAGCTGTTACGCCTCTTGTTGCTGTAACGCTGTAAATGCCCCCGCTGTGGGACTCATCAAGTTCTTCTGGATCTGATTCCCTTAAGATTGATCTTTTTCATCCAGGATTGTTTTCAGATATTTCCAAAATGTCACAAATGATATCATACTTGTTTCTGCTTCTCAGCGTGAGTTTGATGAGAATGAAGTGGACCCCTACCACGGTCAGAAGGACAAGAGGCCGGACCCCGAGGCCATGGATCTGCCTGAGGACCTGAACCTGGACCAGGATGAAGAGGCTGGAGGCGAGGGAGAGGAGGGCGAGGGGCGAGGGGGAGGGTGAGTCAGGAACAGTTACTCTGCTCTATGTGAAGGTGGCTGACCCCTTACTCTCCACCATGCTTAGTTAGACAGCCTATACGGCATCCACAGGTGGTCTGCTAAACTCTAACACTTTGAATGAACCCTTTCAGAAGAGAATCCATTTGACATTGATGAGAAGTCAACGGCCCTGGATGAGAAGGAGGACGGACAGAAAGAGGGAGAGGAGGAGGAGGAGGAGGAAGGAGCTGAAAAGATGGAGGAGGAGCAGACAGAGCTGCCAGGAGAAGAAAACGGTCAGGAGCTCAAGACTGAAGAGGAGGAGCAGGAGGGGGGAGGAGGAGAGAAGGCTGAGGGAGACGAAGAGTCTGCTGAGAAAAATGAAGAAGAAGAGGAGAAGGAGAAAGGAGAGGAGGCAGGAAGAGACGAAGATCTGAGTGTTCCAAATGACGAAGGACAAAAAGCAAAGGTGTGTATGTCCACAAAGTGATGGAGCTGCGTGACGCTGAAGCCTCTGTTCCCTGGGTCACTGTGGTAATGCTTACAGGAGGAGGAGGAAGGAGCAGGGGAGGATGAGGAGCAGCCGGAGTCAGCGGAGAGGAAGGAGCACAACACGGAGGGTCAGACCGGAGAGCAGAACGTCCAGAGCGACACGGCCGTGGAGCTGGGGGGGGAGGCCTCCGAGAGAGAGCAGGCCAAAGAGGTACTGACTGAGGGGGTGGGGGGGGTTAAGGCATCGGGTACTGTTATGTTTACTGGGGGAAATAGCAGATTGTTTGTCTGTTTTGTTCTTCTAATGTTTTCAGTCCACCACCCAGACTCAAATGGGCCCCTAAAGGTGATGAAGTGTAAACAATTCTTTAAAATATTTGTTTGTGTGTTTTGTTAGGAGCACGGGACTGGTTCTGCTGATGCCAGCCAATCAGAGGGCCACCAGTCCAAGCTGACAGCCAGGATGGCCTCACAGAAACAGACCCAGAACAAGACCCAGGTGAGACCATCTGGAGACCCCACTCTCCTCCCTCTGCTATTGTTTACTTTTGATTGTTTTGTTATTTTTGCACTTCAAGAAATGATAAAGTTACAGGGCATACATAACACGACTAAATACAGTTCCAATGAAGATACAGTGGAAAACTAAACAACATGCTCAGCTCTGACAAAGAGGAGAAAGAAAAGTATAATATATAATTGTATAATTGTTTACAGATGTATCATTCATTGTCATAAGTATATAAATGGTCCCATCTAACCACAGGGCTATATTCATGTTGTATCTTGTATACCTCACCCGCTTTTACCCATCTCTTCTCTCTTGTTTTCATCTTTTTATTATTTTATACACTTCATTTACAAAATCCTTCCATTTTGAGTTTATGAGGTTATCATATTTTAACCAATTCCTTGTCATTAGTTTAATTATTGATACACTTATTAAAAGTAATAATTAAGAATCTTTCATTTGTACTTCTTCTGGTGTTTTTCCAAATAGTGGGATAAGTATGTTTGTATTTATAAAAGTCCCCAAATTGCTGATATCTATGATGAATATTTCCCATAAGCCTCATAGAGCTTTATAAGGCCAACATATATGAGTATGGTTTACATTCTGTACTGACTTTAGGTTTGTCTTCAAATATGGAGTTAGAATCTTTCAAGTAAATGTTTCTTTAGTATTTTAGTGCATCATCAGAGTGTTTTTCTTTGCCGTTGCAGAGCTTCAAGAGGAAACCCGGTCAGGCGGACAACGAGCGCTCGACGGGCGACTACAACGAGCGAATCAACAAGCGGCTGCGCACGGTGGAGAGCAGCAAGGAACGCAGCGAGGAGAGGAAGCAGTGCGACGCCCAGCAGGAGTCAGACCTGTACGAGCACATCCAGCAGGGGGAGAGCGCCTACGACAAGCAGACATACGGTCAGTGACCCCCCCCCCCCACACACACACACACACACACACAGTCAGTTCAAATCATAGGAAACACATTTCATCTCAATTATAAAGTTAAGGATTTTAACCACAATATACCCTGCATAAAGAGACAGTGGACAGATTTAGACTTGATGTGAGCTTTTTTGTTTACAAAATATTTGAGGTTCATATATAAATGTTCTTGAATGGGTAAATATCTTTTCATCAGTTCCTGTCCTGCTCTGTAATTTGTGTTCGTATTTGCTGTTTCCAGATGTTGCCAGTGCAGACCAGCAGAAAGCAGCAGGCCCTCATAAGGACCAGGATGAAGATCAGAACGATGAGGATGTTGCCATGGAAACAGATAAGCAGGAAGAGGATCTCCAGGCTGCTGAGGTCCAGGAGCTGAAGCCCGAGCAGCTGGACTCCACCAAGGCCTCCCAGAAAGGTGACACATTTAAGACGAAACCTCTGTGATTTTCTTAGCAAATGCACTCTAGATGTATCTGTGTTAACCCCCCACCCCCTCTCCTTATCCTGCAGGTGCAGACAGTGGGGAGATGGAGGTGCAGAAGCAGGGAGAGGAGGATGATGAAGAGAGATGGAAGGACCGACAGAAACCCAGAGAAGAAGAGCGGGGAGACAGACGGACTGAATCCACGATTCACACGGTGCCCGAGCTGCTGATGGACACCATGCAGGTACGCAAGCTCTCTAATGAATCAGCATTTGACCACTTCCCTTCACTGCAGTTCCCTCGTCTGGAAGTCAATGGTTTTTGGACCTGTTAGTGGTTAGATGCCTGAGGTAAGATCTGTGGTGAGCACAGGTTTCAGAGACTTTAACATTTGATTCTACTACGTAACATGTCCATAAATACCCCACTGGTTAATGTCCAAAGCATCTATGTGTCATCAAAACCATGGTTGCTAATAAGTGACTCATTTAGACTACTTAATGTCATCATGACAACAATTGATGCAACCATGATGTAGTTTGTTTTTAGCATCGACTCTCCCAGGCCAAGGTGCCCGAACCCAAAGGAGTTTGGGCACCTTGTAAGGTCAGTCAGGAATAAAGTGAGGGGAGGGACTCTAAGGGAAATGCCAGCCGCCCTCCGGAGAAAACCCATTTCTGACACTTATATCCGCTATCTCGTTTTTCAGTCATCCCCCCTCCTTCAGCACTGTGTTGTAATGGTACATAGTCAAATATAAAAAGCTTGCATTGCATTGAACTGTGTTTGTGTGTGTGTTTGCAGAAGGAAGAGAGGGACCCGGAGGAGATGAGGAGGGAGATGGAGCTGCAGCTGGAGGCCTGGCATCAGCTGGCTCCAGGCACTCAGGAGGAGGTGAGGCACAGTGCTTCCTGTAGAACATTACATACAGTATGTACAGGCTGTTAAAGGACTGTGCCTGCAAAATAATACTCATAACATTATTTAACATTTCTCCTCACAATAGAATCAGAATTCCTTTATTTGTCCCAAAAAGGTTGTTACTGCAAAGTCAAGATACAGACGAAGAAAATAGAACACTATTATATCAAAAGGCATGCACATAGTATTTAAAATATGACTCTCCGACTGATGTGTTGTTGTCCGTGTTGCAGGAGAGTGCAGCAGCCTCCATGTGGCACCAGTACCAGACCCTGACCTCGGCTCTGTCTCAGCAGCTGTGTGAGCAGCTGCGCCTCATCCTGGAGCCCACGAAGGCCGCCAAACTCAAGTGAGCCCCCACACTCATAATCATAGTCTCCTAGCAATTAGGGAAGTGAAAGCAATAGCATGTGATTAATTTCCTCTGAAATAACTCCACAATTGCAATAAAAGGAGAAGGGGTAAGTTTGACTCCAAAGACCTCATGAAAGGTATCATACAGAGGTGGGAGAAGTACTCAGATATTGTACTTAAAGTGGACCTATCATGCTATATTTGAATAATATAGTGTAGGACCATACCTATATAAGGCATATTTATACTTTTTTTTTTTCAAAATACCAAACAGATCATGCATTTTAGCCATGCCTCATTTCGCTCTATTTGACAATTTATAGCTCTGTTTTTGCAAGGGCAGATTCTGTGAGAACAGCACCACCTACAGGCCTGGCATATGTACTACAGCGTCTCCAGCGCTTTCGAACGGCAATGGCCGTGGCTGTCTCCTCCTGATTGGTGGAGTTGGCCCAATAGCCGTAGCGCCACCGTCCTGACGTCAGGACAGTGTTCAAATCTGGATCAGTTTTTATCAGATCCGTTGCAGCCCCTTTTTTAGAGATTTGGGTATGGAGGAAAATAGAGAGGGTTGTGTTTTCTGACACTTGGTGAGTTCCCTGGAACACCGGGGACACATATTCATGTATAAAAGACGTACAAAAGTGCATTTTGCATGATAGGTCTCCTTTAAGTAGAAGTACCAGAGTGTAGGAATACTGTTACAAGTAAAAGTCCTGCATTCAAAATGTTACTCAAGTAAAAGTACAAAAGTATTAGCATCCAAATATACTTAAAGTACTAAAAGTCAAAGTACTCACAATGCAGATTTCAGAATAATATATATGATATGTTTTATAATGATTGATCATTAAAGTGTTATCAAAGCTGGTAAAGGTGCAGCTAGTTTGAATGACTTTGTATACTGCAGGGTAGCTTGTGGATTTACTCCAGGTGGAACTAAAGTCTGATTTAACACTTGATTATATTTCACATCATTCATCCACATCTGTAAAGTAACTAAAGGTATTACATACATGTAGTGGAGTAAAAGTAAAAAGTAGCATAACATGGAAATACTCAAGTGAAGTAAAGTAGTCAAAGTATTTCAAAATTGTAGTTAAGTACAGTACTTGAGTAAATGTATTGAATGACTTCCCACCCATCAAATATAGACATCAAACAATTATGAAGATTTGCACAAGTGTGAAAAGTATGTATGAGGGATTCTGTTAGTGTCTGATCTGTTGCATGGGGACCCCCCTGGATACCTCTTTGGCCCCCTGGTTTTGTCTCCTGTCATGAAAGGCTCATGTTTATCAATGCTAATGCTGTGTTACATACAGCCTCACAGTGAAGTTAAAGGTCATGTGATGTGGCTCCACAGGGGGGACTACCGCACAGGGAAGCGTCTGAACATGAGGAAGGTGATCCCCTACATCGCCAGTCAGTTCCGGAAAGACAAGATCTGGCTGCGGAGGACGAAGCCCAGCAAGAGGGAGTACCAGATCTGCCTGGCCGTGGACGACTCCTCCAGCATGGTGGACAACCACTCCAAACAGGTGAGACAGCATGGTGGACAACCACTCCAAACAGGTGAGACAGCATGGTGGACAACCACTCCAAACAGGTGAGACAGCATGGTGGACAACCACTCCAAACAGGTGAGACAGCATGGTGGACAACCACTCCAAACAGGTGAGACAGCATGGTGGACAACCACTCCAAACAGGTGAGAGGACACGGGATGCTGCTGGAGGTCTGTGAGACGTCCACAGAGAGAGAAACGGCTGAATCTGAATACTTCATCTGATTTCCTGGTTCAGAACCATAGTGATGACATTGAGTTCAACATAGGGATTAATATATGCAAATAAACTCATGCTGTGTGTGTGTGTGTGTGTGTGTTGCAGCTGGCGTTTGAATCCCTGTCAGTGATCACCAACGCTCTCACTCTGCTGGAGGCGGGACAGGTGTCTGTGTGCAGGTAAGCCTCTGAGATACATTAAAGACAGACAATACCATCAAGTACAAACCTTTTGGGGAGATGTGCATGCTACTGTTGGAGACATCCTGGGTTATTCAATACCCAAAGAATGCAACATTCTATATCCTTATTATACATTATGATTGTGCAAATTGCCCAACATACTGTATGCAGGTTAGCATCCTGTAGTTTCTATGTGCTGGGGACCCGTACTATACATTCCTATCATCAAACATTGGGGTACTCAACATGTCAGGGTTCACAGTGCTGGTAGACTATTATCTAAGATGCTGTTAATAACAAGCAAGAAAGCAATAACAAGAAGCGGGTGTAAGGCTGAGCCAGAACAAATGGCTTACCAACTTAGTGAGTTTGTTGATTATACAAACAAAACTCAATAAAAACTACAATTTAAAAAAAAAAATACAGACAATAAGAAAATGTTGTGCCGATTTTAAGAAATGATCAATCTCAGAATAAATCAAACTAAAAGTATGAGTTTTGAAATACAGTGTTTGTGATGGCATATTGTGTATTTAAAGGGGACCTATCATGCAAAATGCACTTTTTGATGTATTTTATACATAAAGATGTGTGTGTAGAAAATAAAACCCTCTCTCTTTTCCTCCGTACCCAAATCTCTAAAAACGGGGCTAAAACGGAGCTGATCCAGATTTGCGTCCGATGTGACGCAATATCGGAAATGTGGGCGGGCTTTACACCCACGGCCCTATCAGAAACATTGCCATCAGAAACAATGCCCGACTGTTTTGGAAGTAATATGTGACCCGCTCTATCGAAATCAGTCGGAAGTCGCAACGGCTCATTTCAAAATAAATGTGGATTTGCGTAAAAAACTAGTTTTTCGGGGTTCGGGTGTTTTGTTTGATTTTAAATAAACAAAGTCTTGGCTTTCAGAATATGAAACTTTTATTTCCAAAATCACACGATAAATACATGTTTGAAGCTTGTGAAGGGAAGATGACAGGCACCTCTCACTCGCACTGGGCTCTTCCACAGCGCCGCACCCCCTCCCTCCCGCTGACATTATGAATGTAAGGCATATAGTAATCATAGATAACACGGCAGGGTCCGTTACAGTTTGTTTTCATCTGATTTCAAATAAACAAAGTCTTGGCTTTCAGAATATGAAACTTGTTTCAGCAAATTCAGATGATAAATACAACTTTGAAGCTTGTAGACATATTTACAAGCGGAGAACGGAGTAACTTGACGTCACAGCAGGCATAACAACAGCCGGTGTTTCTCGTGAGTGTTTTCCCCGGGAAACAAACACAATATACACAAATGCAAAATTACACAAACACACACACGTATACACACACACACACTCGCAAGCTTCCCCCAGACCAGTAATCCAAACGAAAATATCTTACCTCTGTAGTATTTTGATAATTTGCTCTGCTGATAATCAATCAGATCGATGGATTCCAGAGAAGAGGAAACTTTGAAGGCCTTTTTCTCAAAATGATGACTCGGTGACAGTCATTATATAATGTGACATATTTTGCTTAATATTTGGAGTACAAAAACAATCCTGATATCATTAGAAAGCTAGGAATCTCCTCTTTCCAACAGTGTATACAACTGAAAATGTGTCTTCGGGTCAATGCGACTGATTTCGATGGAGCAGGTCACATATGGTCTGTGTTTACATTAGCAGCATGCTAACACTTAGAGCTAATGCTGTACTGGAGAGAGTATGAAATAAAAAAGGAACTCACCTTGTGGTAAACCCGCGAGAGAAAAAGCATTTGAGCTCCATACTGTTTCAGGAATAATCCTTGATGTGGTTTGGAACATGATATGGTATTTAATCACGGCAGCATTTAGCTGAATCTGCAGGGTAATTCTGAGCAGGCATCAGCCCCCCCGCTCCTCTTTCTAAGGACCCCGAACCTGCAGTTCTCTAACAGGCCTGAAACAGAGGGGTATGAGGGATGTCTAAAATGCACGATCTGTTTGGTATTTTGAGCAAAACACATAGACATGTTTTTAACTTTTTATATATTTTGTATATATCTGAGACCTATAATATATGCCTAAAAATAGCATGATAGGAGACCTTCAATGTGAAGCTCACATTCCACGCCTGCTCCTTGTTCAGTTTTGGCGAGCAGGTGCAGCTGCTCCACCCGTTCCAGCAGCAGTTCAACGACCAGTCCGGAGCCCGCATCCTGCGCCTCTGCCAGTTCCAGCAGAAGAAGACCCGGATAGCACAGGTCCTCCTGATGTTTCATTCATAAATATTACGTTTGAATTGAGTATGAAAGTGTGAAAGCACTATTCTGATCCATTTCTGTCAGATCTCCGTAGTCTTTATGACTCTTCAGAAAGATGTTACTGCCAGTTTGTAAAAATGCATTTATTTTCTATAGTCATAACCATCAATACACAGTGCTATACATTACACCGATATCATCATAATAAATCAAACGGATATCTTTCTTTAAATGTTTTGATGCTGCAAAGGAAATGAACAAGAAGGCGGTTTATAATGTTACCCATATTCTGTAGCCTTTACAGTGTTCTCATTAGGCATTACATTCTCTGTTTGTAATCTGAATGTAATGTTGGAATGCTCTATTTAGTATGTCATTCGGTTTGGAGATAAGACCTTATTGATGCTGTTTAAGTGCGTCCCCTGCTGTCAGACTGACTCCCTCCTCTCCTCTGCAGTTCTTGGACACCTCAACACAAATGTTCCTAGCAGCACGACAGCAGGTTCCTGGATCTGTAAGCTCAGGTAAACACTCCCACTGCTTCATATGTAATTATCAAACTGTTTACCCTTTTCTGTGTCATTTGGGGAAATCAAAGTCCTACGTGTTGCTTTTCTCTGTAGGAACCATGAAGGCACAGAGTTAGATGTTAATGAATACACTGAACTGGTGTCGGACCTGGTTAATATATTAGAGGAAGCACCTGTGCAGTAGAAGGTTAAGGAACCAATAGCACTTCAGATCCTTTTTGACACCTTCATTTAATGAGTAACACATTGTTTGGACAACCTGAGCCAAATGACTGATGTTTTTACAGTAATGTGAAAGTGTTCATGATCATTCACCAGGATGAGTCACTCATGCCCCTTTCACACCGGCGGTTTTTCCTGTTCACACCGCAGCGGCGGCGCGTCATAGCTCCGGAATGCGGTTCACTTCCAGCTCCAAAAAATTGTCGGTCCAGAGGCAAGAGCTTCGGAGCTATGACGCGGCGTCGCTTACGTCGAGGCGTGCAGGAAACCTTACTTTGACCATCCGTTCGCTGTTATTGATCATTGTGGAGATACATGGGCTGCACAGGTTGTCATGTCCGACTATCACAAGTAGAATCATAATGAAAAATACGTCGGTAAAATGTGCCTGTAGAAAACGGCTTAGCAAGTAGTCAGTTTAGCTTCGGTTGCTATGCTAACATCACCCATGTTATACCAGAGAAACTTTCATAACAGCGTTGTGATGCCAAACAGCGTCAATTCAGACTGACACACATTCACTTAAGGGGAACTGGGGATATGTATCAGCTGCTTGTGTGACAGTCAGACAGTGAATACTTTAGAGCCGTGTGAGCTAACCCGGAGCTAACGGGACAATAAACTCCCGTGGAAGTGCAGCCAGCACTGCAGCGGTCGGTAAATGCCGCTGAAACACATTAATAAACAATGAACCACGGCACTCTGGAGAAAAGTATAAGGTTGGAGAAGTCGTTATTTAATTTAATCTGGCTTCGTATGATTAAAAGCAACACGATCATCGACCCGACGCAGTCCCCCATTGTTGTTGTTGTGGGAGAAAATCAGTGACGTAAACGGTGTCATGACGCAGCAGCGGCAGCTCTGGGCAGTGTGAACAGAGCGGGAGCTGAAAAGGGAAACCGGAGCTGAACCAGAAAAGCTCTCACTAGGAGCTAGAAAGGGAAAAGCGCTGGTGTGAAAGCCGCATAACAGAGCCAGTTTCATATCTTGGTGGCTGATGGATGTTTTAGTGTTTACCTCTCGTGTGTAAGTGTGTGACTGCTTGAGGAGGTCCTGCCTGACCCTCCGCCCCCCAGTGAATGGACTCAGGTCCCAGATTGTATCAGATATCCAACAAACACGCCTTCAGTGGGAGAGGAGGCAGAAACAAGCCATTGTCCCAGCCTTAAGGTGGAGCTAACGTTTCCTTTTCATGGAGCAGGACACAGGTGGTGTTACTGAGAAGGCCTGTAACACAGAATAAGACCAGGAGCTACTGAACTGCATTTAGTCAAAAGCTACTTCTGACAGTGCACCACTGTGGCAGATTGTATTGTGGATCAGCAGCTGAATTTAAATAAGACATAACATTTATATGACATTTTCAAACAATAGTTGGTTTTCAGATCAAAATGTGCATTTTCAATCAATTGTTCCGAATATGTCGATCAAATCATTGTTTTATGTGTAAGTTGTTGCATGATATATCTCACCTGTTCCTTTAGTTCTCACTCGCCTGATGGAGCCTTTAAGCTGTTTGTTTTGCTTTTCTAAAACACACAAACAAACTCCAAAAGATTTTTGCTGTGCTTATTCTATATTCCTAGCTCATTTCCAGATATAGAAAAAACACCGCCCACATTCTTAATCATGCCTGCAAAGCTTTGCTTCAGGGATCCAGACGTCATTCCTAAGAACATCTCCTGAACTGATTGAATCACTGAACATTTGAGATCTGGCTCCTTTCAGAGGAACCAGGCTTCACTTGGCCACTAACTTATATTCCTCTGCCCCCCCCACAGAGACGGCCCAGCTGCTGGTGATTGTGTCTGACGGCCGGGGACTGTTCCTGGAGGGGAAGGAGCGGGTGATGGCGGCGGTGCGGGCGGCTCGCAGCGCTAACGTGTTCATCATCTTCGTGGTGCTCGACAACCCCAACTCACGGGTAAGTGAAGAGGAATTTGACCTTTTATTTATTTTCTAAATGTCCAGACACTAACTGTGTAAACGCTGGTGCTGCAGGACTCCATCCTGGACATCAAGGTGCCCATCTTCGGAGGGCCGGGGGAGCTGCCGGAGATCCGCTCCTACATGGAGGAGTTCCCCTTCCCCTTCTACGTCATCCTGCGAGACGTCAACGCTCTGCCGGAGACCCTCAGCGACGCGCTCAGACAGTGGTTCGAACTGGTCACCGCAGCCGAGCAGTAGACCAATGAGAAGCCATCTTTCACAGGACAGGAAGCAACTGCACAACAAAAAACGACTGACTCAAAAAAAAGACTGACGTGCCACTGTACATGTGCCTTTATTTTCTTATTTTTACTGTAGATTTGAGAAGAGTTTGATAGCAACCTTTACCGTTAGTATTTGTTATCAGGGCAATTTCTTTGTAATGTAATGAGGATTGCTTTAACTTGCACGTCTGAGATGAAAATGTGATTCCCGTTGGTGTGAAACACTTGAGTGAAGAGTCAGTAAATACCGCCGTCTCCCTTGTACTATAGACCTGGACTCATGTCTGTGTGGATGTTCTAGTCAGTGTTATGAAGGTCATCTCATCATCATCATCTTCAGTGTGAACAGCAACATTTGGAGAGCTGCTGATTCCTAACTATGTAGCATGTTGGTCAGGAACTGCATTCAAAGGAAATGTGCCTTGTAGAGAGGAATGGTTTAGCATCTTACTAAACGTCTGAATCAGCTGTCGGGTGATGGATCAGAGGTGCAGTCCGGTCAGGATTTTAATAAATGAATCTGTCTACGCTTTGAAGCACCAGGACTGCAATGAATGCCCGGTTTAAAGACTCATATCTGTTGATCTTCCATCCATACTCGGTGACTCGTGAGGCTCATCACTAGTAGTTGTTGATGAAATGTGCATATAAATGTTTATTATCACCTCTGTGCTTCGTACATGGACTGACATGTAAGGACACATTGGTCGTCTTCAATCACATCTGTTCTACAATGACAATAAAGCGTTTACCAGTTTGCTCTGTCTGACTGTGTTTCCACCTTCTGTTTAGGAATACTCAGATCATCATTAACTGTAAAGGATTCATTTCAAAGATATTCAGCAACAATTCATATTTTCCTCTCCGACAAAACATTCTCTTTTCAATATGGAGGCACAGATTATATTTTTCTGCATTAAATCGAGATAAAATCAGTGGTGGAAAAGTAACTAAGTGCATTTACTGAAGTATTGTACTGAACATATTTGTACTTGAGTATTTCCATTTAACACTTCATACTTCTATACGTTCCAGAGGTGAATATCATACCTTTTACTTCACTACATTTATTTGAACACTCAAAGTTACTGTGTACATGTAAAAACACATGCTGATATGGTGTAATGCACTATTGTGCTACTAATCTACAGAGTATCTCATGTTGTCCAAGTTGACAAACTACTATACTAAAATACTCTCACATGTATTAAAACAGGATAAAATAATAACCACAATAATATAATATTGTGAAAAGATCTATTCTGCATAAGCAGTACTTAAAGTATGTTATATATTTTGATGCCAATACTTTTATACTTTAAATATCATTTTGAAATCAGAACTTTTACTTGTAATGGAGTTTTTTTTAAGGCCATAGTAGACCATAAGTACAATAATTTGTACTTTCACTCAAGAAATTGATCCGAGTACTTAATATCATAAAAAAGGTGAGTGTGTTCCATTACATTTGACATAGAGCCATCATGCACAGGACCCCGGCACTGGTCAAAGTTCATTAATACCTTCGATATTAGAGTATAGTTGTTCATTAACACATGTTCAGAGGTGGAAGAAGTACTACCATGGTTTAGTAAAACTCTATTACAATTAAAAAGTTGTGCATTGCGAATGTTACTCAAGTAAAAGTACAAACATATTTGCATCAAAATATAGTTAAAGTAGCGACAGTAAAAGTAGTCATTGTGCAGATTGGTCCATTTCAGAATAATATATATGATGTGTTTTATAATTATTGATCATTAAAGTGTTCTCAAAGCTGGTAAAGGTGCAGCTAGTTTGAATGACTTTGTATACTGCAGGGTAGCTTGTGAATTTACTCCAGGTGGAACTAAAGTCTGATTTAAGGCTTGATTATATTTCACATCATTAATCTAAATCTGCAAAGAAACTAAATCATAACCAAAAATGTACACAAGTGTACAATATGTACCTATGTATTCATTGTAGTGGGGTAGAAGAGTGCAATACTGAAGTACATTACTCGAGTACATTTATTAAGTTACTTTACAACAACACGACCGTTAATTATTAACACATTTCCAGCGATGCCATTGGCTGTGAAAGGTGTCACCTGTCTGCTGCTGTCTGTCCCTCCCTTTCCGGGGGACCTCCATGGGACCTTATTTCGGAAAAAGTATGTATTGAAGTCAATGGGGAGAGAAAGATTATCTTTCGATCCCGTTTGAATTGTGCCACGAATTACACATATGATGTTTGTCAATTTAAAAGATAATTTTGCAAGTCAAACAAATAAAAATGTGTCGTAAAACTGTGAAGTAACACTTTTTTTTTTGTGTGAAACCGCTCAATGAACTACATCTCCCGTCTCGCACCACACACCAAGACGGCCGTCACGTTGGCACATTTCACTTCTTTCTTTCAGAATGAGGCGAAAAGTATTCAAAGAGGTGAAAATCACTGGGCATGTTGAGAGCTGTACATACACACAAGGGGAGTTAGTTGGTTCCGTTAGAGCCAGCATGCAGGACCGGGATTCTGGGATTTGTAGTCTTTCTAGTTGCATATTTTTCATAGTCTTATATTTCAACAGTTTTACGACAAACTGTGACTTTTTTGACATGGAAATGATTTTTTAAGATTGACAAACATCATATGTGTAATTCGTGGCACAATTCAAACGGGATCGAAAGATAATCTTTCTCTCCCCATTGACTTCAATACACACTTTTTCCGAAGGAGGTCCCCGGAAGGATAATGATGATTTATGATAAGAACCCGGGGGAGACAAACAGGAAGTAGAAGTTATGAAATGATAACATCCGGTTTTCCGGCTGGTGGGCACTGGGCAGAGCTGTGTGTAGGTAGCAATCAGAGATGGGAGTCTCAAGGTTACCGTCCGCAGCGCTGACTTTCAAACAGGTAAACACAGAGATAATAAAGGAGTAAAGTATATCTCTTAAAGACCCTGCGGGTCCTGTTAGCGGGGTTAGCTTGCAGGCTAACGCTAGCTCTCTGTGTCAACAGTTAGACTCTCCATGGCTCTGTCCCCCCCCTTTACGGTTTGTAATATGTGATAAATAAATATGTTATCACTCAGTTATATCCTGTGGTGTAATATAACTGAGTATATTGACTCAAGTACTGTATTAAGGACTTTTAAGGTAGTGGTACTTACGTTTTGCCCATTTGTACTACTGCTTAACGATGTGAAATATAATCAAGCCTTAAATCAGACTTTAGTTCCACCTGGAGTAAATTCACAAGCTACCCTGCAGTATACAAAGTCATTCAAACTAGCTGCACCTTCACCAGCTTTGAGAACACTTTCATGATCAATCATTATAAACATTGTGAAGCTGACCGTTGAGCGGCCCGACCAAGCAAGGAGGCAGAGGCAGAACGTCCAAAAATATAACCCGGTGTGGGCATTTATTACATCAGACACATGATTCACAGCCTCAATCCTGCTGAACATGTGCACACCGTCACCAACCACAGGGATTTCACACCACACTACCAGCACCAAAACAGACAGGGAAACAGAGCCTAAATACACACACACACTAATCAGCAATTAGACACAGGTGGGGGGGGGGAGAAGACAACACAGTGTATCAGGTGCACACAATCAACAGCAACAGACATGGGGAAAGGGGAACACTTTTCAACAACAATGAAGCTAAACAACCCGTAACGGAGGCCGAGATCTATGGGCCCAGGGATCACCTCCGTGACACATATCATATATCTGCACAATGACTACTTTTACTTTTGGTAGTATAACTTTATTTTGATGCTAATACTTTTCTACTTTTACTTGAGGAACATTTTGAATGCAGGACTTTTACTGTAACAGAGTATTCCTACACTCTGGTACTTCTACTTTTACTCAAGTACAAGATTTGACTACATCTCCCACCTCTGTTGAAGTACATTTACTCAAGTACTGTACATAAGTATAGTTTGGGGGTATTTGTACAATACCTGAGTATTTCCATGTTATGCTACTTTATTCTTCTACTCCACTACAATTGAGAAGCCAATATTGTACTTTTTACTCCCTTTTGAGAGGCTGTGCTCTGAAGGGAATATGATGCAACACTATTCTGGTGACTCTTGCTTTACTCGAGCCAGACTTACTTGCTTGTCCAGGACTCCTGACTGTAGGGTTAGGGTTAGACGCTCTGAAGATGGAGATGATGGAAGTTTGAATTTTGGAACTTGTTAATCAGTAAAATCACTAAGAACTGATTATTGTTGCTTTATTCATAGTGTACATGTGTTTTGTCCTGCTGAGTGTAAACTGCTGATTCTTTGACAGTTTTTACAGAGACAGAAGGTTCTGGGGATTTACAGAAACATGTTGAGGACCATTCGTCAGGTACCAGACAAGACGGACAGGAAGTACCTCAGCGAGTGGGCGAGAGACGAGTTCAAGAGGAACAAGAACGCCACAGAGCAGGTGAAGAGACGATGTGAATGTGTTGAATGTCTGTTGATGGGATGAGGAGCTGAGGACATGCTGAGAGTTAGTTCATCTGAAGCTATAGACCAGTTTCAAGTATTCACTTCTCATTAAAAGCTTTCCGATACGTTTCTGAATGATTGAAAAAACCACAGAGAAAGAGTGTTTGTTTTGCTACATTTGTATTGTTGTGTTGATTACTTACTAGGTCCAAAGTAATTCATCAGAATCCGAATCAGAAACGAGTTTATTGCCAGGTAGGTTCACACATACGAGGAATTTGACTTGATGTCGTGGTGCATACATACAAATAAAAAACAAAGATTCAAGTACACAGATAGGACACTGTAATACAAAATAAAAATATAGTAAGATAGCAATAAAATAAGCAGTAATTTACATCAAAATAGAATGCATTAATTTAATAATCACCTTGAAAACTGTAGTTTGATTAAAACATCTTAACTTTTATCTCTAGATTTGAATCCCATTTCTCCGTCTGCATGTGCAGAGGGAGTTTTATGAGAAACTGTGATTTGTGATCGAAAGCTCTGAGAAAAGTTTGCAAACTAACCCTGAGCTGCCTTTTCTACCTCTGGAAAACATGGAGTATATGTAGACATAGCACTTCTTCAGAGGTGGGAGAAGTACTCAGATCTTGTACTTGAGTAAAAGTAGAAGTACCAGAGTGTAGGAATACTCTGTTATAGTAAAAGTCCTGCATTCAAAATGTTTCTCAAGTAAAAGTAGAAAAGTATTCTCATCAAAATATAGTTAAAGTAGCGACAGTAAAAGTAGTCGTTGTGCAGATTGGTCCATTTCAGAATAATATATATGATATGTTTTATAATGATTGATCGATCATGAAAGTGTTCTCAAAGCAGGTAAAGGTGCAGCTAGTTGTAATGACTTTGTATACTGCAGAGTAGCTTGTGAATTTACTCCAGGTGGAACTAAAGTCTGATTCAACACTTTGTTATATTTCACATCATTCATCTGTAAAGTAACTAAAGGTATTAAGTAGAAACAATACCCCAAAATTGTTACTTTACACCACTGCACTTATTTCCCAGCATCCTTCACTCTGTCCATCACTGATGTGCTCCTCTCTGTTACTCAGGATGCGGTCCGTATGATGGTCACTCAGGCTAACAAGCACCTGGAGGAGCTGCAGGGCTCTCTGGCGCTGGCCAAGAGTTAACCTGAGAGCTGGGGGGCTGACTCTGATCCGGATCCTTCTCTGAGGGCTCGAGTCATCGGAAGGGCCGATGCAGAATGTACACTTCTTCAGCTGGACATCTTTATTTGAAGGATATATTGATGGAACGGACCATAGGCATCTTCTTGCAAAACAGCCTGTGTTGAGGACTCTTGTTCCGTACTAATAGGAACTCATTGTATTGTGTATTGTGTGTATTAAAGAGGAACTGATGAGATTCAGAATTACCATTGTTTTTTAATACAAAATATGTTTTCTGGCATCATTAACAGAGTGCATTATCCACATCCACAGTTATCCATGTAGAACTAAGCAACATGTATGAGCAGTCACTACATCAACACACAGCAGTAATACTGAAACACAACGCGGAGCTTTCTTCATGCGACATGACACAACTGGTCTTTTACATCGGGACCGTCCTTCACTGGGGAGGAGATTGGCAAGGCATTGGCACGCTGGAACACCACGTTGATAAAGTACAAATAGTGAAATCACTATAAACCCAAATCAGGCGTTGTGGTGTTTTCACATAAAACATTAGAATGATTCTCAGAAACGTTGCTGATATTCTTTCCATCAATCACCAAACAAACAATTACACAACGACTGCCGAGTGAGGTTCTTCCTTTACAGGTCATGTTGAGCTGCTATGGAGTCTGGAGAGTGCCAGTGGAATAATGATACACTTTTACAGTGTTTCATTTTCAGATAAACATACATACATACATACATACATACATGCCTACATGCCTACATGCATCCATACATACATGCCTACATACATGCCTACATGCATCCATACATACATGCCTACATACATACATGCATCCATACATACATGCCTACATACCTATAGTACATACATACATACATACCGTATGTCATAGGGATTCTCTTTTGAAATGAATTGGTATTTGAAATGAGGAAGAAACCTAATCTTCCGGGCCACATCAATGTAACCGTATTCATAGGTGGCCCATACTTTTTGATAACTACATTTAAAAATTCAAGTATTTTTCTCATACATGCCAGATGAGGGATTACAAAAATAGTTTTCATTATTATTTAGATGCATATTAAATATATATGTTTCTTTCATATTTAATACATGTATAAAGTTAAACACTGTAAAAGCCTATAATAACTTGAATGGCAGCCTCACTACAGATCATACTACTCAGCAACATCAGCTTGTGATACTGATAAGAATCATTAAAAACACACAGTTACATACAGTGTAGCTACCGTCTCATAAATAAGCAGTTAGTTCCTGTGTAGTCACAGGGCTGATGTCAGCATGCAGATTGTTATAAAAAGCTTATTATACTGTAATGCCCCCCCCCATCTGCTGATCATCATGCTGATGTTAATGACAGACATTGGTTCTGCTGGTGGAGCGCGCGTCATGTTAATGTGCTGTGGATGTGATGGATCCTTCAGAATGGCACATCAGATCCTTTGACACAGCTTCATATCTACTATTTACAACACAGTGCGGGAGAGCTGCCCTTATTTCTAACCAACGGACCACCAACAGGACAGGGTTTGGATGTGGAACATGTGGAGTATTCCAGGATATGATTTAGCACTGGACATAAAGGCCCAATTCCAACCGGCGCCTACCCACTCTCACTGTGACAGAGTGAACTCCGTCTGTAGTCACACTCACAGCTGAATGAGGCTCCCTCCTTTCATGGACAAAACATAATAAATAATAACTCAAATAAAAGTCAAAAAATCTTAATTGGCATTTCTTTTTTGTAAACCTCTTTGTGTTTTCAAATCTGATGTTTAGAAGCTGCTTGCAACAGTCTGTAAAAATACAAAACTTTAAAATCAAATGAACACTTTTACAGTTTTCTAGACACGGGTATATTATCCTACTTTTTTTTTTAAACTAGGTAACCATGAAGTTGTTAACATCTGTATGATAATACTAATTGTCTCTTATTTTTAGCTTATCAGTAAATGTTTGCAGGAACTGTTGGTAATAAAAGTGTTTCATGACAGACACAAACATGGTGCCACTGGTCAGGTAGTGCAGGTGGTTACTCAGGACCGATGCAGACCAACAAGCACACGGAGTGGAAGTGTGTAGAGTCAGGGTGTTAGGGTTGGTTTGGAATTGGGCCAAATAGTTCAGTTATGTTCTGAGTGAAGATAGGAGTCCTGGCAGTCGCTGGTGTGTGACAGGTATTGGTGTGTCAGGTGTTGGAGTGTGTTGGTGTGTGTCAGGTGTTGGTGTGTGTCAGGTATTGGTGTGTCAGGTGTTGGAGTGTGTTGGTGTGTGTCAGGTGTTGGTGTGTGTCAGGTGTTGGTGTGTGTCAGGTGTTGGTGTGTGTCAGGTGTTGGTGTGTGTCAGGTGTTGGTGTGTGTTGGTGTGTGTCAGGTGTTGGTGTGTGACAGGTGTGTGTCAGGTGTTGGTGTGTGACAGGTGTGTGTCAGGTGTTGGTGTGTGTCAGGTGTGTATCAGGTGTTGTGTGTGTTGGTGTGTGTCAGGTGTTGGTGTGTGTTGGTGTGTGTCAGGTGTTGGTGTGTGTCAGGTGTTGGTGTGTGTTGGTGTGTGTCAGGTGTTGGTGTGTGTTGGTGTGTGTCAGGTGTTGGTGTGTGTCAGGTGTGTGTCAGGTATTGGTGTGTGTCAGGTGTTGGTGTGTGTCAGGTGTGTGTCAGGTATTGGTGTGTGTCAGGTGTTGGTGTGTGTCAGGTGTTGGTCAGGTGTTGGTGTGTGTTGGTGTTGGTGTGTGTCAGGTATTGGTGTGTGTTGGTGTTGGTGTGTGTCAGGTGTTGGTGTGTGTCAGGTATTGGTGTGTGTCAGGTGTTGGTGTGTGTCAGGTGTTGGTGTGTGTCAGGTGTTGGTGTGTGTTGGTGTGTGTTGGTGTGTGTCAGCAGTCGTCCTGCCTGTGAGTCCTCAGCATGCGCAGCTCGTCCTCCAGGCAGTGGATCCTCTCCAGCAGGGCGGCCCTCTCGCTCTGGGCCCTCTGCTGGGCCTGCCAGCGGGCCTCCTGCACCTTCCTCTCGTACCAGCGCTCCATCTGCGTGGACACCGCCTCAAAGAAGTACTGCGTCACCTCCTGAGCGTGCATGGCGTCCCTCTCCTGAGCAAAAGAGGGTTCGCTGGGCTTCTCTCCGAACACCTCCAGAGTGCGAACCCCTGCCCCCCCTCTGGACTTAGTCCTGCCCTGGGAGTGCTTCCTGTGGTGCTTCCCTCTGTCCCGCCCCCGCTCCCTGTCTTTGAGCCCTGACTCAGTCCTGCTGCTGCTGCGGCGCTCTGTGGCCGGGGACAGGCTGCTGGCTCTGTAGATCCCGCCCCCCCTCGCCCCGGCCTCCAGAGTGTCCACATCCTGCAGGTCCAGGGTCTTTTTCTGCATGTCAGCACAGACCACAGGACGCTCCTTGGGCCGCACCACCTGCACGGAGGAAGTCGGGCTCTTAGCTGCTGCAGGAGAGGAACTCTCTGCACAATGAGCCTTCCCCCCATCTGTGGAAGGTTCAGAACACTCAAGTTACATCCAGTTACATCCAGTTACATTCAGTCACATCCAGTCACATCCAGTTACATCCAGTTACATCCAGTCACATCCAGTTACATCCAGTTACATTCAGTCACATCCAGTCACATCCAGTTACATTCAGTCACATCCAGTTACATCCAGTCACATCCAGTCACATCCAGTTACATCCAGTCACATCCAGTCACATCCAGTTACATCCAGTCACATCCAGTCACATCCAGTTACATTCAGTCACATCCAGTCACATCCAGTTACATTCAGTCACATCCAGTCACATCCAGTTACATCCAGTTACATCCAGTCACATCCAGTTACATTCAGTTACATCCAGTCACATCCAGTTACATCCAGTCACATCCAGTTACATTCAGTCACATCCAGTCACATCCAGTCACATCCAGTTACATCCAGTCACATCCAGTTACATCCAGTTACATCCAGTCACATCCAGTTACATTCAGTTCCATAGCCACAGCAAACATCCCTCTGACACTGGAGTGTGTGGATCCAGCAGGGGGCGCTGCTGCCAGCCTTTATCTTTTGGGGTGTCAGAAAGTATGACTTGGCAAAGTGAAAGAATTACAGACATTACCTGCAATTTTCACTTTTGTATTATATATATATTCACATTATCACTTATTTTAATCCTTTTTATAAACACTAGACATATTTCAATTAAATGGAAATACATGGCACTGTTAACTCTTGAATTAATTATGCCACTATCCATCAAATGTAATAATAAACTAATAGTGAATAAATGAAACCCCTAAAACATATTAAAAGGAACTGAATGTGTACTTTCTTAACTCATGAATAATATAACTTTCCAAAACAACTTCCCGTAAACATTAAGTGGTGATATTTGCACTGAGTATTCCAAGGCAAATTCCTCGTATGTGTAACCCTAGTTGGCATTAACCTGTTTCTGAAATCATTTGATATGAATCCAGATGAGATGTCTGAGTCTGTGATAATGTGAGTTTCCACTGGTGGAGCCGTTACCTGGAGAGCTCTCCACATGAACCACAAAGTATTGTTTGGGGGAGCCGCCCTCCCCCAAACTGGGCCCCCCCGGGCTGGAGTCCAGGGGGGCAGGGCTGTGCTGGTGCTCCTGGCTCTGGGCCCCCCCCCCCTGGTCTGACGGCAGCTGGTCCAGGCCCTCGGCCACAGAGGAGCAGCGCCTCAGGGGGGGGCTGCCGGGCTCCATGCTGTGCAGCTTGGACAGACACCAGCTCTTCAGCTCCCGGACCAGAGATGCCTGCTTGACACACACACACACACACACACACACACACACACACACACACACACACACACACACACACACACACACACACACACACACACACACACCACACACACCACACACACACACACACACACACACACACACACACACACACACACCACACACACACACACACACACAGCACACCACACACACACACACACACACACACACACACACACACACACAACACACACATCACACACACACACACACACCACCACACACACACACACACACACACACACACACACACACACACACACACACACACACACACACACACACACACACACACACACACAGAGAGAGAGAGAGAAACCACAGCAAAACATTGATCTTCAACACGGCACATCTGTTGTACAAGAAAAGGTTTTGAAAAGTCAAATAAACAAGGGATTTCTTCAGTCGTGCCACAGTAGGCTGCAGGTCTGCTCACTGATTAAAAACCGAACCGTTGATTTTAATTAAATGTATTATGTCAACAGATTTCACACAACTGTATTAGCTTAGTTGGAATCAATAATATCACGTTTTAAAAGAAAAATAGTAGGTTCAACTTAATATTATTGCTTCAATGAACCTAATACAGTTATGTGAAATGTTGTTGACTTTTAGTGCTGCAACTCTACTACTTTAAATCCAGGCTGACGACTTTTTCGTTTTGCCGTTGCTCTTTAAGTATTGAGTATTATCAGTTATGCTATTTGGGATATTGTTGATAAAAAGTGAGTAATAGAGGGACACAGTATACAGAGAGACATCTTTGAGGGATTATACAATATTCTGACACGAAGATTACAGGGCTCCCCTTCAAATGAAAAATACACTTTACACTAACATGCTTCTGTATTTGCATCTATCTATATTCTTAGAATCAGCACACATAAAAAATTATAGCATTTACCAATTTTTACCATCAGAATATTCTAATCCAACATGAATGTACCACATCCCTGAGGACCCTTGAGTACAGCCTATGTTTTATTCATCTTTATTGGTTCTCTTTGGTGTATTAGAAAACACATCCGGTATAGATCCCAGACAAAAGCAGATGTTCACAGCCTCCCACAGCCCTGTGGACATTACATGTGCTGTGGAGAGGGTTCTGGTTCAGAGCCTGGTTGTTACCTGTCTGTTCTCAGCCTCCAGCCTCTCCTGCAGGGCCCGCTGCTCCATCCTCTGCACACACTCCGTCCTCTCCGCACACACCCTCTCCACTGTCATCTTGTCGAGAGCTCTCATCTGAGGGCCGAAGCAGTGAAACACATTATGAGTGACCAGAGACGTGACCGCTGCAGAGCAGGCTAGCAGTTCATTTCCTGTGTCTATTGTGAAATCAACGATTCAGATGACAGTTTCCTGATTCTGATCTGAAATGTTTTCTCTCCCGGGTGTATGACATAAGGACAGTGGTGGAAGAAAAAGTTATGTCCCAATGTCAGATGACTGATGTATGGACACAGGAGATAAAACTATTTAGAAGAGACTTTAGACACTGGAGCATCGGAATATCTTTTTCTCAGTTTCCTCGTAGGGCTTCTGCACAATGGGGTTCTTTCAACTCTTTGTCAAAGGGCCCGCTGAACAACAATACATTACTACAGTACAGAAAATGCTGCTGCTCTTAAGAACATTAAGAGTGTAACACAGAAACTCTACAGGAGATGCCTTTGAGATGAACACTGCTGTGTTCTCAAATGCTATGATCACCAAAGAGTGAGGGTTATGGAAGTGTGTAGTGATCAGCAGAAGTTACAGGATAATAATCCTTTGATGTCATAGATCCTCGCTCCTCTCTTGACCAGGGGCACATTCTGGTAGCCATCGTATCAGATGTTTTAATGCTCTGAGGAGGATACACATTACACTTGTATCCAAAGCAATGTACCATAAGTGCAAAAACCATAGAGATTCAAACTCTGCACAACAAGGAAAGTGCAGATATATTCACTTAAAGGGGACCTATCATGCAAAATGCACTTTTGTACGTCTTTTATACATGAATATGTGTCCCCGGTGTTCCAGGGAACTCACCAAGTGTCAGAAAACACAACCCTCTCTATTTTCCTCCATACCCAAATCTCTAAAAAAAGGGGCTGCAACGGATCTGATAAAAACTGATCCAGATTTGAACACTGTCCTGACGTCAGGACAGTGGCGCTACGGCTATTGGGCCAACTCCACCAATCAGGAGGAGACAGCCACGGCCATTGCCGTTCGAAAGCGCTGGAGACGCTGTAGTACATATGCCAGGCCAGTAGATGGTGCTGTTCTCACAGAATCTGCCCTTGCAAAAACAGGGCTAAAAAATGTCAAATTGAGCAAAATGAGGCATGGCTAAAATGCATGATCTGTTTGGTATTTTGAAAAAGAAAAAGTATAAATATGCCTTGTATGGTCCTACACTATATAATTCAAATATAGCATGATAGGTCCACTTTAAAGCAAGTCATACCGTTGTATGGTGAGTTACTTTCAAGGCCTAAATTAACTTCTTAAAATGCCTTTTCTTTTGTATTTGCCACGGTACAATGGAAACAGGTAGGTGATGGTAACTTAGGATGCAAATCAGAGAATTGAAAAGTACCCATCTGGTTGGATTTGACCCCTGACCTTCCTTAGGTGAGACCTTACTAAGAAAGCATTATAAGTCTGTGTGACTTTATTTCCCCAATCCTTGCTCTGCTTGTATACTTAAACCAAAACAACTACAAATAATGATTTAAGGTTTCTGCTGTGTCGGCATGTGTGTGTTAGCCTGTGTGTGTTAGCCTGTGTGTGTTAGCCTGTGTGTGTTAGCCTGTGTTAGCCTGTGTGTGTTAGCCTGTGTTAGCCTGTGTGTGTTAGCCTGTGTGTGCTACCTGGTGTTTGTTCTTGCGGTCTAGCTGGCCCATCTTGCTGTTCATCAGGTCCTGCACAGTGTGGATCTCAGTCTTCATCTCCTCCTTCGTGGCCTCCAGCTGGTTCTCCAGTTTACTGATGAGAGGCTCACAGCGGCAGCCATTCAGAGGAGCCTGCACACACACACAGCAAAAATCAACACAACACACACAGAGCACACACCGAAAACATGTCCAACAAACTCCAGCTGTGGACAGGCTCAAATTCCAGATAGACTTGTATTGATTGTCTACTTGCCAGCACTGTGAACCAAGAAATGTTGAGTAGTTTTATGTTAGAAATGTATAGTATGGGTCCCTCCCAAGCACATAGAAACTGCCGGATGCTTACTTGCATATGTTAGGCAATTTGCACAATTAGCATAAGTTGCATTCATTAGCATCACACAATAATGCATCAATAATTGTAATTATGAAATTGGCCAATCTGCATATTGAGTATTATAATAATGTATTATATTAGATTATTGCCTCTGCATTGGATTATTATCGGATAGTGTAATAACTTCCTAATTAACTACGTCTGAAAGCAGAAGTTTAGGGCAAATAACTGCAAGTCTCTTCAGTGCGCATGTCACAAAATGAGATGCATTGTGGGACAATGTGCTTCTGTAAAGCGGAATTCAACCGTATAATAAACGTTTTATATTCTTTGCAAGCTCTTGCGGGCCACATCAAATGAAGTCGCGGGCCGGATTTGGCCCGCGGGCCTTGAGTTTGACACACCTGGTCTATCTTCAGTGAAAGTACTCCCCCAACATGAGGTGAAGCTCCAGTTTGAACACTGATCCTGGCTCTGACTGAACAGCTTCTGCTCTCACCTGCATGATCTTGCCGTCCTTGCCGCGGTACAGTGTGTACAGCTGATAGGCTTTGTAGTTATGTGGAGGGATGGACCCATGCAGGGGGGCTCCTCGCTGTTTGCATTTCCTCTTGGTGAGAGCTTCGCCGGACTTGGTCTCTTTGCGGCGGAGGGGCTCGGACAAAGATGGCTGAAACACCACAGGCACCTGAGGTTAGTCACTTTGAAGATTCAAAGGTTTTATTGTCATATGCACAGTAGCTACAGTGTAGATATGGCAGTGAACATCCCAAGCTCCTCCAACCATGTAACATAATTCAACCATTGTTCTGTAAGGAGGAAGGGCAGTCATCGTCTTCTATTATCCAGCACTTTGATTAGAAACATCAGTGTGAATTGGAGAGTGTTTTAAATTCATGGACATACCTTGTCTTTCTGCTTCCTGCTCTTCCCCCCCCTGGTGTTGGACTCGGTGAGTTTGCAGGCCGCTCCTTGCTCACTGCTCTGGGAGTCATCTGCAGGAGACACACTGTCCTGCAGGGAACACAGGGACAATAAAGGTGAGACAAAATGTCAAGCAAGAGCAGGAACTAAAGCAATCTTTTAGGTTTCTTATCAAATATGCATGGTTATTGTGACATTCTAAATGTTTCCACCATTAAAATAATCTAAAATCATGAATACTTTTTTTAAACATTAATACTTACTCTTTTAATGTGTTTAACTACAGACCCATAACACACTGTAGGCAGCCTCACCCTTTAAACCCTTGACATTTGATGTAAATCTGCTTCCATAAAGCCAAAGATAACATGGGAATGTCTGAGTAAATGACATATAGTCAGACAGTGTGGAATAAGATCAACAAGTAGAAACTTCTCTGGAGATCAGCGCTGTCACTCTTATGCCACTTTGAAGGGTTTTAGGATATTTCTTCAAATGTTCCCCTTTTACTTTTTAACTTATTTCAGCTATTTAACCCTCCTGTTCGGTCAGATCTGACTGATTTACTACTTTCAAATATTGAGTTGTACACCTGATTGCTGCAAGGCCTTATTACACCAACAGTATGGTATGACCGCCATATGAAATGAATGGGTAAGCCCAGATGATGTCCATCCATCAGAAAGTACACACCCTCAAATCAACAACATTTACATTTTGGAATACATTTTGAGTGTCTATTCTTTGTATATCCACTGCAGTTATTCATGGGAACCAGTATTCTGAGACATTGTTTACAGCTTAAAGGGTGTTAAATACAATGTGGTGACGTGCTGACGACAGCAGGGTGAACGGACACAGTGCAGCAGTGCTCACCTTGCATGGCAGCATCTGGTCTCTGGGCACAGACTGCGCTCGGCCCTCCTCCTTCAGCTTGTCTCTCCTCTTCCTCACACTACGGCCACGCACAAAACTCTGCACCTGAACACACACACACACACACACAGGAGGAAAAATGATTGGGATCATCTTGCTTGCTTGTTAATTAAGTAAGGACGCAAATTAGTCATATACAAGACAGTACATGAATAAAGAGACTTTTAAACGAACGGTGTATCAAATTTAAAAGGCCATCAGTATGAAGTGAAATGTATCTTTAAGTATGAGTTTAGTTTCCATGGATTTCACTATTAACTGAAAGAGTAGCACGAGTTGAACTCATTCGGATTTCTTCAAGTTAAAGCGGACAGATGAATAAATTACCTTTGGAGCTTTGGTCAGCAGAAGAGCCACCTCTGGGTTGTTGTGCTCTCTGGCCTGCTCCAAAGCTGTGTGTCCTGCCTGCAGAAAAGACAGAGAAAACGTGACTCAAACGGACAAAAAATATATATACACAGGTATACATACTGTATATATGTACATATATAAATACACACCCATTTCCAGCGCGAAAAGAAAAGAAAGGTAAAAATTGAATTCATGCAAGTCCGTCTGCTGCTGTTTTATGGCGAGGGATGCGTTGCCGTAGTAACACCACATTACGTAACATCAGATTTGATGTAGAGCTGTGTTAACCATTATCTGAAATCTGCTGCTCTGAGCATGTCAGTTGGAGTTATGACATCATCGTGTTCCATGACACAGGTGTTTATATTTGACGTGTCCAGAGATCAAAGGTTTCCATGGTGATGTGCCGTAATCAGTGAGAGGAGAGCATTTTCATTGTTCTGAATGAGAGATAAACCTCTTACATGTGAACGTTTTGTTGAAGAACCGTAACAGATATCGGTCACATTTCAAAGCGTGAAGGAACTTGAGCATCTGAAGTGTACTTTTTGTGTACTTTCGGGTTAATAATGTGGCCTTTTTGGCAGATTAACAAAAGGTGTGCGGCTGCTGTGGTGGGGAAAGATGAGGCTGAACTTACAATGGGGTTTAATGGAGACATGTTGAAAGTTTTTGTCACTTCATGCCCTCAAGAGGCATTTTGTTTAATTATTTTGCTTAATTTATTTTTATTTTTCAAGCTACGAGATGTTTTCCTACGTTTGTCATGAAAAATGATGTCTCAGGAATGTAGGGTTTGGGAATTATGGCAGGTTTAAAAGAAAATATGAAGGCAAAATTAAATCTGTCCTCCACTCTAGCTGTGACATCACGCACTCTAAAATCTGAAGAAGGCCTCTTTACCAAGGTCTGAACAATGTTTAATATCTCTAAAGGTATGAATCAGATTTAAAAGTTGTGTTACACGAATAATGTCAGAAAGATGTGTAACATTTTAAAGTTGGAATGAGGTTTCTGAGTGAAAGTATGAATGAACAGTTAGCAGTTGAAGTCGCATGAAGATTTTTCAAGTCTGAAGAGTTTCTCCATTGACTTCCATGTTATAAATGTGCTGAATTATGGGATGTATCTCTGGAATTATGAAAGTTATGAATGAGAAAAGTAATATCCATCGATTCCCGACCGAGCTGAATGTTTTGATGTTTGAACAGAGTTTCTGCGATGTTGAATGTGGGAGGAGAAGAGGTGCAAAATAACCCGGCGGAATAATAAAGAATTTTGTGCGTTGAAGAACAAGTAGTTGGAATGCTGTATCAGCATTCCAACTAAAGAAGGAATTATTATTCTGGGTATACCCATTTTTGGTTAGTTTGTTTAGTGTATAGTGATGGGGATTCCGGCTCTTTTTAGTGAGCCGGATCATTTGGCTCGGCTCACCAAGAAGAGCCGGCTCTTTCGGCTCCCAAACGGCTCTTCATTTTACCACATATACCTTTTATAATTCAATCAAATTTTGCCCTGACTAATGATTTATATGTGTACACATATATCACTTACATTATTCAATACATCCTTTGTACTGAAGTATTCAAAAGTAAAAATGACATGTTTAATATAAATGATTTGCTGTGGCCAATTGTTTTCATTGTATTTACAGACCCTTGTATCTCTCTGATACCACCCAAAGAATGCACTGACTTGCTTGTAGAACCACGCTACACAAAGCAGATAGCAACACCTATACAAACTTAAGCATGGACATTTTAAAAAAGGACAGTTTAAAATTGTATTTAAAGAAAAAGCCCAAACAAAACAGCGGCGCTCTATTTCAGTATTAACTAAAGAAAAAAAGACAGCAACAGCTGACATCAAATCTTTGCTGAACCTAAAGATAATCATACATAAATAACATAGTGAAAATAAATATATTGCAATGGTCAAAACAGCAGCATCCAACCGTCTCTAATAATAAACAAAACATAATAAAAATAAATGTATTGCAATGTGCAAAACAGCAGCATCCAACAGTCTCTAATCCTTGGATATTACATGTCACTGCATGCATGCACGGGGACCCGTAGCGGCGTAGCGCGGAGATCATCATATCATCTTTTTTTAAATAAAAATGGCTCGTTCGCGGGCGCGAGCCGGCTACCGTCGTTCACTTAAAAGAGCCGGCTCTTTGAGCCAGCTCGTTCGCGACCGACACATCACTATTAGTGTACTTATAAAATATTTATACATTTTTAAATCCATTCCATAGTTTGGCACTGAATATGGATTAGCTGTGTGATTTAATAGTAGTTCTGTATGGCCTTCTACACAAAGTGTTAGTTTGTCTAGTTGTGTACTCGCTGACTTTCATTTGGACGTTATAAGGCATTTCGTAGTAGAAAATATTGTGCTGTTTTAAGTTTAACAGTGTCAACACATTTGAAATGATGTATGCTGCATTTCCAAGCAGCTAACTACAGCTTCTTTGGATGTGCTGTGGCCTCGTGCCGGCTGCTGTAAACAGATGGCAGAGTGCTGGAACAACAACAAAGTGTGCTGACTTGCAGATGAGTAAAGGCACAGTGAGTTCATCTTGTTGGGAGCATTAATGATGCAGAGAGAGGCTGCAGGCACTCACATTGTTGCAGATGTGGCTGTCTGCCCCCCCCTCCAGCAGCAGGCGCACAGACTTCTTATGATTCAGAGCAGCAGCCACGTGCAGTGGGGTGTCGCCAGCCTGCACACGAGAACAAGAGACAGCAGTGTCAATCAAATCAATAATAATCAATCATTTCAATAAATCAAAGTTTATTTATATAGCCCAATATCACAAAACACATCAGTGGGCTTTACAGATGAACTAACATGAATGACAGTGCAAAGCTAAATACA